CGGATATAATGAATATCACATTCGCAGTCGAACATTTCCCGACAGAGATTTCAACTTAAAAAAAATATTACGGCCATAGTTTAAAGAGTGACTCAATAAGCATGGCATTGGGTCATTTATCAGTACAATAACATACAGGGTGTCCGGCCAGGGGCGTAGAGGGGGACCGGTACCCCCCTCGAGCCAAAGACTGGCTCTAATTTACTAATATATACTTAGCGAATATGACTAAGCCAGAGACGCAGAGACACTAAGAAATACTTGAGACGCGAATAGAACAGAAATTTTTTGGCGCTTCGCGGACATGTCTCAATAAATAACTAATCCAGATCCATGTAAGGGTTTAACAACCTGTTGACAGTATACATTTTAATTAGCGGTTTAAAGTATATTTTTTGTAAACACAAGAACAAACCATCAATATTATAATAATTTGGTATATTATTGAGCACTGAGCCAACCCCTAGACATTTAAAAAATGATGTTTTTTTAACCTCAAATCAAAGTTTTTTTTTGCTCTTTTACTACTGGATTTTATAATGGTATGATTGGTAATTATTATTCCATATTTCAGCTCATAAAAAAACCAATTGTGATAGAATAAAATAAAAAAGATCAAAACTCGAAAAACATATTTATTTGCGAAACAGTTTTCGTTACAAATGATTTACATTAGTTTAGAAAATTTAATTTTATTTAAACAAAAAATGAAGTCTCACTTTAAATTTATCATGTTTTGTTTAAAACTGAAGATTTCCTAATATTAATACATTTTTTTTGTATTATTTTCATGTTTAAAATAAGCTAAAAAGCAGATGCTTATGACTACTAATAAATGACTACAAGATAAATCTTCAGGACTACAACTACATAGAAGCCGGGGTAGTGAATGATGAAGACGTCTTCGTCGACATCGTAGCCCTCACAGGTTCCTTTACAGATCCAACCATCATCTGAGGATTAAAATAAATCAGAATTTTTAGCAGGGTCGCATCAAACAAATATCTCAGGAGGGGGGGGGGGGGTATATGCGCGCAATTTTTTACTCCCCCCCCCCTTTAAAATTGAACAAAAAGCAGAAAAAGGAAATAGATGTGTTTATGAAATGTTTGCCACTTTTTTGTCTAAGATTAAAGATACACGAAGTGTTTCAATTAGACAGTCGAAAATAAGTGGTTTTAAAATACCTTAGATATTTGTTCCTTGGGTTGAGTTTGATTATAATTCTGCATAGCCATCATATACTTCTCCTTCTCTACTATTCCTTTAGCTTCATAATCCTTCTTGGTTTCCTCATCCAACATTCCCCATCTTTTCCCCAGTTCCTTGGCTAATACAGGCACAGATACATTTCCCAGTTCTGCTATTATGTTTGCTCTGTTATCTTGGGTCCATAGGAAATATCCACTAAACATTATATTAATGTATATATATTTATATAGAATATAATGTCAAAGGTCCATGTGAAATATCCACTAAACAATACATTTTATATATAAAGTGGATATTTCCTAATGACCCTGGATATTATGTTCTATAAATATATATATATAAAAATATCCACTTTATATATAAATATATAACACAATATCCTGGGTCCATAGGAAATATCCAATGAACACATAAATAACCCACAACTTAATTTAAGGGACTGTAAAGGAAAACTGAAAGCGGGTATAGGCTGCACGACCCACCAGTGTACATTTGAATATTCGAGCTGGGCCAACCTTTGCAGTCCTACTATAGACGTTACCGCCAATTTACAATTAATAAAGCGGCAGAAGAGTGTGGCTAAAACCTAAGTATCTTAGGCGTTGATTGAGACACTTGAGAGTTCTAGCTAAAGTTCCTGTCTCAAGAAATTGATATAAAACGGTGTACAATTTATACGAAAATCTATATATATAAAATTTTGAATAAAAATAGTAGGTTTACACAAATTATATTCAGCAAATACGCAACTTGTCTGAAAAAGACGATATCCCAGAGGAGCCTATAAGTAACTTAGGTTTGCTCATATTATAATTTAATGATTTTCAGTTTTTATTTTTAATAGATATAATTGGTATGGATTCCGGTTTTCCTGTTCCCGGATTTTCAGATTGGTTGCATATTTGCTGAATATGATCTGTTAAAACCTACGATTTCTATACAAATTTTTATATATATAAATTTTCGTATAAATTTGATTCAGTTTTATATCAATTTCTCGAGACAGGAACATCAGATAGAACTTTCACGGGTCTCGATCAACTCCTAAGATATTTAGGTTTCAGTCTATACCGCCTTTCAGTTACCCTTTACAGGCCCTTTAAATAGTTCATGGTGACTTAAATATTACCTGAGGGGTCTCTTAGGAGCACAGGGATCCTTCACCTTGATCTTGTTGATCTTCTTGAGATCCTTGATCTTCTTGAGCTCAGTTTTCTTCTTGGCCAACTCCACCTTGTTTAGGAACTCCTGAGTAGGATTATAATCCTTCATAGAGTTTACGAACTTCTCCTTCTCCTCCTTGGCCAGCTGTTCATACCTTGTCTTGATCTCAGGAATGATGTTTTTCCACCTTTGCCCAAGCTCCCTAGCAACCGTAGTTACAGAGATATTTCCTAATTCAGCAATAACCTTAGTTCGTTCATCCATACTCCAGAGCATATAGGAACTAAACAGATAAATTTAGGATAAACATGATCAATATTATTGATATTATTTACTCCAGAGCATATATGAACTGAACAGATAAATTTAGGATAAACATGATCAATATTATTGATATTCTTTACTCCAGAGAATATAGGAACTAAACAGATAAATTTAGGATAATCATGATCAATATTATTGATATTCTTTACTCCAAAGCATATAGGAACTAAACAGATAATTATAAGATAATCATTATCAATATCATTTATATTTTTTACTCTAGAGCATATATATGAAATAAACAGTGTGTTAAAATGTATTTACCTCAAAGGTCTCTTAGGGGCCTCAGGGTCCTTTGGCATCTTCATCTTCCTTTGCTTCTTTACAATCTTTTGTCCATCACCTACTGCCCCTGGGTTCTCAGTCTCAAAATCAAAGGTAGGTAAGCTCTTCTCTAAGGTACTCATTTTAATCTCAGTTAAACCTAGAAAAACATTAAAGTTTTGATCATAAAATTGGTTAAGTTTATAAAATATCACACAAAAATGTTAACAAATCATTATCAAGTGCTCAAATGTAATGAGTTTAAATATGAAAATGTTAAATACACAAAGAAAGGTTTCCGGCCAAAAACTAAAATTATATAAGTTACAAATTATTTGTTCAGCTCTTTGCTTTAAAAACATAAGAATTCTATTGATGAAAATAAGACCCTGATACAATTATACATTTAGATTAAAATGTAATGATGAAATCTTGCATTGAGACATTCCACTTGCAATAGTATTTTTTCTGAGCGTTTGGTTTAGGACTTTCCAAATACTACTACAGTACAACATATTCAAGAATTATAAGACATAACCTTATTACGAAAAAATAGAAGCACTCAAAGATAAGACATTTTTAACAACCTCGATAAAATCTGCTAAAAGCTAATTTTGACAAACTCAGTGTCAAAAAATGTTAGCAACCTGCATACAATGGTTTAGTTTAATTTACATTGTTATTTTCTGGTTATATTGCACAGTGACCAATGAATGTACTCTGCATGGTTTCTAATAATCCTCCGACACATCAAGGTCATAAGAACCATCCTCCGAATCCTCCAGCTCATTTGGATCATCCTCGTTTTCATCGCATTTAAAGAATTCCTTTATAAACAGCTCAACAGGACTGATCTAAACAGAAAATAATGTTGAGAAATAAACCTATGAAGAAAACATTAGTTCTTTAAAATTAAAGTATCTAACCATAGAATAATTAAAATAACAGAAAGGACACTTGATGTAATCTTTACAAGAATTAGGGGGTTTTTCGTTCACAATAACCCAAAGGTAGAAGCCCAAAGGAGTTACGCGCATTCGGCGTAGAACAGACCTTCTGCGTCTGTTATTCTCCGCACCATGCGCGTAACTCCTTTGGGGTTCAGTCTCAGGGTTATTGTGACAGAAAAACCCCTAAATCTGGAAAAGGCGACTCCTTTTTTTCAATTTGTTATTTTAATTAATTTACGTATTTAACATTTAATATGTGATCAATTCGTGTAATTACCTCGATTGAATTAGATTTCCCTGTTAATGAGTGTATCCATCTTTTCTTGGAACCCTGCTTCTCTTCTACTTTCCACTGAGTCCAAGCAGCAGACCAACAATCCAGGGTTAGATTCCTTTTCTCCTCGGCGTTAAGTTCTCCAGACAGTATTCTCTTCATCCAATCATTTCCAGGTCTTCTGTCCGCCTTCCCTCCACGCGCATTCACAAATACAAAATCCTTTCCCTCCGCATCAGTTCTGTATATTTTTATGTAGTTGTTTACAGCACTGTAAAGTCCTGGCATAGAAAGCCGAAGTCTGCCGTAAGAAGTTCTGTAAGGACTTAATACCTTGACAACTTGACTGGTTCTTCCCTCCCGGCCCTGAAGTTAGCTATCGTCATGCTGGTAGTGAACCCAGGTCTGAAAGCACCAGTTGTAGCACAAATCAAACCAATGAGAGAGCTTCTAGCCTCAAACTCTTCCTTCTTGTCAATACATATTTCTTCATCATCATCTTTTCTCTTCTTTGCAAGGACCTCAAATGTGTGCGTAGATCTAAGAACTACTTGGAGCAACTCAAACATACGTTCAGGGTTAAACTTCAACATGGTTTCATCCTTTCCAGAGATTCATATAGTTAACAAAGATAAGGTACAAGAAGAAATCATATCTTTGTTCCAAAATAACTAAATTAGATCTGGGTACTATCGTGTTGGATACTCATAATTCCGAACACTTGATCTCGATATCCCTTGTCAGCATTTTTAATTTAAGGATATATATAACCTAAACCTTTCCATTTTAGATATTAATCCCCTCAACAAAGCTACCTTCATCCTTTTACTGGGTTCGATTACCATGCAGGATATCGAATAAAGATTAAATTAATCTGCAGATTAACGAAAAAACTAAATCAAGCACTGATCTCGATATCCACAATACAAGAGTTCCAAGCTTTTGGCATTTAAACATCATAAATATAAAAATATAAAATTTATATCTCTTCCTTGGATTTCTGTAATGAGACCTCAGCACAGATCTTAGTTTCCAGGTTCTTGATCTGCTTGGAGAATTCCCTAGAATTGTTCTCCAGATAACTCACATAGCTCTTCTGCTCCAGTGGTTTCATTGTCTGGTCAACTTCAATTATGTCTATACAAAATAATATGTCTTAAACAATCCTTTATCTTGGTTTTATAAGTCTGCCTTTTCCAACCCAAGTACTCAGAGAGACAGCTTATACAAATTGTAAGGCTAAGTTATAAATAACTTTTTATTCTTATTCAGTTAAATGTTTAAAAATTGTTTGAATAGGTATTATTTTAACGATTTAAGATGGGGCGCAGTTAGCATTAACCAATGACCAATAACTAGTTCAAATTAGTCATTATCAGCAAATCAAAGAAATTTGATTTAATAAAAAGAGAATAAAGATGTCTGTTTACCTATTATAAACTGAATAAGATCAACGTAAGCCAGGATTGCACTCTTCTTAAACCTAGGAGATTCCTTCTGCTCCAGGTAGTCGCTAAGACTGGGCAACATGAAGTTGCTCTTCTCCGGTGTGATCAGGTCACATATGCTGTTGAAGTTATTTATCTCCATCTTCCAAAAGGATAAAATATTCTTTAATTGTTTCTTATCAGTTCTCTGATTCATCTCAACTTCCCAGTTCCTCAGTTTCTCCCAAAACACAAATTCAAGAACATATACATTGAAGTCTTCCTGCAACTTTCCAGGGTTAAATATGTATTTAATTCATCAGATAAAATAAGGAGAATTCCACACTTTTGCTTGTTTACTAAATCATACATGAAGGATATATATTTTGAAGTGAAGATAATTATTAAGTTAATAATTCTGTTTGTTTCATTTAACTCAATTTCTAGTTTGATTGTTTTAACCCTCACCTGATAGGAAACTGTCATGGTCTCAATATCTACAGTAACTTTAGTTTTTAAACATTTCTGTTTAAGTTACTCCAGACATGCCTATTCAAAAAGGGATATAAAAGAATGCTTTAGGACTTTTTCGTTGTTAAACAAAAAGTTCTTAAAAAGTTGCAGATTTCTGGCACCCTCTGAATCAAGGTTGTATAAGATGTTTGATACTCTGGGTTCACTTCAATGTAAATTTCGTCTTTATTGCAACGGACACCCTAAATTCTCATATGACGTCACTTAAACTTTAACTAACAATCATCACATTTACCAAACATTGATTTTGCTAACAAGCTTAAAGCTAAAAAATGCAATTCTAATTCACGTTTTCCTTCCTCTAGTTTTCATTTCTTTACTTAAACTTAATATATATTTAATTATTAGCTGGACAAAGAAAATTGAGTATATTATCATAGAATAATAACAATACAGATAGAACAATAGATGTCGTCTTTTCAAAATTTAGAGGTTTTTCGTTCACAATAACCCATAAATTTTGAAAAGACGACATTTAGTGTTCTATCTGTTATTGTTAAGTAATCTATGTAGTAATATATCATCAACCAAGAAAATAAGTACATTTGTACTTACAACACAATTCTCACTTTTAAATATCAGCAATCTTTACTCTGAGTGCCGTGTTCATAATAATTGCAGTAACAGTAATGAACATAACGGAATTATGCTTATTAATAGCGCCGGACTTGTACAAACTGTAATTAATGTGATTTTAAGTTTTACATTATTTGTCAGATAATTTTCAAATGGATGATAATGGATTAAGCTACTTGTGTAGATAATGTGATTTTATGCGAAGATTTGCTATTAAAGCTGATCAAATATAAAATAAACTGAAAGGAAGCTACATAAAATGAATAATAGACTGAAAAGAAGCTACATGAATAATAAACTGAATTAAAAGCTACAAAAGTAATAAACTGAAAAGAAGCTTCATGGATAACAAACTTAAAAGAAGCTACATGAATAATAAACTGAGAAGAAGCTACATGGATAACAAACTGAAAAGAAGCTACATGGGTAATAAACTAAGAAGCTGCATGAATAAAAAACTAAAAAGAAGCTACATGAATATGAATAACGTTTTATAAATTGGAGAGATTTAAGGATTCACAGGCAGCTTAATCTTCTTTAGTTTCTTCAAAATCTTCCATCCATCCATTTTCCACCATCAATGGTTGTTATCAGCTCAGAGCACATACATCTTCTCATAAAGACAGTTTAACTCTCATTTTCGTTATTCATTTTAATCTTTATAACAAGTTTAAATACTTAGTAATTTCATTATACAATTGGTCAAATAACAGTTAATATTCTTTTAAAAAAGGTCAAATTGTTTTAAAATCATGGCCTTTAAAAATGTTATATATCTATATATGTTTTATCACATTAAATTAAAATTTTTAATACGAAAAAGGTTTCCGACGGAAAAACAACATTTTTAAAACAAATGCCAGATCATTTCCGATTCTGACAGATGAATTTGATGAGAGTTCAGTTGGAAGTTTGCTTATACTTCTGCATAGCCATCATATACTTCTCCTTCTCTACTATTCCTTTAGCTTCATAATCCTTCTTGGTTTCCTCATCCAACATTCCCCATCTTTTCCCCAGTTCCTTGGCTAATACAGGCACAGATACATTTCCTAGTTCTGCTATTATGTTTGCTCTGTTATCTTGGGTCCATAGGAAATATCCACTAAACATTATATTAATGTATATATATTCATATAGTATTTTCAACTTTGTTCAGTTTAAATATACATTTTAGATGTTTAAATATATATTTTTTTCTGAGACAAAATCTTTTATGGGTCTAACCCAATCATCAGTTGGAATAAAAATGAATAAAAATATGTATATATATTTATAACATCTTACTAAACATTATGTTTCATGCCTTGCAGAAATTTTCAAATCCGATCTAGTTTTGACATTATATAACACCAAACATTGAAATAGCCTATGACCTTAGTCTTATTAATCAAGGTTAATATATTACCTCATGGGTCTCTTAGGAGCACTGGGATCCTTCACCTTCTTGATCTTGTTGATCTTCTTGAGATCCTTGATCTTCTTGAGCTCAGTTTTCTTCTTGGCCAACTCCACCTTGTTTAGGAACTCCTGAGTAGGATTATAATCCTTCATAGAGTTTACGAACTTCTCCTTCTCCTCCTTGGCTAGCTGTTCATACCTTGTCTTGATCTCAGGGTTGATGTTTTTCCACCTTTGCCCAAGCTCCCTAGCAACCGTAGTTACAGAGATATTTCCTAATTCAGCAATAACCTTAGTTCGTTCATCCATACTCCAGAGCATATAGGAACTAAACAGATAAATTTAGGATAAACATGATCAATATTATTGATATTCTTTACTCCAGAGCATATAAGAACTAAACAGATAAATATAAGATAATCATGATCAATATTATTGATATTCTCTACTCCAAATGATCAATATTATTGATATTCTTTACTCCAGAGCATATATGAACTAAGCAGATAAATTTAGGATAATCATGATCAATATTACTGCTCATCCTTACTCCAGAGCATATATGAATTGAACAGATTAATTTAGGATGATCATGATCAATATTATTGATATTCTTTACTCCAGAGCATATAGGAACTTTACAGATAAATTTAGGATAATCATGATCAATATTATTGATATTCTTTACTCCAGAGCATAAAGGAATTAAACAGATAAATTTAGGATAATCATGATCAATATTATTGCTCATCCTTACTCCAGAGCATATATGATAGATTAACTTAAGATGATCATGATCAATATCATTGATCATCCAGCGCATAAAGGAATCAAAACATATTTATTTCAGATGATCATGATCAATTTTATTGATATTCTTACTCCACAGCGTTAGATTATTTTGACAAGATATTAAACTATAATAGTTCAGTTTTTCTTATGATTGTTTTCATCAATAAAATAATGTAATGAGCAATGAGCACTATTTGATAAAATTCACTATAATATCCAGGGTGGCCAAAACTTTTTTTGAAAAAATCCGTACATTTTCAGAGGAAATCCGTACAATCCGTACAATTTTCGAAAAAAAATCCGTACAATCCGTACAATTTTCGAAAAAAAAGAACTAGAGAACTAGAGAACCAGAGTACCAGAGTACCAGAGAACTAGAAAACTAGAGAACTAGATAATAGAGAACAAGAGAACTAGAGAACTAGAGAAATAGAGAACTAGAGAACTAGAGAACTAGAGAACTAGATAATAGAGAACAAGAGAACTAGAGAACTAGAGAACCAGAGAACTAGAGAACCAGAAAACCAGAGAACTAGAGAACCAGAGAACCAGAAAACCAGAGAACTAGAGAACTAATAAACTAGATAATAGAGAACTAGAGAACTAGAGAACCAGAGAACCAGAGAACCAGAGAACCAGAGAACCAGAGAACCAGAGAACCAGAGAACCAGAGAACCAGAGAACCAGAGAACCAGAGAACTAGAGAACTAAAGAGCGTTGATTCTAATTTTTAAAACTGTTTAGATCAGTGTGTAGGCCATTTAACAACCAAACAATTAAGTTATAAATAGAAAGAGTGGAGTGTAGATTTAGGATCTAATATAATTAAAAATAGCGTGGTACAGGGGTTGCACACTCAATTAAAAGAAAGTTAATATTAAACTAAAAAAGAAAAGATTTACAGATAAACGGAAGAAACCTGAGAGGATGTTCTCAGATCTGATAAAGAGACAGATAGATAGATAGATAAACAGACAGACAGATAGATAGGCAGAGAAACAGATAGACACATACACATATAGATATACAGAGAGACAGATAGGATATATAAACAGATAAATAAAAAGATAGATAAACTGACTTGCAGATAGATAGACAGATGGATAGACAGATAGCTAAATAGATAGCTAGACATACAGCTAGACATATAGCTTGACATATAGCTAGACAGAGAGCTAGACAGATAGATAGACAGATAGATAGACAGATAGATAGACAGATAGCTAGACAGTTAACTAAACAGATAGCTAGACAGATAGACAGATAGATAAACACAATCTCAAATAACACTTCTGGAACATATTCTCAAATGAACACTTCTGGGATCTTGAAAATTATGAATGAATTTTGATTGTCAATTGAAACGTTAATCAATCTAATATTATTTAGAATGCAGAAAATAAGTTAAACTAACTTCAATTTGACGAGATTTTTTTGTTGAAATTTTCATGAAAAACTTGCTGAAATGAGTGAAAATAAAAAAAAACCCGGTGTATTTCCAGGATAAAAATCCGTACAATCCGTACAATTTGAAATAAATCCGTACAATCCGTACAATTTTAGGGTTACAAAATAAAAAATCCGTAAAATCCGTACATTTTGGCCACCCTGAATATAAGTAAAATAATTGCATTATTTTGGTGCAATCAAAAGAAATATACTCGTTAATTTTATTATTGTGAATTAATATATTAGATCCCGATCTGATGCTGTGACCAGGGTACAAACGTTATAACGCGTTAGTACTCTGCGTCTACGACACCAAGTGTTCTGACACTGTTGCTTGAGTGCAAACAGTACAAGGCATCAGTTCGCTGCAGCTATGACACTTAAGTGTTCTGACACTTTGGCTAGAGTGCAAACGGTACAAAGCCTCAGTTTGCTGCGGCTATCACACCAAGTGTTCTGACATTTTGGCTTGAGTGCGAACGGTACAAAGGATCAGTTCAGTGCAGCTATAACACCAAGTGTTCTGACACTTTGGCTAGAGTGCAAACGGTACAAAGCATCAGTTCGCTGCAGCTATGCCACCAAGTGTTCTGACACTGTGGCTGGAGGCAAACGGTATAAATCATCACTTCGCTGCGGCTATGACACCAAGTGTTCTGACACTGTGGCTAGAGTGCAAACAGTACAAAGCATCAGTTCGCTGCGGTTATGACACCAAGTGTTCTGACACTGTTGCTTGAGTGCAAACGGTACAAAGCATCAGTTCGCTGCAGCTATGATACCAAGTGTTCTGACACTGTTGCTAGATGCAAACGGTATAAATCATCAGTTCGCTGCGGCGATGACACCCTGTGTTCTGACACTGTGGCTAGAGTGCAAACAGTACAAAGCATCAGTTCGCTGCGGCTATGACACCAAGTGTTCTGACACCTTTGCTTGAGTGCAAACGGTACAAAGCATCAGTTCGCTGCAGCAATGACACCAAGTGTTCTGACACTTTGGCTAGAGTGCAAACTGTACAAAGCATCAGTTCGCTGCGGCTATGACACCAAGTGTTCTGACACTGTTGCTTGAGTGCAAACGGTACAAGGCATCAGTTCGCTACAGCTATGACACTTTGGCTAGAGTCCAAACGGTACAAAGCGTCAGTTCGATGCGGCTATGACACCAAGTATTCTGACACTGTGGCTAGAGGCAAACGGTATAAATCATCAGTTCGCTGCGGCTATGACACCATGTGTTCTGACACTGTGGCTAGAGTGCAAACAGTACAAAGCATCAGTTCGCTGCGGCTATGACACCAAATGTTCTGTGTTGCTTGAGTGCAAACGGTACAAAGCATCCGTTCGCTGCAGCTATGACACCAAGTGTTCTGACACTTTGGCTAAAGTGAAAACTGTACAAAGCATCAGTTCGCTGCCGCTATGACACCAAGTGTTATGACATTTTGGCTAAAGTGAAAACTGTACAAAGCATCAGTTCGCTGCGGCTATGACACCAAGTGTTATGACACTGTGTTTAGACTAAGCAAAAGACTTATACAATGATTTCATGATGTACGTGGAACACATACTTGTACAATGTATATTATACATCTCCCAGGGTGCATATTTTCAGAATTATTATTTATGTTTTGGTAAACAAAAATCAATAATTAGACATCTAAAGACTTATTTCATCATTCTTTTTGATACCTCTTACACAAAAATTCATTTAGTTTCCCCAATTCACCGAGAAAAGAACCCTAAAGAAGTATAAATTCTAGGTATTTTATTTTTAAGGGGGGGTTGAGAAAAATGATTTTTGGAGAAAATATACACCCCTGTACAATGAATCTCTAAAGTTATCTGTTTACTGAAAATATACACCCCTGTACAATGAATCTCTAAAGTTATCTGCTTACTGAAAATATACACCCCTGTACAATGAATCTTTAAAGCTATCTGCTTACTGAAAAAGTTTATAATTCCTAGATCGTTGACAGAAATGTGTAAAGCAATTTAAAACTATTCACCTTAGAGGTTTCTTAGGGGCCTGAGGGTCCTTTGGCATCTTCATTTTCCTTGGTTTCTTAGGGGCCTGAGGGTCCTTTGGCATCTTCATTTTCCTTGGTTTCTCACCAATCTTCTGCTCATCTCTAGTTGAGCTTCCAGGCTCAAGATCACTCTCAGAAGTCTCCATTGAGACAGATAAACTCTTGTCTTCAGTGCTCATTTTAGTCTTGGAGATATCTTGAAAAAGATACATTTTAAGTACTAAAAATACCAACGTTACCAAAATGAATGCTTTAAAATGGTAAAATAAACGAAACAATTGTTCTTAATCAGGATTGACATGAAAAAACCCACCAAAAAACTAACAATAAAACCCAACTGAAAGTGGGCTTATTGAGTTTTATTGTCTTTTTTAGAGTTTTTCTAATTATTGCCTTTTCTTTTCCCCTATAATGACAAACTCTTCAAATAAAGATCAGGTCAGCAATCAATTTTATTGCTTTTAAAGGGAGTAAATACAGCACTAAAACTGACACATTTATTCTTTTCTTAAGAGTTTTGTTTCGATAGAACCAGGATATAAAATCCCTTTATCATTCTTTTGTCTGAGTAATCTAAAGTTTTTCGGTATTGTACAGTTGTCTTCCTTCTTAAAATTATCTAGGGATTAATCAGAGTAGACCCACCAACAATCAGAAATATGTATCCAAGTAAGAAAATTGAAATAGTCTGAAGGAACAATATAAAAAATTGCAGTATTTCCCCTTTGAAGAAGGGAGGTGATATTGTATTTGAAGAGTATTTATATTTGATTGTAAGGCCTATTATGACAACATTATTATTACTCATGAATATTAAGTTCACCTATTGCTTAACTAGTCTTAAGAATTAGTATTTATTTTAGTAGACTTTCAAATTGAAGCCCCAAAAAAAAAAAACAATAACACCCACTGGGCTGTTTTTTAAACCGGGGTTTTCCCAACCCTGGAAAATCAAATTCCTTTAGTAGATTTGGTATTAATAGATAAATTAACATTTTATCAATGAAGAAAAGTTTTCAGACCAACAACCACTTATATATGACCCTGGTAATTAGTTAAGTTTTCGATATCACAAAAGTAATCTGTTGGGGGCAAACAGAAATATATACATTCCTATTAAAAGATCACAATAGAAACTTCTGAGTACATTCATTCAGACCATGATTCATTTTTAATGGAATCTAACGATATCTACTTGTTGCAGAGACTTTACACTTTTATATACATTCCTAGGCTTTGTAACGCATCTTAATAATCGTCAACATCAAATGTGTCATGAAAAAAGCCTCATTAATGGTTTATTTTCATGTACTTAATAAACATCATTTTTATCTGCTTACAGTGTACACTGTTCAGACATATTTTTTGTATATTAAAATAAGATCCTTAAACTCCTTATACTAAACAATTAAATCCGAATACTCTTCCGACTTTCAAGGTCACTAGGATCATCCTTTATATCATCCAGGTCATAAAGATCATACTCTGCGTCCTCAAAATCATTAAGATCATATTCTGTAATCTTCGGATGATCGGGATCCTCCACAGTATCCTCCAGCTAAATTCTATGAGCCTCAATGTCCTCCCGATCATTAATATCATCCTCAGTATCCTCCCGATCAATGGGACCATCCTGAATAGCCTCAAGTTTGTTGGGATAATTCTCATTAGCCTCCAGCTCATTAAGATCATCCTCAGCATCCCACAGCTTATTGGTATCATCCTCGTATTAAGTATGCTCCTTTAACAAGCAGCTCTTCGGACTGATCTGAACGATTAAAAATTTATATTCAGGGTGGCCAAAACTTTTCTGAACAAATCCGTACAAAAATCCGTACATTTTCCGAAGAAATCCGTACAATCCATAATTTTTTTTTTTAAATCCGTACAATCCGTACATTTTTTTAAACCAATCCGTACATTTTTTTAAAATCCGTACATTTTTTAAGAAATCTGTACAATCAGTACAATTTTCGAAAAAAATCCCATTTTTGAAAAAAAAACATTAAAATTCAATTTTTCATTCATTGTCCTTTGTGTTCAGTTCATGTAAGAGGATTTAAACTTCTTCAGCAAGAATCAATCTGTAAAAAATTGGCTTCATACATATATACAAACTAAATACTGGGTACATGATACTAGGTGCATGATACTGGATACATGATACAGGGTACATGATACAGGATACAGGATACTGGATACTGGATACTGGGTACATTATACAGGATACTGGATACAGGAAACTGGATACAGGATACAGGATACTGGGTACTGGATACAGGATTCTAGATACGGGATACTGGATACAGGATACTGGGTACATGATACTGGGTACATGATACTGGGTACATGAAACTGGGTACATGATACAGGATACTTGATACAGGATACTGGATACAGGATACAGGATACTGGATACAGGATACTGGATACAGGATACTAGATACAGAATACTGGATGCAGGATACTGAATGCAGAATACTGGATGCAGGATACTGGATGCAGGATACTGGATGCAGGATACTGGATGCAGGATACTGGATGCAGGATACTGGATGCAGGATACTGGATGCAGGATACTTGATGCATGATATTGGATACAGTATACTGGATACAGGATTCTGGATTCTGGATACTGGATACTATATCAGGATACTGTATACAGGGTTCAGGATACAGGATACAGGATACTGGATACAGGATACTGGGCACATGATACAGGATACAGGATACAGGATACAAGATACTGATACAAGGTACTGGATACAAGGTACTGGATACAAGATACTGGATACAGGATACTGAATACTGAATACTGAATACTGAATGCTGAATACTGAATACTGAATACTGAATACTGAATACTGAATACTGAATACTGAATACTGAATACTGAATACAAGATACTGGATACAGGATTACTAGATACAGGATACTGATACTGGATACAAGGTACTGAATACAAGATACTGGATACAGGATTACTGGATATAGGATACTGGATTGATACTGAATACAGGATACTGGATCCAGGATACAGAACACAGGATACTTGATGCAGGATCCAGGATACTGGATTCAGAATACAGGATACTGGATACAGGATATAGGATTCAGGATACTGGATACAGGATACTTGATACAGGATACAGGATACCGGATACTGGATACAGGATACAGGGTACAGAATATTGAATGAATACTGGATACAGGATATTGAACTTAATACAGGATTCTGGATACTGGATACAGGATACTGGATACTGGGTACATGATACTGGGTACATAATTCTGGGTACATGATACTGGGTACATGATACTGGGCACATGATACTGGGTACAGGATACTGGGTACAGGATACTGGAACATCTTCTTGAATAAGCAATCAAATAAGTACTTATGGAACATATTCTCAAATAAACACTGCTTGGACATATCTCGAAAATTATGAATGAATTTTGATTGTCAATTGAAACGTTAATCAATCTAATATTATTTAGAATGCAGAAAATAAGTTAAACTAACTTCATTTTGACGAGATTTTTTTTTATTTTCATGAAAAATTTGCTGAAATGAGTGAAAATTTAAAAAAAACGGTGTATTTTCCATGATAAAAATCCATACAATTTGAAAACAAATCCGTACAATTTTAGGGGTAAAAAAAAACAATCCGTACATTTTGGCCACCCTGTATATTACTAGACTTTCTTATTATAATTTCACATGTTAAATTCTATTTCATAAACTTTTTTCAAGCTAACAAATTTATTTTAAACAATTATGCTGAAATACTCTTATCCCAAGGTATTTTCATTCGGGGAATATGTGATTTAGTTCATAAAAATCTATATCAAAGAAATAAAAAAGAGGTAAACATCTTAATAGAACCAATTTCGTCCATACACTTTCAGAATTTAGCCATGTTGACACCAACGCATTTTATTTAACATATTGTTATATTTTAATACGCATCACCTTGTGAGTAAAGGTTTATTGGGTGCTTGCTTGAAGATCCTAGAAAGTTTAACTTTAATTGATCTTCCAGCAGTCTTCTGCCTTGCATTAACCACAAGGAGGTGCCTTCAGTAGAATTGTGTTTTGTAACCTCTATTTCCAACAGATAAGTTCTTATCTTCGGCATTCATTTTTTTCTTCAAACACGGGTTAACAATTTAATTTTTCATTGAAAATACAAAATGTTTTAGTATCAACTGCATGTTGATTCATAAGGTTTACAAGCAAAAGCAAAATTGTGGCTCATCTCACTTACAATTTATTTATCATGTAGATACTCACAATATTAAATAAAAAATTGTCATGTTTCGAAAATACTGAAGATTTGATGTGTCAAAATATATTAAAACTTAACGTAAAATAAAATAATTTAATGTATCAGTTAATTGAAAAATATCTTTTCATTTAAAATCAATTTAGTTGTAGGTTTAATCAAAATATCTCCGTGAGCACTTAGCAGGTTACAAATAATCAACATTGAAAAATATCTTCTCATTTAAAATCAATTTAGTTGTAGGTTTAATCAAAATATCTCCGTGAGCACTTAGCAGGTTACAAATAATCAACATTTAACAGATTAAGGGCGACCAAAAATTCATTCTTTCTTTCACTTGGCACAAAAAGCAGGGGTGTATCCTCAATCAAATACAAAATTTCCCAAAACCAGAAGGAAAATTTATTTGAAGGAGGATCTCTAGGATTCTAGAAAAGACGGAGAAGACCTGTCTCGTCGAATCCCGCGGCGTGGCCAGCATTCCTAAAGTAATTAAAACATCTATGTTAGATCGAACAGATTGGCGGGTCAAAAAATCTATATTATTTTTTTATAGTTAAGATCATGAAACTGGCCCTTTAATTTTACATAGATGGCTTATAACAAATGAACGTAAAAGGCATTTAGGCCAACATGAAATTGTGTGACAAGGTAAGCTAGATACATTTTTAGAACTTATTACAACTGAACCACCCTGTACTACTAAACATGACAATTACGTGCATAGTTGAAAAACTGTTATAATACCCTTCCAAACAAAAAAGAAACCTCTCTATACTTAATGGGGCATATTTAATTATGTTGAGTTCATCTGCAACAATTCATAAATAAACAATAATAAACTTTGCCGTCTCGACATTGTCATCTATAATGAGAAACACTGTATAAATCCATAAAGGTAATCACGTTTTAGGCAGAGGCTTGAAGGACTTAGCTGTTTATACTTTAAATAAACAGACAAGTTCATAAACCTATGTATAAATTCTGCGCAGATCAAGACGACCTTTTAGACATTTTAACTGGGACTTCCTGTACCTGACAGTGAAGACGGAGTTCTGTCCGTTGTAGTGCATCCTCCTCTCCTGAGCCTTGATGAAGATATGACTCTGATCTCCCAGACTAGCGGTTATTGAGGCGAACTTGTTTCCCAACCTTACCTGACAAACATTGATTTATATATATTTAATTCTATTTCATTGGATTCTTTCGATTTGAATCCAGGTCCGGGATCTTACAATTTCGTTAAATCAGATAAGTTTAAAATATCAAAAGTATACACCATCAAGCCGCAAAGATATAGGGAATTTAAATTATTACAAAATTTGTATTTCTGATAAGAGTAAGGGCCAAAGGTTTACATTCAGAAAGTTAAAAGTCCTAGGTTTAAGCAAATAAAATAATCTAAGAATGCTTTATTATTAATAGCTGGAGTAACTATGCTAGCTCCCAAGCTAGTTTTTTCATAAGTTAAAAAATGTAACCTACTCAATTCCCATATATGAAAGTATAATTTAAAACTGTTGCTAGTGCTAACAGTTTCATCATATTAAAAAATGCACCAAACATGATTCTTTTCATTGGGTTGTTTAGGTTTAGAGTATTTACCTTCCCAGTGGATGGACTAGACTTGAGAAGGATGAACTCTTTATCATTTCTCCGTTCCACAACAGTTAATCCGTCCGGCTTCTGTTGTATATGGATCTATACCACAACATTTACAGCAGAGATTAAAAACTGTGCTCTGTATTATTTAAGGGGATATTGTATGAGTAAATGTTTATGTTTGTTTATAATACTGGTGAATAAGTGAGTCTTTTTTGGTTAAAATAATTTTCTTTTAAATATTAGGCCAGTACCTTTTCCTTTCATTCCTTGTAGGCAAAAGTGTAAATGAATTGAGTCGTTGCGACTTACAAGATTTCTAATCCCTACATCTTTGCAACCTGATGATGTGAACCTTTGATATTTCAAACTAAGATTATTTTGATTTAACATGATTTATAGTTTAAATATCTAAGGTCTACAACATTGAGTTACAAAGATAAAGGGTTCAGAAAATCTGAATTTGTGCCAAAGGTTCAGTTTCTTTCAAATCCAACACATAACAATTCAATTTCTTTCCATCCAAGTGTATTGTAAATGTGTAAAATGTTTCCTGTCCAAAGACCCAGCAATCCTCGTTCTTATAGTTTCTCCAATACTGAGCTTTACTGAGCTCTAGAGAACAGATATCCACACTATCCTCCAGATTCTGTTTACACGATTCCCTGGACAGTGAACAATAATTTAGTTAAAAGATAGAAAAAATATTCAGAAGACTATTAGATCTGAGGCGCGGTTTGAGAGGAATTAGCAGAGCTTATGATCAAGATCAGTTGGATCCGCAACATTTTGACTTTCTTTTTCCGGATACAAGAGTTCATCAAGTTTCAGCATAAAAATAAGCGGGAAAAAGAAGAACAATTTAACTTTATCGACCTCCTTGTAAATAAGTAGAGTAAAATTAAATAAAACTATATTTGTTGTTGTAATGTTGTATCATGAGTGCGAGAAATGTTTTGCTGTGATTTTTACTTTTTCCAGTTTGTTTTCGATCAAATTAAAGTATTTTTATTTCGATCTGAAACAAACCAGAAAACATTAAAATCCTGGCAAAACTTTTATGTTCTGAATAATACCAATTACAATGACATAAAAGAAATTTTCATGAATGGATCCGAATCCGGATCCGTTTTTTTAGGGCGGATCAAGACCTGGATCTGTTTCCCCGCATCAAAATGAAAAGGATCCTTGGCACTGGAAATTAGTCCTAAGACTCAACTGCCATTGAGACTAAATTAGTCTTAAGCTATGAATAATATCGGAGCCCAGTCTACCTTAGATTATTGGAGTTGAGACTAGTGGATTTAGAAAAAAGACTATGCTTTAAATCGTGGCCTCTAAGCGGTAACTTTGACGAGATAAATATGATCAAATATTAACATGCCAACGCATGTATATTATTTATATCGATTAATACAAGTATCAACACCTGCCTCGAACTCTTATATTAAATCGCTATATTTTTAAAACCTAATGGTGTAAAACTTTCAAACTTAATAACTTTGTTATGAAATCAGCCACCTTGAAAATTATCACTGTTTATTGCCTTCCCAAAACTTTGGAAAAAAGGACAGAGACTCAATAAATACTACATCTCACTAAATGAATCCCTATATCTGTGCAACCCGATGTCGTAGACCTTTGATATTTTAAACTGTGAATTCTGTAAGATAAAATAATTTAAGTTTAAAATATTAAAGGATTACACATCAACTAAAAAAGATTTTAAATATCTTAATAGTTAAATGTTTAAAATGTTGGAAAGATATAAGGAATAGAAAATTAGAGTTTAAGGAGAGTACTCTGTTGAATGATCTACCTGAAGAGGGTCTCAGCAACGTTGTTCTCGTAGAGATCGTGGAACATATCTGATGTAGTTCTAGCTCCAGCCACATCCACCAGGTATACCAGGGTACAGTTGTTAGCAGTGAAACTTATACCTGGATACAATAATATTATCATCCTAATTCTTGTTTCAAATCTTCTAAAGCCGCTCAATCTTAACAACATGAACACTTAAATCCGACTTAAAAAGAACTATGTAGGTTTTTTCTATTAAACTAAAAAGGAATTTTTTTAGAGTTAAAGTAACAACTCCTCTTAGGTCTACATTGATTGGGAAGAAAGGAATTGAGGCTTTGCCACAAATTTTCTTATCCCTATATCTTTGCAACCTGATGGTGCAAATCTTTGATATTTTTAAAATATGTAGTATTAATATTTCGAAATATTTAAGGTCACGAGGTTGGGTTGCAAAGATATGGGAATTAAATAATCAGAGATTGTGTCAAAGATTTTAAATTCCTTTACAAATATCAGTCAAGCTCTTCCGTAAATAGTTTAACATTAAAACTATATTTTCAACTTGTTGAAAACAAAATGTATATTATAACCATAAATTTACTTTCTACTTATAACACAAACCTTTAGGATACATCTTGGCGTTCTTTACACTGATATCATCCATGCACTGTACCTCAATCCTGGATCCGTACTGGAGCACACGTCCTGATTATCATTATCATTAGTTTAGTTTATTGAAAAATCAACTTTTTTACCATTTCATGAAATAATACAAGAACCTTTCCAATGTAAAAGAGATTTTCATTTTATGTTTTCAATAAAATTAAAGAAATGATTTTCTTGCAGTCTTAATAGATAAATGTAGAAACTCAGCGCTGTGCACCCTTCTTGTGAGGGATAAAAGCTTTAAATTTAAATTGAACTATTTTTGTCACCCCTTTCACAATACAATTTAACAAAATCATACTGACATCCTTCAATCATCATTCAGTGATATTTTTGTCTGAGGGGAAACTTTTTATTTCTCATTTATAAACTGATGGAAATGATGGAAAGATATGCTTAGATGAAAAATAGGATTAATATCAGTTTAGATACAAGGTTACCGACATAAGGTTCAGATTCACTGTACAGAATAGTTTTTTGCATTTTTGGTTATAAGCAATTGTATATATTTTTCTTCCGTTGTCAAATCATGAACTGTACCTTAACAGGCGACAAATTCAGAATTAGTTTCAAATTTTTGTATAAGAAAGGCATTAATAAAGTCTCATTCTTTTGGGGCAATCCTGTCGCAGGATGGTCTATTACAGCCAGACATTCTCCTATATTTCTGTGCAGTTCTTATGAAATCTATTTTTAACTTAAGATTGAAATCTTACCTTTAGGATGAACCATGGCCATCTGTAGACCACAGGCAGACACTGCCAGGGCAGTATGATTCTTCCCGTCTCTAATTCTAATAGCCTTCAAACACAGTTAACTAATACTTTATTTGTTTATACAGTATACAGTATCTGAGATTGGAGCTTCTCTGTAGAATATCGTTCATTTTAAACGCGCGCTTATTCTTGGAATCCGATGTGTGCAATTTAAATTTTGAGGTTGAAGCCTTGATCCCACAATTCAAATTATCCCGACAGGGTATTGCCACCACGGGATAACGAACAGGATAAAAATTAATTCCTATATCTGTAAAAGACGGAGATCAATGCATGCTGAGATTCATAAAAGATAAGTTCCGACTTTTGGCCTCTCCCAGAAGCGTTAGAAATAATTTTACCTCGGACTTAAGTTTTACAAATCCGTGTCTAGAAACAAACGGTTCTAGACTTGGATACGCAAGTTGTGAATTTTTATTTATAGTGACATAAAAAGCACATATTTCTTCATGAAAGTGTAATTTATGGTAAAAATAATAATTGCAAACGATTTTCGGTTAATGAAACATAGCCCCAGATTTCACAATTATTTAAAAAGACTAAAAATGCCGAAATAATTTCAGATGACAAAGCTTTTTATTCTGTCACTTTTAACCCATTTAAAAATGTTTTTTTTTCGTATTTCCTTTACGTGCTTCTAGCTGTTAAGTTAGACTTTTAGATAGGGTAGATCAAAACAATTTAAAAGTTTGTGTGAAAAGTATTGTTTAGCTTCCTTGTTTGCTGATATATCAACCACAATCTTGTGGTTAAGATGTAGAGTTATATATCCGTCTATATCAACAAAAGCTGGGACGCCCTCCTAAAACATTTCAGATCAAAATGCTGAAAATATTGTAGCATTCTGATTTTATTGGTCTTAAAAACCAGTATATTCATATACTTTTACTTTTACTTCATATCAATAAACTGTACACGAAATAATATTACTTCATTTAAATTCCCAAACGCCAAAATTTTGTGAATGTACATACAGGGTGTCCCACGAAACATGACAGTTGGTGAATAGTTTAGAATGTCTTTTTCCATAATTTGTTAAGTTGTTTGGTACCAAAGATCAATAAAAATATTATATGGGAGCATGCTATATTAAAATTACTTTCAAAGTAAAAGATAATGAAACAAAAGATTTGTTTAACTTAAAATAACGATTTATTAAATGTCATGTTTCGTGGGACACCCTGTACTTGCAGAATGTGAATTAACAACAAATAGATCGGATGTTATATCTCCTGTCTGTTCAGTACAAGAGGTTATGGTTTACAAAGTGTACAGTACACAAAGTACAGAGTACATGGTAAAGAGACAATGCACATTGTACATTGTACCGGAAGTCCACGTATAAGATAGCTGACCTGATCTATAGGTTCCACGTACTGCTGGTGTACGGGAGGAGGGAATGGGAACAGGTTCACCTAAAAATACAAGTGCTTAGGATCCGGATTTAACATTTCTTCTCCATCCGGATGCGGATCAGTATGCGAATCCATTTGAAAAAACATCAGTCAAAACATATAAAAAAAACCACTTTTTTAAATCTAGATCGTTCTTTCAATATAAGCTTTTTTCGGAGTTCATCTTCATTCCCAGAAGTCGTAGACCTTTGAAATTTTAAATTGTGAATCCTGTCAGGTCAAATACTCAAGTTTGAAATTATTTTAAATATAAGAGATTGAAACCATCAGGTTTCAGATATAAAGGGATATCCAAGGTTTACCAAATTGGGTTGCAAAAATATTGGGATTAGAAAATCAGAAAAATTCCGTTTTTTTTTATTCCCGACAAATACAACCTAGTTTCATTTTTAGCAAATGATTCACTAATCTTTATTTACAAGATAGAAAACAAAATTCAACCGTCGGTTAGATTTAGTATAGTTTAGTATGGGTCCAGGTCGTCGTAAAAGTTTCATCCTTAGTGGGTCACTCTGGACAGTGTACAATATTAACAGTAAATCTTTATAACAAGATATTCATATATATATGTTGCGTAGAGCCTGCCAAACGGCTGGACCGATTAAACTGAAATTTTTTTATGGACACTCATTGGCTGAAAAAAATTCGAAAATTCATTTTTTTTTCTCTCTCAAAATTGTTATCGAATAAAACCCTTCATGTGTTATTTCTCTGTCGGTTTATAACATAAGTAATTTTGGATATTTGTTTTAATTTTCTTCAACTTTAGCTGATCAAGACATTTTCTTATTCCTTTAATGAAAGTCAGTACATTTCATAATTCTGTTATTCTCAAATGAGAGATGTTAAAATTTGGAACCTTTTTTTAAAGTAATTGATACAATAAACCAGCACAAAACTATGTTTTGAAAATTCGTTTATTTTCATATTTTTTCTTTACCTTTACTCAGGGGTTTAACAATTGTAAACAATATCATACATAAAACAAACTAACAAAATAATAGTAACTACTCCTATACTAGACTACCTAAGTATATGGTCCTGAACTACTCATAGACTGACTACCTGAGTATATATAGTCCTGAACTACTCATAGACTACATGTGTATATAGTCCTGAACTACTTATAGACTAACTGTGTATTTAGTCCTAAACTACTCCTAGATGACTACCTGAGTATATAGTCCTGAACTACTCCTAGACTGACTTCTACCTGTGTATATAGTCCTGAATTACTCATAGACTGACTACCTGAGTATATCCTGTGTATATAGTCCTGAACTACTCCTAGACTACCTGAGTATTAAGTCCAGAACTACTCATAGACTAGACTACCCGAGCATATGTCCTAAACACCTCCTAGACTAGACTACCTTAGTATATAGTCCTGAACTACTCATAGACTGACTACCTGAGTATATATAGTACTGAACTACTCCTAGACTACCTGTGTCCTCAACTACTCCTAGATGACTACCTGAGTATATAATCCTGAACTACTCATAGACTACCTGAGCTGAAAACTTTAGAATGAAATATCCAGAGAAGCTCCTAAATCCTTAATATCCAGATTAAATATTGCTTGTTCTCCACATGAATTTAAACTCCAGATTAATTATTCGACGGGATATCTGGATATTTCATTCTAAAGTTTTCAGCTCTGAGTATATATAGTCCTGAACTACTGATTGACTGACTAACTGAGAATATAGTCCTGGACTACTCCGAAATTGGACTACCTAAGTATAAAGTCCTGAACTACTCCTAGACTAGACTACCCGACTACCCGAGCATATATTCATAAACACCTCCTAGACTACCTGAGTATATATAGTCCTGAACTACTCCTAGACTGTTTACCTGAGTATATAGTCCTGAACTACTCCTAGACTACCTGAGTATAAAGTCATGAACTACTCCTAGACTAGACTACCCGAGCATATATTCCTAAACATCTCCTAGACTAGACTTCCTGAGTTTATAGTACTGAACTACTCCTAGACTAGAATACCTGACTATATAGTCCTGAACTACTCCTAGACTAGAATACCTGAGTATATAGTCCTGAACTACTCCTAGACTAGAATACCTGAGTATATAGTCCTGAACTACTCCTAGACTGCCTGAGTATATAGATAGATAGATAAATATTCATCATTAAAGGTTTTAATTTTACATAGTTATATCTTTTTATATACTAGACTACCTGAGGAGGAGAATATAGTCCTGAAGAGAAGATATCATGAGTAGTACTAGAAAACCTAGGAGAGAACGGAGATCCAGCCAAACTGAGCAGATACAAAATTAACAACAAATTTAGGTTATAAAAAGAACTGTTGAATAAAATAGTTGATTAAAAAATTTACTTAAATCTGTTTTGGTTTACAAATTATGCAATGGCATTTTTATATATTACCGATTAGTTCAGAAATAAAATTCGATCCTATATGTGAAATGTGAATTTAAGTAAAAGAATGGTTTAAGTTTATATTTTGTGTTGATTTTTCATACTTTACTCAGTACATACAAAATATTCGTTCATCGAGCTTTGAACTTAACAATTTTTAAACCCGTTACTGATGCATACCTAACATTATTCTCCGTAACTCTGAACTCATCCCTCGGCCAGCACTGTTCCTCTCTACCACTATTATCAAGCACTGCAAAGAGCTGAGGTGATCCAGAAAAGACAGGGTTAACCCCACGAATATCTGGCCTGATCTCATTGTATCTCCTTTCTTCAAACCTCTGTGGAGAGTTGATTATTATATTTGGTTCCGCTGATATCCTAGATACAGGAATACTTCTCGTCTGCAGCGCCGGGGATCCGTCGGAGTTCTGGAACGAGTAATTACTATTCCTTACAATCTTCAGGTACTCATTCCGTTCCTGTTCCTTGGAAGCCTCCTTCCTTTTCTCGATAATCGAAACTCGATCTTTGGCTGGGACTGTCCCCGTTTCTACTGGAACCTTTTTAGCGATAGGAGGAGTAGCAATCCTAGCACTTAGATCTGGCACTTGCTCCGGGATTGTGATACTTTTAGCGTAGGATTTCTTGGCAGTAGCCTTTACCACAGGAGTGCTCCTAGGAACCCTTGGAACATCATCATTCCGGGGTTTCAGGACTGGCCTTTTTTCAGGCTTTAAAGCAGATTCTTCTGATTTGATCGGGGTATTTGACTTTAAGATCCGAGTACTCTGCAAGTTCTTTACCTCACCAAGAACTTTGGTCTCAGAGATCTTTCCGTCATTTCCGTTCCTGTTCTGCAGGGCGAACTTCTCTTTGAGAACAGGTTTCTCCTTCTGTCCTCTGGGAAGATCATTTTTGACTCCGATATTCTCCTTGTTCTCTGGTCTCTCCTGTTTAGTCATTGTTCCGTTCTTTGTTCAGATCTAGCAATAGAGCAATATACATTATAATATATTTTATATGCAATTTAGCAAAAGCGTAAACAAACATAATCACATGAACGACATTTAACGGTGTTAGAAAATACAAAGTTTTACTCAAGGATTTAGCTTCTATTTTATAATTTTTACAATGTATGTATAAATTTACAAAAATTTCAATATTCTTGGTAAATAATTGTAAAATAAAACATTTTTGATAATAAACTTGTTTCAGTTGATAAAAAATAGCATGAAAGTTTAAAATAATTTAATGTCTCCAATTTGAAAAAATCGTTATTCTACAAATCAAAATAGTCTACTGGACAATAATATATTTTTTGAGACAAGAGTATGTCTTCGAGTTTAGTTTAAACTGGAATCTTTGACTGCTAATATGGAGTTAAAGACGTTTTTATTACTCCATCAAGGCAATCCTGACTTCGGCACCATGACAAACTCACGAGAAAGAAAAAACCAACTACGGAAATTTTAAACCCCTAAATCTCCGCTCCTATCATATATAATCTATACTCTTAGCCCCCCTGGCAGCCTACGGTGCCTTAGACGGCTAAACCTGACCATTAAAAATTAGGCAGTTAAAAAAGTTATGCATTAAGTTAGAGAAGGAAAACCCATTTCAAAAAAACTATTTGGATGATAACTCCCCTTAACCACGAATGACGTTGCTAGTTAGTTATGGGTTTTAAGTTTTTTTTTATTAGCCAGGGTGAGATTATGTCTGTGTAAAACCGAGTTTGAGAAACAGTTTTTTTGGACTATATACTGCATTGTTGATCTTTAGAACTTTCCGTTCATAATAACTCATAGGAACAATGGTTTTCCCAACTTTATAACTTTCAAGAGATAAGATGATTAAGGGTTTTTAGCAAGGGTTATAGTAAAAGTTGCCGAGCACTGCGGCAAGGATAGGCTTAGGGGTCAAGCGCTGCAGCCACATTATCAAATTGAAAAAGTGATGATCTGTGGGCTTAGGTTAGGACTATTTCTGGGCCAAGCGCTGCGGCCACATTTATCATTTTGATAAAGCAAACGCCGATAGGAGGGATTAGATAAGTCAAGACAATTTCTGGTCCGAGCGCTGCGGCTACTTAATTCTGTTCATCAGACCTATACGAAATGTGCATGCATCTTTCCTACATAAGTGTACATCTAACCTATATAACGTGTGTATCCGACCTACAAAAGTTGTGCATCGATCTACTAAGGTTGCACACCTGACCTACAAATGCAATGCATCCGACCTACAAAATGTGTGCATCCAACCTACTGTAAAGTTTGCAACCGACCTACAGTAAGTCGGATACACTTTTTTTTCAATGGAGTTCAGTATCCGACATACAGTTCAACGGACCAACAGCAGCTAGAAACTGCTGAAACACTACGTTCGGGTAGGTCCGAAGTATCGTAGGACAGATTTAATACAATCGACCATTTGCTAGAAGATATATTGGTGCGGCTAAGGAAGCGCTATGGGTGAGCGCCTTGACGCAAGATAATGCTTGTGAATACATTGCGGGATGAAGGCTTCACGGGTGTGGCCTGCCTTCCCTCCCTCCTCAGGATAGATAAAACGTGATTAAGAGAATTCATGAAAACTGAAACCTTCATGAAATTAAGAAGTTATACATAGCCTTTAAATAACCATTAACTGTAAATCACATAAACTCCATAAACTTGTCATAAAAACAAAAAATGAAGAAAATTGCTTTAATATCCGGTTGCAGTGCAAAGATAATTTAAAAAACATTTAATTTCTTTATCTTTTCCCAACGCGATTTAGACTATGAATACTGTTGGATAAAAAAGATTGTGTTTAAAATATCAAAGGTAATTAAACGATCAGGCTTCTAATATTGGATTGGATTTAGGTTTGTGGCAACAACTTGGTTCTTTCCGATACGAACACATCTACCATGAATATTCCAGTATTAATTCTTCACATTTGGTTTCTAAGACTAGTTAAAAGTACGCTATTAATCAGAGATCCCACAAGTTTAATAGAATCTTTCTCGATCGAGAGCAGGTTGGATTCCAGTATCCATTCTTCACATTTGGTTTCCAAGACTCGGTAAAAAATCCTCTACTTATCAGAGATCCCAGAAGTTTGATCGAATCATTCTCGAAAGAGAGCATGTTGGATTCCAGTGTTCATTCTTCATATTTGGTTTCTAAGACTCGGTAAAAAAATCCTCTATTAATCAGAGATCCCAGAAGTTTGATAGAATCTTTCTCGATCGAGAGCATGATGGATTCCAGTGTTCATTTTTCATATTTGGTTTCCAAGACTCGGTAAAATATCCTCTACTTTTCAGAGATCCAGAAGTTTGATCGAATCTTTCTCGAAAGAGAGCATGTTGGATTTCTATTCTGACGCCATTCTACTCCCTTTTCGTTGATTCATCATCGCCACTGTATACGAATTTCTGTCCAATCTACTTATCACAATCTCTCAGAAATAGCATTTTCCTTAACATGACACAACACAAAACGTAATAAAATGAAAATGGTCGGAAAAAAAGTACTCTTTTTACGAGCTGTCTGTAAAATGTTTCATAAAAAATCGAAATCACAAATACACGAGTTTAAATGTTTAGTTCATAATTACTACTTCAAATTTACATTGTAGGATGCATATATTTAATTTATGTACAAATTTCAGAGTTTCTATTTACAGAACTACTAGTGTGTGTGTAGTGTACTTTATGATTGTTTACATCTGCTTCAATTTAAGCATTATTTTAAACAATTCAAATTCAACAAAAAGTTTAATAAATTTTCTCTAAAATGCTTCTCAGGTCACGATATAGCCGCTAGTGAGGTATAAGAATATAAGAGTACAATTATAATTTCAGGTGCCACAAGGCACTCGGATCATCATTTCCGTCTTAATCCAATCTTTGCTCGGCTTAATTTTGATAGCGGAGTGGTTTCGATTCCTGTTATTGATTTCCGTGCGGGTTTCAATACAGATTTACCCACATCCTTCGGCTGGAGTTTGGTTCGCCCTGCCCAGGTGACGGTTCTTTCCCGCTTCATAGGAATCTGGTTCTCTGTCTCTCCTCTCTTTCTCTTGGTTCCACTCACCGGGGTTTCCGTGTTCCCGTTCCGGTTTCGGAGAATCCGAGGAGTTTCAGGATTCTTAGACTTCTCTCCCTTCTCCAGGTTGGACCGGAGAGCACGCACCTCTTGGGTGAGGTGATCAGTCTGTTGACTAACCTTCTGCTCCATGGCCTGAAAGAACAACAGATTAAATAAGACAGAGATAGTTGTCGACTAGTAGTTAAGATTAACATCTAGGTGAAGAAAAAAAAGACTTCAAATGGAGGGCATGGAGAAAAAAGTTACATGGAAGCATAATACGAAGCCAAAAAATGAAGTAATTATCAAACAATACCAAAGATATCTCACCTTTAATTTATTGGTTAGATCTTGACACTTTTTCTCCACCTCTGCTAGTTTAGCGGCAGGAACCATATTGTCGGAGATATTCTCCGTATCAGAATCATCCCGTCCCAACCCTTCAATAGATCGTTTACGTCGACTAGGTTTCAAAACCGGTCGTCCACTAGACTCTCGTTTCTTAGATCTAATATTTGCGGCAGGACTATTTATGGCAAGGTTGGCTAGTTCTCTACTGATAGATTTTCTAGCTCCAGGTTTAGGTTGAACTACAGGACTATGCTCTGTATCGGAGCTTGAGATCTCATTCACCTAAACGTAAGAATTATACATAAAAATAAAAATGGAAATATTGATTTTTAATTTTGAAATTTTGTAAAATCGAGAAAAAACAACATTTTTGATCTGATCGATCATAAACCTTTTTGACGTTTATTAAATTCAAACAACCGAACCCAAAGTCAAGACCTTCATTGGTCTTTTTTAGCTTTACCGCTAAAAAAAGTCTAGTCTTTCAACAATTTCAGTTTGAACACGTGTAAGAATACTATGATACAAGTCATACAACTTGTTATACAGCTTTTCACCCACCCCCCTCATCCTTCCCTATAATAGGCTTGAAAATACTTGAGAATAAGGCTTGATTCCAGATTGCTATACCTGAAGTGTTTTATCATTGGTTGGAGGTTTAGCAGCAGGTTTAGTGTTGGAGGTCGGTTGCTGTTGACTGGAGGTAGAGGAACCAGGTAGTATCACGGCACTCAAACTATTGAAAGTTTTAACCTGAACCTTCTCAGGTTCCGACTTCGTGGAGTCGTGAACAATACGGGACGAGGTTTTCGGAGACTGCTCTCCGAGAGAATCAACCAGGTTTTTCCCCGCTGCCTCCTCAGGTTTCTTCGAGTTGGGGAATCTTTAAAAAGTTCCAAAATTAGCTATTATTTTTTGATTATATATCCAAAAAATGGGCACAGAATTCCTATTGGATACTTAACTAGCTTGATCAATACTTAAGTGTCTCCAACTTTAATCTTCTCACTTCAATGAATCAACCCTTCCGTCGCTTTTCACAAAAATCCATAGCAGGAAATAAGTAATTGGACATCTTCTAATTTTTTATCTTTCAGGTTATTTACTTAAAACTTCCATTCTTTGGTTTGTTAATTTAACAAATTTCGTTGCCATATAAGTTGTGTTTTTACAGCTTTTTTCCATTAAATTAAAATAGGGACTTAAAATTTTTTTTTGGAAGTCAACTGACCTGGATATAATGCTGAGGCCTTTAGATTGTTTGCAGGGTTTAGGAGGTAGAGGAGGCGCATTAGTGTTGTTACAAGGTTTCTTGGCAGTATTTGATCCTCCACGTTGAAGTTCCTTCTGACGTCGTAGAACTTGTGCTCTAGGAGGCCCTGGAGGATCCAGCATAACAACCACTACACTGGTATTGTCTGCTCGCAGCTTATACATTTTCCACCTAAATTAAGAATATTGAAAATCTAAGAAATTAATGACATTGCATTTTTTAAATATTCAAGATCGATAAAACACTAAACATAAATACTACACTATTCAAAAGTTAGATGATCTCACATAATTTGTTTTATTCTATGGTAATATTCCGTAGATATGAAGAAAATATATTTGACCGTCTAAATAAATAAAGAAATTATCAACCCCCTCCTTCCCTTGGAAATTAAGACCGAGCCCCCTTCAAAAATAACAGAAATTAATGTAATAGCTATAAACAGGTATTCATTCTATTAGAATTAAATTAGAAATTAGAAATTATCATCTATCCCAGTATACCCCTACCTATCCACAGCCTGATCGACTAGACGTTTACTGGGGTTCTGCCAGGCGTGCCCTGCCTCAGGGTCCAGCATATGCTTCTCGTTATTCTTCTCCGCAACCTTGACAGCATTGACAGCAGCCTGTGGGGACAAAACATTCCAAGCTCCATCTGTACCCAGCACCAAACATCTGCAAGTAAACACTTTTTACTTCAATAAAACATTTGTGCACTTACTTGGTAAAACTTTGTAGCATAATTGAATAAAAAAAAACTTTAAGATCTGAAGAAAATGTTCTTTGTTGTTAAAAGAAACATTGAAGAAATTATAGATCGACGAATAATTTACATTTTAAAATTACAAGTGAATTTATTTGGAGTAGGTTCTTCTAAATGTAGGGGGGCCAAAATCTTACTTCAATTAGAACCATTTTTATCTTTTAAATAAAAAGAATAAAGTTTTTTGGGTTTTCTAGAAAGAAGGAATTTTTACTGGCGAACTTGTTCACTCTTGACCGGCCATGAACCTGACGCTTATTGAAAAAACTAGCAGAGAGTAAACAATACAAATATAGATGCCAACTGACCTGTGTTTGCTAATATCTATAGAGTAAACATGAAGATCTGGTTCAGGAGAAACGACAAACACATCCTTCTTACTGTTGTAGGACCAGAGATCTCCAAGTGCGCGCGCCACTGCCAGGAAAGGAACTTCATCGATAGGTGTGCTACGGCGAACAGGGCCGGTATGACCTTTATGAACAAAACAAAATAATTTTCGAACTTATTCATAAATTTTTGGAACCGGATATTGGTATGACAATATTAAAATAAAGTGATGACATAAAATTTACCAAGAATCTTTCATCTTAAGTGTATTTGCGGAATTCCGATATCCGATTCCCGGAATTCAGATTTAACCAATTTTTTCGTATTTTTGAAATCGAAATCTGAGCTTGGATTTAGTCTTATTTTTAACTGTGAAAAGTAAGAGAAAATTTTCGGAATATTTGTTCAGAAATTCCGGGAATTATCGGTTAGTGAAAATTCCTATGTTATGTGGCAATGGTACATAGTGATAATAATTTGTACATAAAAATAACGATTTGTACATAATAGTAATGATAATTTTACCAATTTTAGGACGGTTCCATACAACTCGAGGAACTCCTGACTTGTTAACAACCTTCCCTCCAGCAGCTTCAATCCTAGCTAGCTCTATCTCACATTCAGGTTTATGGTCCCGGGTTAAAGGCCTAGAAGTAAGACATGATAATATCATAAATTTGAAGGAGACTAGAATTATGGAGAGGGAGTAAGGGTTGCTTACGTATTACGCCAACTCAGGAATTGGTTCTTACTCAATAACAAAGATTGGAGACAAGAGCGAGGGGAAAGCTGTCTCTAACGTTACGTCACTAAGAAGAGGGAGCTTAGTAATTTAGTGACGGAATATGAAAGTTAAAAACTAGTTTTGTGATTAGCAATTAACCGACCAGTAATAGCTAACGACAATATGTTTTAAAACTTTAATCTGTAGAAGTTTGCTTTTATCAAACAAGCAAATGTGTTACCCTATTGCCCACCACTATCTACAGTTTGACACGAACCTAAAACAACCCTTATCCAACTCCATTCAATTCTATATAAATAGAAAAACACTTGAAACAATTCGCCCGTTTTGCATTAAAGCATAAATTTCTTAGAAGATTGTATACGACTTAACTAATCCAAGGATTTAACTAAGATGATTCTAGGTAAATATTAAACCATGTACATTGTACAGTGTTCACAAAGAAGTTTTTTTTAAAAAAAAACATGCGATAAAGACGCAAAAAAAAATTCACTAATAATATTAAAAAGCCCATTAAATTTCTAGTATCTAAATAAACCCCGAAATTGATCTTTAGTAACACTTACACAGCGTTCCATACATCAGGATGGTCAGGGTCCTGTTCTCCTAGTACTATTCCACTGTCGCCAACATGGCCTAAAAACAACACATTCAGCGAACAAAACTTCGAAAAACATCTCGGAGATAGGGAAATTCAAAGGTGGGGGGGGAACTTGTATTGAAAAAAAATTGGGTGAAAAGCTAGAAAAGAAGAGGTTTTAAAATGTACTGATTTGTTTTAATACTTTCTCCCAATCATCAAAATTTAACCCAGTGCATAGGATCCATTTAATTTTTCTTTAAGATACAGATTTTTTAACAAACAAAAGTTTTAATTAATTTTCTTCGTTTTTTTTCGCTTAATTTAATGCTTAAACTTGAGGAACCATTCTGCGATAAGAAAAGTTTTGATTATCTCTCTAATTTAACAGTTTAGATTTGAGTTTTAGGAGTGAAGTTTTTTAATCACAGTTTTTGATTGATATTTTGCCCCTTGGATCAGGCTCTGTGGATCCGTTTTCTTTGCAGATCCGGATCCAGGAAGGCAAAATAATGCGGATCCGGATCCTTTGCACTGGTTTAACCCCTCCTCCCACAAAAATTAAACCCATCTATTATTACCTACGAATATCTTCCCCCTTCTGATGAAAGCAATACTGGCAGTAGTCCCTGCCGTGCTGGGTAGTCCTGAACCAGTCTTAGTCCAGTTCTCCAGGTCCCCCCACATATCCTGCTGGGTCTTCAAGAACCCCTCCCTAACCAGCAAAATCAAACTCACTTTTTTGGATAAATAAATTTCTTCTTTAAATATCATTCCTACTCCCTCCCCCTTCCCTCTCTAGCATTCTGGGTGTTAAAGGGATTGAAAGCGTAATTTCAAATTACCCTTCATGCAAAGATCGCGTTCGATTTACAACGGTGCCCTTAATAGCTCTGTCTCATCAAGCATGAATTAGATATCTTCATTTAGCGGTTTCTTTGCGAACAAAACTTGCGCCTTTCTTTAAAGAAGTAATGGAGAAATTCTCGGAACTAAACATCAGTTTTTCCCACATTTTTGATCAGATTAAGATTTCGAGGGTACTGATGTAAATCAGGCATTGCCATTTTTGCTGAACTGAGTAATTGGAAATTACACTTTCAGTTTGAAACAGCATATTTCTCTCGCGGTATTATTATTCATCTCAAAAAGGTAAATTAAAATGATGTAGACAAGCAAAAGGGCAATTTCTTTTTCCCTTCATAATAGAAACAATCATCAAAAGAAGATCAACCCAGACCGAAATAATTTTTCAACAAATGTGAAACTAACAATTGTTTTATCTAATCTATAAGGGTTTAATTATCATTAACACCAAGTTTTAAATATTTCTCTCTCTCTCTCTGTCTCTGAAGAAGCAAACCGGAAAATACTTTTGAAGAGTTTGTTTAAAATTTCCCTAATAGATTTCAAAACCAGATCGTCATTCTCTGACCAAAAACTGGGATGCTTGGTTATGTTGTCCATCAAATGTTCCTAAAAATATTTAAATTAAGTAATTTATTGAACCTCGTCGTATGTCGTTCTATTTATACCCGAGTCCTTAAATTTGATTTGAGCGCGGTCATTTTCATCCCAGAAAGGTAAATTTGTAAACGAAAAAAAACTCTATTTCGTATTGCTAAATCTTTTAACTTTCACGAATTACACAACAAATATGAAGCTATACTTATGACAAACGTTAACTGCTGAGTGCTGGGGTATTTAAAGATTGATCCTTCTAAAAATAAGTTAAAACTGGGGAAGACGACATTTCCCAGGAAACATTGACACCGTAGTTCTGATGGCAAAGATGTCGAGTAGATAATTATGGACTTTAGATGTTAAAAATCATCATGTCGGAGCCTAAATATTTGCAGGGTCAGACCAGAACACCAAAGAATAAATTGTTAATATTAAAATGTGAGAGAAGGATCCAAATCAAATCAAGCCTTTAGGGAGGTCCTACTATCCCCGCTCTAAATTCAAAACGACATTACAATATCAAAAACGAAACAAGTTTGCTTTAAACTATTGGCCAATATCTGATCATAGGTGTTGTGGTCAGACCCTAACTCAAATTTTAGCCCGAAACCTCGAGTGATTAAAAAATATACTTTATAAAAAGTGATGATCCATAAAGTTCTGAAAATATGACAAACTTTAACAACTAAGTGTCTAATAGTCGCAGTCGCTCGGCCCCCCAACCCATCTTAGCCGCAGCGCTCGGCCCAGGCATAGTCCCAACCTATCCTAACCCACAATATAGATAACAAGAGTAGATTGTAGTTGTATAATAATTAGATGTAAAGAAAATGTGTGATTGTAAAAGGTTTCGCGGTTTATTACTTTAAGTATGTATGGATATTGTAGCCTAAGATAGATGGACAACTTATCACGTGACCTATTAGTTGGATTTGAAATGTAGGTCCACTATCCCGCAATAAGAATTGAACCAACTATTGGACTTAAAATCTTTTGCTGAAGTTTATGGCCTTTAAATAGAAAAAAATGGCTTCTCTTTGCACAGAGTTATCGCTTTAACTCACCTTGGCAAATAAAGCTGCCTCCTTCCCTCCATGTCCGTCATATATACCGAAGAAGGCGTATTCCAGGTCTAGTTCGTCCTCTGTTTGTTGATATGCCACGGAGAACACATCCTCCATATACTTCCGTCCTCCCTGGTTACAATGCCCGGTCACGCGGAGGTTAAGTCCTAAACAATTGGATGGTTTATGGTTGAAATTTGTAAATAAATATAATCAAGTTTCGGGGGAAAAATCAGGATCGGAAAAGTTTTCAGTTAAAAACCCCTTAATAATTCCTGGAGAACGATTTTTGAAAAATCGTTCTCTATGGGACGGAGGGGCTATCACAATTTACTATGCAGTTTGGACAGAAATCTGAACAGTTTATAAAACAGCTTTTAAATTTAAGTTTACGTAAAACTTCCAATCGTAAATCATGACGAACCCCCGATACGTGAAGATAAAATGCTAATAAATACGTGTGGCCTAAACACTTCGATCCGTGACAAAGTAGTTTAGGTAAAATAACTTACCAATGCTAGGTGCCATCTCTGTCTTTAATACTCCAATTTGTCGTTATTAACTTTATTATTTACAAATCGGACTTAATCCTTGTCAATATTGTACTCTACAGATATTGATCACATTTCTGAAATTATAAGAAGTTCAATTTTCACTTATCAATTCCATTTTCATCTGCGTATCAAAATTTCAACAATTTCTTTCACAAAACTATTACAAATCCGTTAAACTAAAATTTCTTAAATCCAACTGGGTAATTTCCTAGTATACGATATGAAGCCTGGTTCAATGATAAAATATGAAATATTGAATTTAATGATAAAGGAATGGATTGTCAGACTCAGAAACGTTTGAATATTTGAACGGTGCGTGTTGCCGTAGAGTCGACTAATGGCGCAACTGTATGTGACTATGTGGGCCCAGCCCGCCTTGTCTGAGCTCCACTCCAGTCTAGACCAAGAAAGGCAGGTAGATATTCAAACAGTTTAAATCACCCTAGCTACAGGGGAACTAAATATTCTTCACATTTTCAAGGTCGTAACAATTTTTAGTATGCACAAAATATTAAATCTATTATTTATTTAAAAATATTCTTTTTTATTAGAGAGAGAATAATTGGTTTTACCAATATTTGTGGGTTTATGAAATTTGGGCGGGAAGATAAGATTCTTCTTTCGCGGCACAAAATTAGACATTCCCCACATGATTAATTGATTGAAACACAATTACACAAATCACATTATGAATAAAATAATAAGGCGGCCTGCTTATAAGACTGCTCTCAACATAAAGATGTATTATGTATCTAAATAATGTATAAATCAAATACCACAGCACCAAGCAAAATTTAAAAAAGGTGCCAACAGGATTTTTTATGGACTTTAGATGTNCATTCGAGCAGCTTAAGTTATGCAGAGGAAAAACAGGCGTACTCGAGGGGGGGGGGGGCTTTGAAAGCTTAATCCCCCCCTTGAATCAGTAAAATATCATGATTTCCTGGGGGTTTCAGACCACAATTTGTCTGCAGAGTCATGATCGCCCAACCCTTCCCAGAAAACAAAATAAAATAATTATAGGGAAATTAAAAAGCACGTTTGCGAAAATAAAATAAAAAATAAATGTTTGGGGCACCATCAGTCAAACATCAGTCAAACATTTTGGATTCTCATTTTTTCAGAAATCCCGTGTATTTATTTCAAACGTTTTGTTCAATTATTAAAAAAAAATTAGCAATTTGATAGAAAAAAAAGCTTTAAATGCACCCCCCCTTCTTCTGAAAGGGGGGTGCAATGACGAATTGCACCCCCCCTCCCCCGTCCCATTTAAAAGAAATGGTTTCTCATAATTTTCTAAATCTAGCTACCAATAATATAGCTCAAGCAAGAGTTGATTTCCTTCCCAAACCAAATTATAATCTTATTGTGTTACTCATTATAATAGCTGCATTTTAGGGAGTTTCAAAACATTATTTTAAGCAAGGATATTTGTCATTTTTAGTCAAAGTAGAAGGGTTTTTTGAGTACTCAAAAATTCACTAAGAATGTCTCAATGTCTCAATGTCAATAAATAAACTCTTTTAAAGAAAATATTAGAAATTTTATTTTTTATTCATCTTTATAATATCATGATGAGGCTGAGGGACAAGAAGCCTTGATTTTAAATAATGAATTTTTTCCTTAAGCTAAAGTACCATTATGGTACCATTCATTTATTTTTATGTATATTATATATTTAAACTGAAAAGTTTCAGACACTAAAATGTAACCCTTAAAAGCTTAAATACACTTGTTAAAAAGGTTAGTCTTTATAGTGTACATTGACAATGTAATAAAGAAAACCATATACCACCATAAAAACAAATCAAGCAAATGTTTATTTGGGCACCATCAGTCAAACATTTTGGATTTTCATTTTTTAGAATATCCCGTGAATTTATTTCAAACGTTTGTTCAATTATTTAAAAAAAAAATTAGCAATTTGATAGAAAAAAAGCTTTAAAAGATTTCATTATTTAAACAGAACCAAACTGGAATTTTTCTTTAGCAATATCAGAGAATAGAATAAAATCTTGAATTTTTATTTCTTTTTTATCTATATCTTCTAATAGGAAAGATAAGGAAGGAAAACCCCCCCTCCCCCCAATTCGACATGAGCATAGTACAAATAAACAATGAAGATGATAATTTCTCATATATTATCTAATAGTTCCGAGTCCGAATTAGAAGATTTTAGAACAATTAAACAAATAAAATACTCACAACATCATTTACGACTTTGCCTATAAATATTATATAAACAATTGATCGCTCAAAAGAACATATTTTATAATAAAACAAAAATTAACAATTATTTACAAAAGAAAAGTTGATTAAAAAATGATTTACCCTTAAAATGTTATCTATTGATTAGTCAACTTTATTTTTAGAACAATTAAAATTGTGCATTGAAAAGAATTCAAATATAAGTGTTAATTTTTTAACCTAATGTTCCTTTGCCAAAGTTTGGAATTGTAATAACTGACGTGAAAAATGTAAAATTAAAAAAAAACTTGTGCCTAATATGATCATTTAACATTTGGACTAACCTACAATATATATGCACTAAAATATTCATAAAAATCAAGTGAATTTGATTACATTTCGGTGTGGAATTGAATTTTCAGTAGTCATCAAAATGGTAATTTTTAAGCGACAAAATATTTAAGCGCTTTAACATACTTATTATGTATCTGGAATCAATTGCATGAATTGTATTAATAACGATCTTTTGTACCAAAATTATTTTTCTTCGAAATATTGTTTCTTCCATTGAATCATTTTTTATTATGCATTTATGTCCAAATTAAATATAACTATAGGCCGGTTTTGATCAGCTAACATTATTTCAGTCTGACTAAAATCAATCAAATCGGTAAAGAATCTACAAAACAAAGGAATGTCGGTTAAGTAAAATGATAAATTACAAAATAAAGAGAAGCATTTTGGTGAGCAACGGTTCATGAAATTGACCGTTGGAACATCCTTCAGAAATTTAGTTGAGTGCAAACTCTAAAAACTATAAAATTATTTAACAGCATAATGAGGGCATACAAGTTGTAAAGGAAAAAGGTTCCACTGCCAAATACATATTTAACCATATATTTAGAAAGCAGATTGTCGGGATATTTCGAGACATGTTAAAATCAAAAATAAAAGAAATCTTATAAAATATCACAGTTTATGNTTCTAAATCGAATAAATTTACATTAATTTTCCCCTTTTCTATGCTCATTAACACAAAAATAATCTTGTTTTCTACATGATCAAACAACCGTCTTGTGTTAACGTCCAACTGTAAGAAGAACGCCAGCTAGTGATGGAGGCCAACTTAAGAAGAACGCCAGTTAGTGATGATGTCCAACTGTAAGAAGAACGCCAACTAGTGATGGTGTCCAACTGCAAGAAGAACGCCAGCTAGTGATGATGTCCAACTGTAAGAAGAACGCCGGTTAGTGATGGTGTCCAACTGTAAGAAGAACACCAGTTAGTGATGGTGTCCAACTGTAAGAAGAACGCCAACTAGTGATGATGTCCAACTGTAAGAAGAACACTAGTTAGTGATGGTGTCCAACTGTAAGAAGAACGCCAGCTAGTGTTGGTGTCCAACTGTAAGAAGAACACCAGTTAGTGATGGTGTCCAACTGTAAGAAGAACGCCAGCTAGTGATGGTGGCCAACTGTAAGAAGACCACCAGTTAGTTATGGTGTCCAACTGTAAGAAAAACACCAGATAATGATGGTGGCCAACTGTAAGAAGAACGCCAGTTATTGTTGGTGTCCAACTGTAAGAAGAACACCAGCTAGTGATGGTGTCTAACTGTAAGAAGAACACCAGCTAGTGATGGTGTCTAACTGTAAGAAGAACACCAGCTAGTGATGGTGTCCAACTGTAAGAAGAAGGGGTAAAACTGCTCCTATGACCAGCATTGCTAGTTCAGCTTTAGAAAATCCTCCAGCTTGTTCTCCATGCGAGTGCCCAATATTTGTTACCTAAATATAAAATATATTTCAGGTCGGTTGGCCGATCTTTTTGGTTTATTATGAGAACAAAACTTGTGTCTTAAAGGAACTGTAAGCTTAATTTCAAGTGACCCTCCATGCAAGGACGGCAATGTACGATTTACAACGGAATCCTTACAATCTTTGTCTGGTAAATTATGAAATAGATATATATTACGTTTCTATTTTTGATACTACTTATTTTTATTTGTCTACAAAATGGTGTATTTCTTGCTTATAAGAAACAATTGATAGATGATCTGAATTAAACGCTTAAAGGGACTGTAAAGGAAAAATGAAAGGGGGGGATAGGCTAAAAGCTTATCACTTTAGCTCTTGATCGCGCCCCATGAAAGTTATATCTGTCTAGAGAAATTGATACAAAACTATGTCAAATGTATACGAAAATTCATACATATAAAATTTTGTAAAGAAATAGTAGGTTTTAAGGGCTCATACTTAGGTTTCAGCCTATTCCCCCTTTCATTTTCCTTTACAGTCCCTTTAACCGAGTCAGAAAACGACGTTATCTTCCACATTTTTAAACAGATTAGCGTATAAGGGTACCGTTAAAAATCGGACATTGCCATCTTTGCATGAAGGGTAACTTGAAATTACGCTCACAGTCCCTTTAAATATCTGATTACTAGGTTTAGCTGGCTAATTGTCCCGTTGACGGCTAAACCTTCGCTGCTAGGTATTCCTTCATTCATGTAATACCCTCAGTTTAAAATAATCAATAAATAGATTTATTAAACTCAATTTGTATTTCATACCTCTGGCAGAACATGAACTGTTGCAACGTACAAGAATGTTCCAGCAGAGAACAGCATAGCAATACCTAGACAAAAAACTTTAAATTTTACTTTTTAGAAGGGGGGGGGCAGTTATTCGCAGAGAACTTGGACAATTTTATTTTAAAAATGTTCTAGGTTTCAGTATTAAAAATAATGAATCAATTTAGCCTGACAGGTTTAAGAGAATAGCAGATCACACAAAAAGGTAGACGTGAACAAAAATCTTTTGACAGAAAACAGCAAATAATCACTGTGGCAATTGCATTCACTCTCCAGTTAGTTATCAATAAGTATTAAGTACTGTAAGAAACAGGATCATATTCTTCCAAAAATAATTTAAATGTTTAAAAAGCTGAAATTTATCCATTTTGTAATGGTACCTGTAGCACTGAATGTATCTAGATTCTCTCTCATTTGTTTGTTTGTTTGCTGTTTTGACAGAAAACAGCAAATAATCACTCTCCAGTTAGTTATCAATAAGTATTAAGTACTGTAAGAAACAGGATCATCTTCTTCCGAAAATAATTTAAATGTTTTAAAAAGCTGAAACTTATCAATTTTGTAATGGTACCTGTAGCACTGAATGTATCTAGATTCTCTCTCCCATGCAGGGTGAGCAGAAGAAATGTAACTATAGCCATAACCGGAGCAGCCAGGGCGAAAATTAAAAGATGTCTCCTGAAAAAAACGTTTGATGCGATTGTTTCTGATTGTTTTTGATTGTCATGACTTGGAAAGTCAATTAATTGCAGTGACAGTTCACCTCAAAATTGTATCCCATTGTTTCCTAGACTAGGTATGCAATCAACTACCTGATCCTTCACCTCTTTAATCTCATATGTAGAAAAAGTATAACCATATACCTGTTCCTACTCTTCTAGATGAGTAGGAACAGATATTTCTAATCCATCCTGGAGTAGGTAGGTATGTAACGTACTAACTACCTGATCCTACTCTTCTCTAATTCCTCTTGGAGTAGGTATGTAAACAACTGGTCTGATCATATTCCTCACTAGTCCCTAGTGGAGTAGGTATGTAAACAACTGGTCTGATACTACTCCTCTCTAATCCCTAGTGGAGAAGGTATGTAACCAACTATCTGATACTACTCCTCTCTAATCCCTCCTGGAGTAGGCATGTGACCAACTACATGATCATTCTCCTCCCTAATCCCTAGTGGAGTGGGTATGTGATTAACTACCTGATCCTACTCCTCACTAGTCCCTAGTGGAGAAGGTATATAACCAACTTATACCTGATCCTGCTCCTCTCTAATCTCTCCTGGAGTTGGCATGTGACCAACTACCTGATCCTTCTCCTCCCTAAGGGTATGTGATAAACTATCTGATCCTACTCCTCTCTAAGGGTATGTGATAAACTACCTGATCCTACTCCTCTCTAATCCCTCGTGGAGAAGGTATGTAACCAAACCAAAGCTGGCGGGAGCTTTATGCAACATTATTGCAAGGAACACGATCATTTCTACATCCGTCTAGTTATCAGGAGCCAACAATGAAAATATGATAAAAGAAGGATGGGATAAAAACATGAATAAGGGGTTTGGTGGAAATAGGATAAAAGATGGATGGGATAAAAACATAATTCAAGGGGGTTGGTGGAAATAGGATAAAAGTGTGATGGGCTGAAAACATGAATCCCGGGGTTTGGTAAAAAAATATAGGATAAAATTAGGATGGATTAAAAACATGAATCAACGGGTTGGTGAAAATATATAGGATAGAATTAGACGGATTAAAAACATGAATCAAGGGGTTTGGTGAAAATATATAGGATAGAATTAGATGGATTGAAAACATGAATCAAGGGGTTTAGTGAAAATATATAGGATAGAATTAGGATGGATTAAACACATGAATCAAAGGTTTAGTGAAAATATATAGGATAGAATTAGATGGATTAAAACCTGAATCAAGGGGTTGGGTGAAAATAGGATAAAATTAGGTAGAATCTAAAAATTAAACATAAGTAAGGTTGTTTTAAAACATAAATTAATTGGTTGCATTCTAAGTATGACTACAAGGACCCCCCGCCCCCCCAGAATACTGGGGTAAGATGAGTAATATTTGAATTGACTCCCGGCTCCCTGATTAGTAGTTGCAGCAGCTCCAAGAGCAACACCATCTGCTGCTGCATGAACAACTAGGCCTGAAATATACGTTTTTGGGAATTTTTTGCATAGATTACATTTTGAAAAATATATTGTCGCAGAATTTCTTCTGGAATGAATTACCCCCCCCCCTCCCCCCTTCCCTGTTTTGACTCTGGACAAAACTCTTTCACAAAATTTTGTACAAAAATCTATTCAAGCAGGCTTTTCTTTTTCCCTGTTCAAAGTCCTCCAGTAAATTTACCTAAAATGGGAGTTTCCCAAGAATTTCTTTTTTGCATATTTTTGAACCCTTTTAAATGATATTAATGATTTTTAGTCAAATTAAATGTTTCACTATAGTTCTAATAAGTAATAAAAAAAAAGAATCACAAGAACCTTGCACCTGATTTCTTTTCACTGTTAACTAATCTAAATGATATTCAAAACATTTGTTTGATGATTTTAATCAGCTAAATTATTCTATGATTTACATGATAATCAGAATATTTTAATCTTAAATTTTGGTTGAATGAAATTAAATTAGAAATATTTTTGTTCACCTAATGTTGCAGTCCAGGAAACATTGCCTTTCCTCCCTGCACCACCAGATTCTATATCACGGGACTTACTTACAGCAATCTAAAATTAAACTATGTAATAAACTTTTTTAACAATTTTTTTAAAGGATGGTGAACGTAGCTTTTCACACCTTTATCTGAGCAATAATGAAAAATATATCGGCGTTTCTCTATCTTAAATTGTGATGAATTCTGTCAAATTCCTTCTTGGACCACAGTTAAAAATTATAAACTTCCGTCCAGAGAAAAACAAAATTATCTTAGTAATTTGGTACAATTGTGAATCGGATTTGCCACTTTATAAACAACAAGATTGTAATGCAAGGAAAGTTATTTCAGTGGTGTATGCATCTTATGTACTTCTGTGTACTGTCTCTGCGCGGTAATGTAAACACAAGACGGATGTCGAAGCATGACATGGGATCCATCTTTAACTTAAGAAATCAATGAAATAGGAAACTATTATGTGAATTATCAAAATTATCAAATTTTAATGCTTTTAACCTCCTCGGATACTAAACGAACACTAATGCATCTATTCTTGTTTACAAATTCCGCCCAGAGAGAACTGGTTTCAATATGTGCGCAGAGTTTACGCAACTGCAATTAGCTTTCCTTGCATTACAACCTTGATAAACAAAGTATCACTAACAATCACGCGGAAATTCCATTTTTTAAAAAGAAGAGAGAATCTAATTCCGATCGAAGATTTTGAAAAAAATCGACAACAGATTAAAATGAATAATTTTCCACCACATTAAGTTAAAGCTTTAAATCTCAGTCCAGGTTGAAATAAAATCAGGTTTTACTAGGACCACTGGACTTAAATATAAACTCCTCAACAGTCCTTTTAAACTCCAAATTCCCTCTAACCTGATCCACTACAAGCATGAATATGAATCCAAGAACTAAAGAGACTCCGATAAGATGAGGAACAGGGTTATCGTGATCCTTTCTATCCTCGCCATGCCCGTGATGCTTTTCACTGAAAGTATATATACCCTAAATATTTATATTAAGTAGTATTCTCGTTTCGATGTCCGATCATAACTTAAAAACCTCTTGACCGATTTACCTTAAATTTGTATGGGGGAACTCGGTAAAACACTGGAATGTTCTTAGCTTGGTTTAACGTAAATTAACCTTTTAATTGAAAATTTAGTTTCCAGGCAAAGCTGGGTTCCCCAGCTAGTAATTAATAATAATAATAAACAGTCAACCAACATTCTGTCGAATTCTAGGTCTAGTCTCTTGATCAGAAATAACCGTCGAAGGACGGAAATGAAGGGCAACGAGTACCGCAATGTTAAGTAACAGGGCAATGATTGTCACCTGGACTAGTCAATCCCGGCACCATTCGTTTTCATATTAATAACCTTTAATTTTTGTTTTTTTTTGGTTTCGAATACATAAATATTAAATCATCTTAATTTATGGAGGTAGAAAAAAAACCAACTGATCTTCATTCATAAAGAAAGTAGTCATTACTAAAAAAAGAACTTTTTTCACATACCTGTAGGCCATATTTAGAGTTTCCATTCCTTCCGGTATAATCACGCTTAGAGCAGTACCAACCAACAATCCTGCTCCGAGTACAGATACAAGCTGAAATACAAAGGTTTAGAGTAATCCTACTCCTAGTACAGATACAAGCTGAAATACAAGGTTTAGAGTAATCCTACTCCTAGTACAGATACAAGGTGAAATACAAGGTTTAGTGTAATCCTGATCCCAGTACAGGTACAAGGTGAAATACAAGGTTTAGAGTAATCCTACTCCTAGTACAGATACAAGATGAAATACAAGGTTTAGAGCAATTCTACTCCTAGTACAGATACACGCTGAAATACAGGGTTTAGAGTAATCCTACTCCCAGTACAGGTACAAGCTGAAATACAAGGTTTAGTGTAATCCTACTCCCAGTACAGGTACAAGGTGAAATACAAGGTTTAGTGTAATCCTGCTCCCAGTACAGATACAAGGTGAAATACATGTTTGACAGTTTCAAACTAGGGTAGTACCTAGATGGACTATCCTAGGTGGCTGTTAGTTAGCAGTTGGGCGGTGGCGTGTGTCATTGGTCTGTACTTAGAAAGTTGTCCACACTTACACAAGTGTTGTAACCAATTGGTACATTAATAGCTGTTATGGCTATTTTTGACGAAGTCTCAGCCCTGACATCTACGGAATGATGGTTTAACGCTTGTTTGTTTGTGTAAGCATGTTTGCATTATTAATAATATTACAAAGAATATAGACCTGGAGTTTCTCCTCTGAGAATGAGATGAAGAGAGGAATGGATCCGGCGAGGTATGATCCAAACAGCATCACAATACTTAAAACATCGTTTCATCTTTTATAACGTAACTTTTTAAAAAGTATTTTTTTTGTACAACCCCAATAAATTTATTAATTATAAAGATAGAAATCTGGTATTAGATATTAGAAATTCATTCAGAATAAGATTTGAAAACTTTTTGTCTTAAAAAATGTTGATGAAATTTGCAACTGCTGATTAGCGATTATCGTGAATTGTACGAAATATTTTCATACAAAAAATAAAAAAGAGAAAAAAACCTGAAAATGACAAGTTTAGTTGATCCATCCATGATTGAAGCTAATCCGTCGGCCTCTGGATTGTTATCTGTCAAAACCTACAATAAACAAAACTCGTAAATAAATTTGTCAAAACGAACACCTTTAATCAGAGCTTTAAGTTGACTTAGAACAATGAAAAAGAAGTTTAATTAGTTTTTAGTTTTCCCATTTAATCTTCAATTTATCAAGAACCCCCTGCTAAGATGTCCATGCCCGATTTACAGCCGTGTCTGATCCAAGTATGAATTTTTGTTTTAGAAAACTCTTAATTTTGATTTGATATGTCTCTGCAGAAAATGACTATTTCTTGCTCAAACGGATGACTGCAGAAATTATCAGAATTAAAACTTTTCGAGTCAGAAAAACGACATTATCATCGACTTTTTATCAATGGTACACTGGTACAGTCTTTTTGGTATCTTTGTGTTGACCCTTTTAACTTTATTTTCATGCAATAAATATTATTTAGATTTAAAAAATAAATGTTAAAAAGAAAATATCATGAATCTTAAAAAGTATGTACAAATAATTGCTACCTGGCTTCAGTGAAATGTACAAATCATTGAATCAAGCCAAACAGTGCAAATTCTATCAAAACCAACTATGCTTTATATAATTAATTATTAAGGAAAACAACAAGGTAATCTCCAGACGTTTTTGGGAGGTTGAGAGGTTGAAAAATCTTTCTTTCTCCTTAATACATTTTCCCAAATTAAAATTTGCCAATTATTCTCATTTTTATTTGTCAAAGAACAACAATATAGATTAGTTTGTTGCTAGGACAAGCTGCGATATTTAAATTAATTAATGACAAACAAAATTCTTGATTTACAAACCATAATTAGTATCATTGATCCCTTTTAAAATAATCAAAGACTTTATTTTTATTACTTTAATTTTAAAGGGAGTGTTCGTGAAAATGAAGAACACCAAACAATCTAAATTAAAAATCTATCCCTAAAACATCGAAATATTTTTTTTAATGCCGCCTTGCTGGGACCGCAAAAGAAGACAGCTCGGTAAGAGAGCACCTTGATCGACAAGCAAATTATTTATGAGTAATTCTAAACCCCTTTTTAAATTTTCACGATCACTTCCAAAAAGAAAAGGAAAAGTTTCAGGGGTGTATACTTTCTTGAAAATCATTTATTTTTGGGGGTTTTATTCGCTATATTGGGGAAAATACATAAAACTTTCGGTAAAAAGTATGAATTAGGATGAAAAAACTTGCTTTGGATGTCAATAGGGGGAATTCTTAAAAATATACATCCCTGACTGGAAAACTATATAAAGAAGACGTGAAGTGCTATCAAGGCAAATAAAAATAAAATGAACAGAACACGTGTTAGTTGTTACAAGAACACGTGTTGTTTGTTCCAAGAACACGAGTGGTTTGTTACAAGAACACGTGTTCTGTTTACAAGTGCTATCAAATAAAACCAAGTGTATCACTGAAAACAGCATAATTGCCTCGGAGAGGTTTATCTGTTCCTCCCCGCCAACATTCAACATTTCTTCTGAAATTTTATTCTAAAAAGTCCAACAATGAATAAGTGTTTAAAAATAGTTAATTTAAAGGGATACTTCAGGAAAATGTTAAACTTTTAAATCTGTTATGTATAGGTTCAAATCAATTTTGACAAAAAATAAGAGTTGGAGGGAGTAAATCGATTGTCAAAAATGAAAAGAGATATCTAATCTTTATAAATGACTTAAGATCTAATCATCAAGTATCGATTTTTATAAAAAGGGTTCCAATCGAAAATTAAATTATTTCTATTATGGGTGCTACAATACATAAACTGAAGAAGTCTTCTTATCCGAAAGGTAAAAACTGAGATGTAATAAGTTCAAAGATCTTGTTCTATAATGTAAGGAATGGAAATTAAACGGTGTTAAAACAAATTCCTCTTCTTAATTCGATGCGGGGATTTAATGCCCGGTGAATAAGGATAAGGAGTAATATAAAAAGCAATGGGTAAAATTCTATAATTAGATCGGAGGTGCGGGGGGAGGGGAATGGCAAACATATATATCATCGAAGAAATATGCAGGGTTTAATAATGATTGAACTGTAAATAATATGTTTTTAAGCTAAATAAATAATTCGCATATTTTTAATCATAAGTTTTTCAGGATTTCTGAAATTATTTCAAAGCTGTGATGTTTGAAAAGTGTTGAGATAAGGAAGTGTAGATATATCTCCTAGATCTTCTTGAGGGTATTTCAGAACTGTGAAGTGAGACTAGTTTTGAGATAAGGAAGTGTAGATATATCTCCTAGATCTCCTTCAATATCAGGATGCCACGAGAAATTGAACAAAGAGGCAGGAACCAATCCAAGATCCTAGGAGAAAAAAATTCAGAGTCAAAGTTTATTCCGAAAAAATGATGTATTCCTTATATCTGTCAAGGGTGAAAAAGAAAATAAGATTTGAGATGGAATTTAATGAATTTGAGCCGCGGTTTAAATCCGCCAAAACCCGGTTTAAATTCAGCGCCGGCTTAAATCTTGAAACATTTGATACAATTTTAAGTGGAACCAACCATATTTAAACCGCGACTTAAATTTAAACCGCCGCTCAAGTTCTTTAAATTCGCCCACTGGGAGTCTAAAACTTTTCACTTTTCAGACCGGGTTAAAACCGGTTCAAGGATCCTGATCCGGAGATAATCCCAGCTTTTATTCGGATCAAGTCTACAGAGAAAGTGAATCGAGCTTTAGACTCGCAGCACTGGAGATAAATTCAGGAAACGCCCTGTATTTTATGTTTTATTTTAAAAAAAACTCACTAGAAGAGAAGATTCTTCATTGGTGAACTTAGCTCCGGTAACCGAGTCTAGTAGAAGGAACGGGAGCTGGTTCTCCAGATTCTCCGTAACATACTCGTGGACAGCAGATATAGATTCGTATACAGAGAACGTTCCCTGTAGTATAAATCCGTCTGGGAACCTAATCCGAACTAAACAGTATTTATATTTACGCCTTCCAACTGATGCTTCCTTTTCTCGCATCGCCTAAAATACAAAAAAAAACATTTCAATATCAATTAATAGAGAATAAGTTCGATAAAAAAAATGCAATAGAATAAAAACGTAAACTTATAAACACAGAGAGAAATATGAAAAATATACATATAACAAGTGTTCACAACCAAGTCGCTAAATATCAACCAAAATAAACACAATAAACTATTTGTCTACAGAAAACTTCAAGTATTGAAAAATGAGAATCAGTTCTTTTATTGGTCAATACTCAATAATAATAATAAGTGGAAAAAGATGAATAAGTTTAGAAAACGCTTTTGTAAAATAAATTTGAAAACTGACGTGAATACTGTAAATGATTCTAATACATTTAATGTTTTAGTTTTATTTAGTTTTCTTGAACATTTCTGGTTAACAAATTATATATCCAAAATGTTTTCTACGAGATTTCGTCCTGTATACATCCCTCAAAACCGTCTCCATATTTGCTTTGTATTTGTTTCTTCCGCGGTTTTTTTTTGAACAAATTCTCGGTGAGTAAATATAAACTGTCCTTTTTAAGTAACTAACCTTGGTTCTCAGCATCATTTCTCGTTCTAGTAATTCAGATTTATTCTGCTGATCCTTCTTGAGTTCCTCTGAGGTAATGGAGAAGAAATCTGAGGGTAGGGATCCCATCCCAGATACTCCACCGCTACCTAGAAGAATAACAATCAGCCCTAAACGAAGTTATTAATCTCATAGCCTTCATAGCAATCTGTACTCTTCCGAGATCTTTACATGCTTTAGAAGATATTTCTTTAAATGAACTTAAGGTTACATACAAATTGTTTTTAAATCAAGCTGATGATGAACTCAGGAATATCATGAAGCATAAATTCTACTACAGTAAAAGCTCTGACATACCATGGACATTCAACTGTAAACCCAAAAGTTAGCTCCGCTTTCCTTTTTGTTTTATCTTATTGACTTAGAGGTTCTAAGTGACTGTAAGCGTAAGTTCTAGTGACTCTCCGTGCAAGGAAGGCAATGTCCGATTCACAAAGGGTACCATTAAAAGCTTCGTCTGATCAAGCATGAATTATATATCAATGTTTATAATTTTAAGAGCTGATTATTTAGATTTTCTCAAATAATGTGACTTGAGGATTTCTAATACTACTTTATAATATATTGAAGTAATTAGAATTCAACATTTTTAAACCTATATAAACCTATAAAGTATACTGTCCACAATGTTCATCAGATAAATATTTCAAGGGTACTGTTGTAAATAAGACATTGCCATCTTTAATTGGAGGGTCACTTGAAATTATACTTACAGTTAATTTAAACTACCCTAGAAATAAGGGACTACAATGGTAGATATTACAATAGTAGGGACTACAATAGTAGATACTACAATAGTAGATACTACAATAGTAAATACTACAAAAGTAGAGACTACAATAGTAGGGACTACTGTAAAAGGGACTACAGTGGAAGGGACTACAGTGGAAGGGACTACAGTAGAAGGGACTACAGTGGAAGGGACTACAGTGGAAGGGACTACAGCGGAAGGGACTACAGTGGAAGGGACTACAATGGAAGGGACTACAGTGGAAGGGACTACAATGGAAGGGACTACAGTGGAAGGGACTTCAGTGGAAGGGACTACAGTGGAAGGGACTATAATAGAAGGGACTACAATGAAAGGGACTACAGTGGAAGGGACTACAATGGAAGGGACTACAGTGGAAGGGACTACAATGGAAGGGACTACAATGAAAGGGACTACAAAAGAAGGGACTGCAATAGAAGAGACTACAGCGGAAGGGACTAAAATAGAAGGGACTGCAGTGGAAGGGACTACAGTGGAAGGGACTGCAGTGGAAGGGACTACGGTGGAAGGGACTACAGTAGAGGGGAATACAATGAAAGGGACTACAGTGGAAGGGACTGCAAAAGAAGGGACTGCAATGGAAGAGACTACAGTGGAAGGGACTAAAATAGAAGGGACTGCAGTGGAAGGGACTACGGTGGAAGGGATTACAGTAGAGGGGAATACAATGGAAGGGACTACAGTGGAAGGGACTGCAGTGGAAGGGACTACGGTGGAAGGGACTACAGTAGAGGGGAATACAATGGAAGGGACTACAGTGGAAGGGACTGCAGTGGAAGGGACTTCAGTTGAAGGGACTTCAGTGGAAGGGACTACAGTGGAAGGGGCTACAGTGTAAGGTACTACAATGAAAGGGTCTACAGTGGAAGGGACTACAGTGGAAGAAACTACAGTGGAAGGAACTACAGTGGTAGGGACTACAGTGGAAGGGACTAAAATAGAAGGGACTAAAGTGGAAGGAACTACAATGGAAGGTAATACAAAGGAAGGGACTGCAGTGGAAGGGACTGCAGTAGAAGAAACTACAGTGGAAGGGACTTAAATAGAAGGGACTGTAGTGGAAGGGACTGCAGTGGAAGGGACTGCAGTGGAAGGGACTACAGTGGAATGGACTACAGTGGAAGGGACTACAGCGGATGGGACTACAGTTGAAGGGACTACAATGAGAAGAGATATATTTCAAAAAGTCAAGCAATGAATTCTACTGGAAATAACAACTCCGGTTTACCTGGAGGAAGGATGATAAGACCTCGATCAAGTTCAGCAGTGAGAGGTTCGCAACTCTTCAAGGAATCCTAAACAAAGTTAAGGATGAAATCAAAAAGATGAATATGTCTTAAAAATGTTAATATATATATATATTGAAAAATATCAACTAAACCTGGAGCATCGCAAGATGTTCGATTTCACTTGATTCTTCAAGAACCCAAAACTCTTCTTCTCCCCCCTCAGGTCCAGGAAGAAAACAAATCTTCATAAAACCAAAATTTTCGATTTTTTAAAACAATTAAAATTGAAATCGTGTTTAACTTAAAAAGAAATATAAACATAAGATACATGATATTTCTTCCTGTTCTTAGGTAAAAATATCTATTTATGCAACTGTCTGTTATAATGCGGGACAATATGTTATTTGGCTGCGATTTTTACTTTTTTGTTTGTTTAAGGTTTAAATTCAAGATTTTTAATCCCTTACGTAGTGAGTGATTAAAAATCTTGAATTTAAACCGAAAACAAACAAAAAAGTAAAAATCACAACAACAAAAACATAATTTCCTAAATAGTAACACAAGAGAGTTGGAGAATGCATTTTAAAAATTAAAATCCGCGAAATTAAAAGGGAAACCTGCTTTGCCGGTATAAAATGTTACTTATTTGCCTCGGAACCAATAAAAAACTTTTTATACTCAGGATCATGAAATTGTGAGTAAAAATGCGGGTTAAAAAATCTTTCAAAATTGAATAAAAAACATCCTTGGTTAAAACAAGTAAGAAACTTTTGTTTACCTTGAATCCACAAGCCAGGAGAAACTCCTCGCTTCCTTCCATGCTTCCAACCCTCTCCTTGAACGCTTTGTTGCTCTTCCTGATCTTCCTGAACTTCTCCTCGGTCGGGTTTAGTAGAATATTGTCAATATACTTGCAGAGGGTGTCCACTCCGAGCTGAACCTTGTCCCTAGGGCTGTTGCAGGTGTGAATAATAAGAACTGCAGTGAGTCCTCTCTCCTGTTCCAGCTGACTGTAGAGAAATTCTTTAATCTTCATCTTCATCTCTTCCCTTGGTAGGACGAATTCACCAATGAGAGGACACTTAAAGAACACACCCTGAGCAGCCAGCTGGGACGGAGCCTCAAACTCTTGAGGTTCACGCTCTCCGTAAACACTCTTTAACTTTTCTATCTCCTTCTCCATCATCTGCTCCTTCTCCAGCTCCCTCCTTGCCTGCTCCTTGATCAGCGCCCTCTGCCTGTTCTTCTGGAATTCTTCGGTCTGCTTACTCTGCTGCTCCGATATCCTGTTTAGTGCTGCAGCTCCAGCCTGCTGGGCGGAGCTGCTTGGATGTTGCCGTTGTGCTGTCTTCTGTTGCCTGGCGGCGGCAGCAGCTGAAGCGCTGGAAGCTGCTTGTGCTGCTGCAGCATCTCCAAGCTTATGTCCTCCTCCAGCAAGCTTAAACTTTGCCTCAACCTTCTTCTTCTTAAAGAAATCTTTGATTGCCGACATTTTCTCACAGTAACTTCTTATGAATCTATCTTTTTAATCATTTAAATTTAAAGTCCATCTCCCCTGGAAGTTTGAGTTCTGAACAGCTGACGCGGAGTTCGTCGAAGTTTCTTCGTCCTGCGAGCATAAATTTACTCCTAACATAAAACTATCCTCAACTCGTGTTCTTTTAAATGTTAAAATTAAAACACTTGTAAGAACTTATTTTTTCACCTTTTTGCTCAGCCTTCTCGAGTGTTAAAAGTCATGAGCTGAAATAATTAAAATCAAGAATAAAACTTGTTTGAAAATAATGTAAATCAATATTACACCGCGACACAAGATAATTGATTTTATTTAGAATTTTACAAATATAGTTATAACCCCATCGCGGTTTGGTATTTTTTTTTGGGGGGGGAGGGGGAAGACCAATTTTTCAAGACCTACTCATTTTTGAACATTTTAGACACCTAACTTTAATAGTTGAGGTAATACGGGAAGGTTTAAAAATCTTTCAAAAAGTACGTCAGACAAAAAATCTAAAAACTATTTTCAAAAATTTTAACACTTATTTTTTCAGGGCTTTTCAAATATTTAAAATGTAGATTAGAATCTATTAATAAATTTCCAAATTTTCCCCCACTTATTTAGTTAGAAAAGTGAAAAAGTTCTAATGAAAGTCCTTTTTAATTCCAAATAACATGTTATTGGGGGAAAAAAAAAATCCCCAACTCCCAATTGGGTTAGAGTTTCAGAAGTATTTGGTACGAGTAGAAAAGTTTTCCTGATCCTTTCTCCGTACCACTTCCAGGCAATCAGAACAAACAAACTATTTCCAAGGATTATCAAGAAGAATTCCCTTAAATCAAGAAATTGTCAGAAATATTGGTGAGACAAATCAAGAAATAGTTAAATAATTTTTTTTTAATGTTAGATAAATCAAGAAATGGTCACATAAATCAAAAATTGGTCAGAATTAATCAAGATACAGTCAGATAAAACCAATAAATATTTAGAGAAATATAGAATTTTTGAGAGAAATATAGAATTATTGAGAGAAATATACAATTATTGAGAGAAATATAGAATCATTAAGAGAAATAGAGAATTATTGAGAGAAATAAAGTATTATTGAGAGAAATATAGAATTATTAAGAGAAATAGAGAATTATTGAGAGAAATAAAGTATTATTGAGAGAAATATAGAATTATTGAGAGAAATATAGAATTATTGAGAGAAATATAGAATTATTGAGAGAAATATAGAATTATTGAGAGAAATATAGAATTACTGAGAGAAATATAGAATTATTAAGAGAAATATAGAATTATTGAGAGAAATAAAGTAATATTGAGAGAAATTTAGAATTATTGAGAGAAATTTAGAATTATTGAGAGAAATGTAGAATTATTGAGAGAAATATAGAATTAATATCTGGTCAGAAGAAGCCAAAATCTGGTCAGAAAAACTAAAATTTGTCGGAGAAATTACAAAATCAGTCATTGAAATCAAGAGATATCAGAAAAGAGAATTTAAAAACTGGTTAATTGCCAGTAAATTAAATCTTCAAAACAACAAGCTGAATAAATAAAGTTCCCAAAAAATGATAAAAGTTTCCAGAAGTGAAGATTCGTGTTCGAACCTACCAGATAAGTTTAGACTGGAATGATGAGAGTTGAAGCCAGGAAAGAGCAGAGTTAAATGATCTGGTTGTAACCTCCTCGTATCTTTGGTAATCTCCGTTCAAGGAATATTTTACGGCTTCCTCTGCGTTCCTGAGTAATGAACATTACAGTAGAAAATTTCAATCAACTTGCATATAATTTACAGCGGTGTTCCTAACTTACAAAACCAAAAATTGGTTTCATTGGTGAGATAATTAAAACATCTATTTTCTATATTCATTGGTACTTCAGCAGTTAAGCAAACTGTCAAGCTTGTTTTAAAAAAAAACAGGAGTTAAAAAAAAGTTTTTTCTAACCATAGTTTTCATGGCTTTTTATTTCAAGTAATTTATTTTAAAAATTCTGGACGCTTCTTAATTCAGACACCTTCGTATTGAAAATGACTGTTTTGCAGATTCTAAATAATTTTTAATATATTACAATATTACCTAAGCAGAAACCCTCCTAAAGGAAGCAGGGCGTAATCGAGAACTATTCTTTGTAGCTCCGAACCTATATCTGATATCACACCTGTCCAGTCTCCTATTTGTATCATCATTATTACGGTTATAATTGAGAACTATTCTTTGTAGCTCCGAACCTAATCAATAATTACGGCTCCTGTAGCAAACTTCAGACCATGCGTCCTAGACTTTTTTCATAGTAAATACGACCGTTATTGGTCTGATGAGTTTTTTCATAGTAAAATACGACTGTTATTGGTTTGATGAGTTTTTTCATATTAAAAAACGACTGTTTTTGGTCTGATGAGTTTTTTTTTCATAATAAAATACAACTGGAGTTATTGGTCTGATGAGTTTTTTCATAGTAAAATACGACTGTTATTGGTCTAATGAGTTTTTTTCATATTAAAATACGACTGTTATTTGTCTGATGAGTTTTTTCATAGTAAAACACGACTGTTATTGGTCTAATGAGTTTTTTCATGGTAAAATACGTCTGTTATTGGGCTGATGAGTTTTTTTATAGTAAAACACGACTGTTATTGGTCTGATGAGTTTTTTCATAGTAAAATACGTCTGTTATTGGGCTGATGAGTTTTTTTATAGTAAAACACGACTGTTATTGGTCTGATGAGTTTACAAAGTATTTCAAACTATCTTGAAACCAACACTTGAACAAACATTGAGTGTTGTCTCAAATAGATTTGCTATTACATATTAACAATCTTACTCCGCCTTTTAATTACAACGTGGGTACCCCCATTAGTAACTAAATTAGACGCTAACAATGCAATCATGGAAATAGTTTTAACGTAGAAAAATAAATAGTGTGTTATTTACTTACTCTCAGTAGAAACTGTAGTATTAAGACTAAGGATGTTAGCTAACCATTCCATGACATGTTTCTGAAGGAGAAAAAATATACAATTGAACACGGAGAAGATTAGATTGGCAAACAAAGGTTAAAAAACATGATCAAGGATCAAGAGATGATTATGAAAATCTCCAGAGTTTTAGAACATGATCATAGAATGAGCATGAGGCAGCTGTCGTATCATTTATCCAGTCTGCTCCGTAGGATAAACTCTCTTCTCCATGCTTGTACCTGAACAGAGTTCGGAACTAATAATAAACATGAGTTAAGTTACTTCGGCTAATTCAACTAAATTGAAACACTTTTTAGTTCGAGCTAATCTAGGCGGCACAAGAGAAGTGTTAAAACTAACTGTAGCTAGTTGAACTACCTCTCTCGTTTTAATAAATTGTGACCTCAATCAACATGATCTTATTATCTTGCTACTAAGCTGAAGCATCTGGCTTGATTAAATAAAAGCAGAAAAACTTCCAATATGATATATTTGTTGGTTCATTTCATTAAAATAGTTATTAGTGTATCCAACCTTGCAATTATATCCATATTATCAAGAACCAGGTAGCCTCCGTGCATAGCTGCTACTAGGAACCTTTGGCCTCTCTGTTTAATTCTCCAGACTCCGCCCCCCACCTGGATACTGTCAACCTCTCGCTTCAGGTTCCTTTCGTCCCATCTCCTCAACCATTCATCATAACTACCTAAACAAGAAATAACAATAAATAGCAATAAATAACAGAAATAGCAGCTATAACAATAACGGCGCTACGACAGTTGTGCAAGCATCTTTTTTACTCTATGTTATTTTTGTTATATATGGCATTTTTCTATCTGTAACTATAACAAGCTAAAATACCGAAGTAAAAAATCATTCAATCAAGTCAAGTTAGTCAGATGTGACGCGAAAAAAAAATTAAAAGATATGTCAAACTTAAAAAACTTTTTAAAAATGTAAAAAAAAGATTTTCTAAAAAGAATTGTCAACGTATTAAAACTCCTCAAGGATATAAAAAATAATTTTTAAGATCTTGGTCCTAATACTTAATAATGGAGAAGCAATCAAATTCTAATATTTGAGTTGTTGCATTTTTGTGAAATCGAATTTACAATTCCCGAGATAGATTAGTTCGAACCTGTGATTAATTGATGCTCCTTTTCCCTGTCTGATATCATAGCTGTAACTCCCATACTATGGATTTTAGAGTTTTTATGTACCAAACCATCCGTTCTCAGATCATAGCAGTTTAAACTACAGATCTAATAATATTCTTCTTCTATGTTGTTTCAGACATCAAATATATTTTCAAGACCAACTTAAAGGGACTTAGCAGGAATTTTAAGTAACCTTCAATCTGTAGAGTGGCATGTCCGATTTACTTTGGTACCACTTGGACCTTTATCTGATCAAGGTTAAGCTTACGCATTTTATCTTAATAGTAACTGTCGTTTTAAATTTTTTAAAATATTAATATTTATTTCCGGGAGACACAGAAAATAATCATTTGAATTGGAATTGGAATTTGTATTTGAATTTGTAAAAAATCTAGTTAGGGAATTATGTTACGTCATTAAGGTAACACTAAAGGGCACTTAAGATCTTGGCTCAGCGAGAAAAATGAAGATTTCTTTATCGTTGATGACCAGACTGATTAGTCAAATAATTTGACTAATAAGTCTGATGATCAACGATGAAGAAACTCAAATATTTAAAGGATACAACTCTTTAATTGAAGGGTCACTTAAAATTACGTCTTTGAGTCCCTTTAAGGAGACAATCCGGTTTCTGAGTTGGGTATTCGAGGGATCAGAGGCCGAATTTAAAGAATTTGAGAGAGACTACATGAATATTTTGGTAAAAAAAAGTATCAAAGAGGTGTAAATTAACTAATCATTTGAAATCTAAAATAATGTTTGAAACGCGGCTAACACCATGGTTCCACTTGAAATCGTATTGAGTGTTTTGAGATTTGAGCCGGCGCTCAATTGGAACAGGTTTTTGGCGGTTCAGCGACGCGGTTTCAATTCTTTAAATTCGGCCTCATAATAATGTTTCAGAGTAGAATATTATCCTGCCTACAATCATCTCCCCCGGAGAAAACTAGATTAGGATCTCTAGCAGAGAAACAACAAGTCCAGGACTCGTAACCATGTTCACTGTACTCATTAATAACCACTGCCAATCCATATTTTCATTATTTCGATTTTCCCAATTATAATGTCAGTATCTTATTTAGTTTAGTGTTTAAAGTTTTTTAAGTATTTAAAAACACTTGTAAAAACTTTATTAAAAATAATTTTTTAACTTTATTAATTTGAATATTTAGCCCTTAGCCCATTAAAAAGTAAAAAAAAAAAATATTTTTTTTCCATATGAATACTTGAATATGAAAATATGCCTGGTTCTGAGTCTGTATAGTTTAAAACTCGAACCTTCCCCTTGGAATCACTATAAATCAAAAACAACATTAACAGAGCTTTGTGGATTTTATCAATCATTAGATGAAGTGCCCGGCGCTGCCCATTGAATTTCAAAACACCTCAGGAACAAACAAATTTCGGATTAAAAAAAAATTTTTAAGTATTTTAGCCTCTGCTACCCGGCCCCAAGGTAACCATGGGTTCCTTCTAATTAATATACAAGGGTGTACTGGTCTACACAATATTTAATATTTAATATGGTATTCTGGTCAACACAATGTCAGCTATTGGGTCCAGTCAATCCAGTCGTTTGGCTAGCTTGATTTAACATTATTTTAGATTTCAAATGGTTAGTTTTCCCACCTCTTTGATAATCTTTTACCAAAATATTCATTTAGTCTCCCTGAAATTAACAATCATTTGTCAGGCCAATTCATTGGTATACCATGCTTAGATTTTTTCACCCAGCAAATTCTCAATAACGTGTGGGGCCAGATCTTTCAGAAAAAATGTACCCCTATTTCAATTTTTCGATCGGTCTATTATCATTCTTGATAAATACTCATCAAAAAATTTTACACCTAAGAAAGAACACGTACAGGTCAGTGAAATCAAATTATGTTTGACAAGAAATGTTAAATTTTACACCTAAGAAAGAACACATACAGATCAGTAAAATAATATTACGTTTAACGAGAATGTTACAGTGTACACCTAAGAAAGAACACTTACAGATCAGTAAAATAATATTACGTTTAACGAGAATGTTACAGTGTACACCTAAGAAAGAACACTTACAGATTAGTAAAATAATATTACGTTTAACGAGAATGTTACAATGTACACCTAAGAGAGAACACATACAGATCAGGGAAATCAAATTATGATTAACGAGAATGTTAAATTGTTAAATCAATACCTCACAATAAATTATGTTTATCGAGAATGTTAAATTGTTAAATCAATACCTCACAATAAATTATGTTTAACGAGAGTGTTAAATTGTTAAATCAATACCTCACAATTATACGATCATAGTAAATGTTCCATTCTAATGCCAAAGCCAATCCTGTAAATAAACATGATAAAAGATAAAATTTTATCTGGTTCAGAATTCATTAAATTTTTTCAACGCACCCATTATTTTTTATCCAACCTATAAAAGTGTCACCGTTAAAAAAAGTATTTCGTACAAATTGTTGAAAGAGTAAAGCTACTAGGGGAAAAAAGGAAGAAAATGGAAAGAATTTAAAAATACCATATTTTTGACTCGCGTACCTTCTGATATATCTGTTGAACTAAGCATAGAAGCAGTCTGTTCTTCTGGTGTATATTTATAAATAACAAGTTGACCCTTAGCGTTAACAACCCCCAAAACCGGTTCACGCATACTCCATTTCATATCCAAAACTGCAGGACTCTCTAAGCGAGATACAAGGTGGGAGTCCAGACCCACAGGACTCTCAGGCTGTGAATCAGGGTTTGGCGTGTGAGTAAGCTTATGAAGGTATATGCGTCCTAACTTCTCTGTTTCAGGACTTTCAGATTCAGGGTTCAATTTGTTAACCTAAATTTCAAAAAATAAAAAATTCGATTTTTGAAATTTTAACCTTTAGTTTAATTCAAGAAAATGAAGTGAAAATGTTGACAATAGCATTCCGTTAAATAGAATACCCAGCTCCGGATTGTACCTGATATGTTCCAGAAGCTAGAATACTTATACCTTATATAGTTACTAGAATACCCAGCTCCGGATTGTACTTGATATGTTCTAGAAGCTAGAATACTTATACCTTGTATAGTAACTAGAATACCTAGCTCCGGGTTGTACCTTATATAGAAACTATAATACCCAGCTCCGGGTTGTACCTTATGTAGTTACTAGAATACCCTGCTTCGTGTTGTACCTTATATAGTAACTAGAATACCCAGCTCCGGGTTGTACCTTATATAGTATCTAGAATACCCTGCTCCGGGTTGTACCTTATGTAGTAACTAGAATACCCAGCTCCGAATTGTACCTTATTAGAACTATTAGAAAAGGAATCTGAAAAAGAGGTCCCGTTATGAACCCCCCAGACCTTATATAGTAACTAGTACGGGTTGTACCTTAGTCACTATAATACCGAGCTCCGGGTTGTACCTTATATAGTAACTAGAATACCCAGCTATGGATTGTACCTGATATGTTCCAGAAGCTAGAATACCCAGTTCCGGGTTGCAACTAATATGTTCCAGTAGCTAGAATACCCATCTCCGGGTTGTACCTGATATGTTCCAGTAGCTAGAATACCCACCTCCGGGTTGTACCTAATATGTTCCAGTAGCTAGAATACCCAGCTCCGGGTTGTACCTGATATGTTCCAGTAGCTAGAATACCCAGCTCCGGGTTGTACCTGATATGTTCCAGTAGCTAGAATACCCAGCTCCGGGTTGTACTCACAACTATCAGCACTGTATTCTGTATCGAAGGAGAAAAGAGTTTCCGGCCGAACCAATCCTTGCTCTTCATCTGTCATTATTTCTTAAAATATAATTCAACTAGAAACATAACATTTAAATTTCTAGACAATTTATCATATTTATAACATTTATTACAGTAAGACTAAGGAGTATTTAACAACAACAATATCTGGAAAAAATTTGAATATCTTAAGATTTAATTTGTAACATCCAAATGTCTGCAAAAACAGATCCAAGTTACATTAAAACAAATTAAGCTTCTTCATCATTAAGAAAATAAGTATATCGTAAAACTCGGTTATATTTTATTCTTTTAAATATCAGATGATATTTCATGGTTTTTGAATTGTTAACCCTGATGAATTGCTACCAGCTGTTAATTCTTGCAGTACACGAATTAACCAAACAATAGAAGAAAAAATTATAAACATTATTTTTAAAAATTAATATATTGTTACAATTCTTTCTTAAACTTAGATTATGACTAGGCATAGTACAATTCTATCAAATATAACTTGGCATCAACTGAATACACTTGGTTCTCATTTTCTAGTTGTAAATTTCTTACTTCCACTATTTTATTACATTACTATATATATACAATATACATTTAAAAAGGGTGAACTGTTTAATTTCATTAATTTGTGCAAAAGATGAAACTTAACTTTTCGAGATTTCTTCATCGGCAATAGTGATTAAATATATATCATAATATCACATGCTAAAATTATATAATAAAGAAAAGGTTCCAATTATAATATATAAATATTGTGTATTCATTTCAATTCAACTTGGTATTAAACTAACGATAGATAAACGAGCTATAGGATCACAATGTTGAGTGTGGGTGGAAGGAGTTTATGAGTTTTTACTAGCTCTAAGTCTAGCTAGACCAGTACTCCGGGAGGAGCTCTGTACTGGAGCCTGAACTCCAGATGATCCAGCCTCACCACCCAGCCTCCGGTCCTCCTCGTCGTCCGAGGTGTAACTGGCGACAGCTCCACGGGCCGAGGTTGCCTGCATGAGATCTTGATCTGGTCCTGTTCTGTTCTCATAGAGAAGACAATTCAAGGTTTCCTCGTATATCCGAGCCTCAGGAAACTCAACCTAGACACATTTGTAATTCCTTTAAAGGGATTGTTACATAATTTGATGATAAACGTTCGCTAATGGCATTTTTAGACGTCTGTACTCTAGAAAGCAGACAAAAAAAATAACAAAATTTGTCCTTCTTCAACATCTTCAGCATCGATTACCAATTAAAGATGCAAATGACTGTTATCTTAAAAAGTTTATACTGCTAGTTGTTTAAACAGGTTCGGATTCGCATCTGACAGATATCTGAACTTTTCAGAGGTATAACATTTCATGGACACATTTCATGGATATTTATTTTCCTCCAAAAATAAATTTATTTTTAGTCCAAAAATATATTTATTTTCCTCCAAAAATATATTTATTTTCCTCCAAAAATATACTTATTTTCCTACAAAAATATATTTATTTTCCTCAAATAATTATTTATTTCCCCAAGCAAACATGAGTAACTTCTAAATTTGGAAGATACAAATTATTTTCAGAAAGGAGGGGTGGTTTTTTAAGAGAATATACAACCCGGTTTATAAAGTAAAATGGTCCGAATATATTTTCCTTCATGAAATGATCACTTAGAACTCATTAAAGAACTATAAAGTGCACCTTTGTATTTTTACGATCTGTAGCATAGACAATAGCAGTACAGCAGACTTCAGCAATCTTCTTACCGTGACCATAGAACGTCCAGCAACAGATTTCATTGGATCCTAGGCAGGGTGTATATTATTATTTCATCTTAAAGGGACTGTACACTTAAATTAAAGTTACCCTCGTCATAGAGTGATATTTCGGATTTATAACGGTACGTTTAAACCTCAGCCTAATGAAATATCCAAGTATTTCTAGCTGATAATTTTTATATTAAATTGAATTTTACTGCATAAATAAATTGCGGATTTATGAAGCAGAGACATTGCAGGAAATTTTCAAGATTTAACTATTTTCAAGCAAAAAAATCGGCGATGTTTTAATTATTTTTCTTTAACAGGTAACACTGTGAGCGGACATTTTGCGTTCAAAAAGTTATTTTTATTTACCTATAACATCCTTGATGAACAGAACCCTATTACTAAACCTAAGAGAGAGTTTATCAAAGAGTTCAATATTCTTGAGAAGATTGTCGTCGCTAGCCCCGGTGTAACTGTACTTGTTATTGTGCCGGTTGATCAATAGCTTCACCACGGGTTTCATCTTGTTCCCGGAGATCAGAGCCTGCTCCTCCCTAAACCAGGAGATTTTAAAACTAGATCAATCTAACTTTACCCAATTTCATTTTTCTAAAACTATCAAGATTTTAAAAATCGGTCATGTTACATCGTCTATACGCAACATCCCTCTACTGAACTTCTGACCTACTAACTTTCCGACCTACTGCAATATCGGACCTACGCCAGCTGTTAATTTTTGTATTATTTGAAGGTTGGGTTAGGTTAAGACCATTTCTGGGCCGAATGCTGCGGCCACAAGTCCATATAGCAGCTGTAAAACAACGTGCTAGCAGGTCGGATGTGTAATATGGAGGATTTGGCGTAGGTCAGAAGTGGAGTATAGCGGATTTGCGTAGGTCGAAAAATACACCATCTTAAATATCACTACAGCTGTATTCACAGATAAGAGGAAATTTTTTACAATTGAGAGGCGACATGAAATTCGTCTTCTATCTTTGAAATAATTTGCGGCATTCGGTAGTCAAACTTATCTTACACATATGGTTTATAAAAGAAAAATTACAGAATAAACTAGTCCTGCGAGTTCCAAAATGTGGTCTGCCTTTTTTGTGCTTTCAAAATTATAAGTGATATTAGAAAATCAAAGATGATTTTCAAGTCGTCGCTTTTAAAATCCAGCGATATAATTCCTCCATGCAAGCACTAGAATGTGGTATCTACCTAGTACTTGTGATTAGAGGAACACGACAGATAGGAACTACATCAGCCCTCGAGTCCCCGTACTGTCCTAGCAGAGAGTCACACTCCTGGGTCAACTCATCGATACAGTAGTACTTAGACTCAGCCTAGAGAACAGATAACATATTCAAAATATGTCCGATTCACAACGGTTCCCTTTAAACCTATGCATACGATAACGTACATTTTATTCTTTAAAAAATTCATTACTTTTAACTTGGGGTTCGCTGTGAAAGTGACTTGCGGATTTGTGCTGCAGTGGTAATGAAAGAAATTGGAAGAATATAGCACTCTTCAGAATAGAAAAATACGATATATTTATCATTATTACACATATAGTGAATCCGACAATGACATGCCACTCAATAAATGGAGGATTAATTAAAGTTAAGTATTTATTCCCTTAATTAAGTTTTCAAAATTCTAGAATTGAGATTATAAGAGGCTTAAAGTTATAATTTTAGTTTTAAAACTCAGTTTGTTCTTTTGATGGTAATTACATGAGTGTGTATTTTTATGTTTGCCGGCAAAATATGAGCTTTCATTGGGTTTGAGGGAAAAAATGAAGGGGAAAGGGAAAGGGAAGGGAAAATGGAAGAGACAAGGGAATAAGGGAGGGAAAAGGGGACGAAAGGAAGGGAAAAGGGGAAAAGAGGAAAAGGGGCAAAAGGGAAGAGGAAAGGGGCAAAAGGGAAGGAAAAAGGGACAGAAGGGAAGGGAAAAGGAAAGGTAGTAAACAACAAAAAAAGGGGGGGACCTTGAAGTTAACCTTTTTAGGGCACCAAAACGCTCCATTATAGTACTGAAATCCAAAAAACTTCTTTGTATAAAAATGTGATTCTGAAAAGGGGGGGGGGGGGCGAAAATATGCGCCTCACAACTAATATACACCCCTGGGTAATTATCGACTTAAAGGGACTGTAAGTGTAATTTCAAGTGACCATCCATGCAAAGATGGCAATGTCCGATTCACACCTTTTTCCAGGCTTAAAAGTGTTTAATTTTAATAATTCTCATATGTTTTCCTGCCGTAGAATTGAGCAAGTAACCTTTGAAGAGACCCTACACTTGAAAATCAGTTTGCAAAATTATAATCATTGCCATCATAGAGGCTTTCTTAAAGTTCCCTTTTGAAGAGGCAACTCAATATCACCAACAAAAATCCCTTATATCTCCCTGATCCCTAGAGGTCAAGCTCATCTTACCAGTAGCTCTTGTAGTTCTCGTTTAGTATCCGGGAGCGGAACTGCTCCGTCCCGAAGAAAATTAAGAATACTCCCAAAATGTCTCCCGCTCCGATCTATCAAGATCCAACCGTCACTATCTGTAAGAACCTCTAGACGACCGGAGAACATTGCTCGGAGCATATTGTCATGTTTTGTCAGAGTTCCTGCAGAAAAAAAATGTCAGTAATCCATTCGAAAATTAATGTTTTTGTTGTTTATTATAAAAAACAAGGATTTGGGTTTGCATCTTCATTTGAAAAATTCACAATCTTTAGCTACAGGATACCGTCTCTTGAAAGGGATGGCAAAGGGAGAAAATATCCCCATAAAAATTAATTTAAATTTGAATAATGATCCGTTCAGTAATCTTATGAGTATGTATCCTATCATAATAGGAATGATAATAATAATTATAATAATAATAGTAAGATCTAAAAAAGCACCCGACCTCGAACCCCCAGATCACCTTAGGAGGAGGGATTTTAATTAAAAAACTTTTTTTAAAACCAACCTATAGTTGTGTAGTGTAGAGAACCACCAACATTTAGTTTAACATACTGAGATGGATTTCCTTTAACAACACTAGACACATCATTGTTAGTCTCTATCAATGCCTCAGCCATTATTCTGAAAAATTGATTTGTATTAATTGTGTTTATTGTACTTATTGTTAGGTTTAAGAACGATCTCTTCTCCGATCTCGTGAACGGCTCCGTCTCCGAGCATCTTTTCTTGGCCCCCGATCTCGGCTGATACTTCGGTCCTTTCGTCTTACCGGAGACCTGCTTCGGGACCGTTCTCTCCGATAGGGAGATCTAGTCCGGGGTTTATCTTCTCTCCGGAGTTCACTTCTACTTTCATTCTCCTTCCTGTGTGAGTTACCATTGGAGAACTTGTCTCTTGGTTTAGGATCAGAGAGTTTAGAACTGTTTCTAGGTTTATCATGTCCTTTATCACTGCTCTCGCTATCCGAACCACCCTTCTCCTTCTTTTTCTTCTTCTTTTTGTGTTTCTTTTTTTCTTTTTTCTTCTTTTTTGATTTCTTTTCTTCCTTGACTTCCAGATCTTCCTCTTCTTCCTCGCTGGAGGATTCCGGTTCGGATTGAGCAACCGGAGCAACTCCTTCCATCAACAGTTGTCTCTTGTCTTGGTCTAATTTCTCCAAATCCTAAAACCCCGAACCCTTCTTTTCTACAATTTTACCAATATTTCACTTATAAGGGGACTAGTAACGTAAGTGAATATTAATAACATCACTATTTTTGTACCTATGGCAGCATTCTAACTTAGTGGAAAATAATCAACATATTTAGCTGGATATGAGTAAAGAACCTGGCAAGCTAAAGGGTGATATGGAAACGGCTTAAAAGTGACTTTTGAAGAATTTCCGTCTATTTCCAAGATTTATCGGATATCCCTCAAAAACTTAAAAGTGTTGAGGATTTAAGAATATTTTCGACCCGTTTCCTCAATATTTACAGTTGATTCGTTTCCCATTTATTTTCATTAGTTTCCGCATAATTATTAATTGGTTTCCGGTTTAAAGAAAAAGTTTAAAATTTTCATGTTTTTTTATCAGTTTCCTGTTTTTTTACCCGTTTTTGAATATTAGATGTTGTATTAGCTTACAAATAAAGTTGAGATAATTTAAAGATGTGTAGAAAAGAAGTTGAAGGTTCCTTTGGAAGTTTGTATTGATGAATATGATCAACCCTGATCATTTTACCAAGGATCTTGAACCCGTTGAGGTTATCTGAAGCTAGGATCGTACTCCGCTGATCTTCGTAGCATAGAAACCCAAATCCCTGAGACAAACACTTTTATAATTTGAACTAATGAAATACTTCCTTCTATAACGTGCGAATATTGACAAACTTTGAAGAAGAGAGAAAAGTGAGCTTAAGTTTAGTTTCCAATTACCCCTATTGGGATGTAGTGGAGGTTGCAGTGGTTAATAATGCATTGGAAGGTTCTTTTTTTATTCTTAAGTAAAATGAGGCAGATTAAATACATATTCGCTTTTTATATAAAAAAGAATTCAGCAAATGTTTTAGGACTTCTTGAGAATTTTTAATTTTTTTTTATTTTTATGTGTAGTAAAAAATCTTTTTTCTTTTCTGATTTTTTGTAGGTATTTTGGCCATTTCAGATGCTTTTATATCTATATAATAAAGCTCTCCGCTTATATATATATATATAAAAATAAGTATTCATAACATGTTTTGAAGTTTTATTGTATCATATATATATGTGTGTCAGCTATAGCCGGCCAAACGGCTGGACCGAATGAGCTGAAATTTTTTTTTGGATACCCTGGGGGTAACATAGGTTAAAGTATTTCAAAAATATTTTTTTTAATTAGAAATTTTTTCCCCGATGTTCTTAAAATCCGCGGGCAACGCCGGACACTTCAGCTAGTTAATTATGCATTGTAACATGGTACATACATAAATATTCATCAACATTCATTATAAGGCATTTAATTAATAATCTACCTTGCTCTTTCCGGTTGTATGATCTCGGATAAGATTGATGTGAACAACTTCTCCGTACTGGCTGAACATACAGATAACATCTCCCTCTGTCAGCTGATAGGGTAAACCTCCCATAAACACCCAAGCAGAATCCTAACAATAACATTATTTATCGGTCTGGAAAATGAGATGCAATTTCTCTTGTATTCTTTCTGTTTTTTTAACACATCTTTTGAAAACTTGAGGGTTAATCAAAATATAAAATTAAAAGGTAACCCCCAACCCACTCCCATTCCACCAACCAGTTTTAAGTTTTGTTCACCTAACTAAACACTTCATACGTCAATATCGGTCAGTAATAAAATTCTTTTGATCACATGGCCGCAAAGCTCGGCACAGAATTGTCCTTACTAAACCTAACTCATAATATTGGATAAATAGCATGGTTTTAATTTTTAAAGGATAAGGTGTGCTAGCTTAACTTGCTTTTCATTTTAAGGACTTATGATGATGTAAAAAAAAACATTGTAATATATTCCCTACTTTGAAGTTGTCAATTTTTCATTTTAAGGACTTAGGATGATGTAAAAAAAACATTGTAATATATTCCCTACATTAGTTTTTTTTGTATATTTAGTGGGAAAAAAATTTAAAGATGCGGGATTAACTCTCGAGCAATGTTTGATCCAAATGAACTAATCTACTCTACCTTATACTCCTGATGCCAGGAGTTCTTTGTGCCCGCTATTCCCATCTCTAGCTCCCTCTCATTCATCTTCATCTGGTTCCGTGTCTGAGTGAGAGGATTCATCTTTAATCTGAAACATAAATAAATGCAAAACCTTTACCTTACACAACGTGTATTCAAATGAAAATTATAAAAGAACCAAATGTTTAAGAATTTGAACAATCGCTGAATCGGACAGATTCATTTCTTCTTTTTGGATTTTCCGTCGGACACGTCGTTCTCGTTCCTAGCATCCTGCCACTTCAACGGCTTAGACCTAAAAAATAAAACATGAGAAAATAAGAAATAATATCAAAAAATCTGATTCCAAATTTTCCCCGGGGCAAATGTTTTATTTGACAACGATTTCTTGGCATGATGATTGCGTTTTATGATGCGTTGGAGAACAAATTTATAAATTTGAAATCACCGTTTAATAATTTTTATCCCGGTTCATTTATTCTCCAATATTTAGGGAATAACCTTAAAAATAAATTTAAACATGCAGAAATAAGAGTTTTTGAGGGAGGGAATGATTTACCAAGAAAATATATCACCCATTTCCATATTTTCTAGAAATACGGAAAAGAGAAAAAATGGTTATTAAACCAGTACGGTATTCTTTTTGTTACGGAGTACGAACCTGTAAATCCCCCAAGGTGGAATAGTGAGAAGGCTGGCAAGGAGTAGACCGGCTCCCAGAATATAAACAGTCTGGCTAAACTGTTGGATCGTATACCCCCAAACCAAACCAACTGCTCCAAACAACACTTAAATATTTTTAAAATTAGAGTGAAATCTATTAACCTAATGCTATTAACGATCACGGCATTACATAAAATATAACAAATTCATCAATAAAATCTCTTTTAAAGAGACAATAAGCATAATTTCTAGTGACCCTCCATAAAAGTCTAACTGATTATTTCTAGCAGAAAAACATACAAATGTTCAGAATAAAACACTTTCAACATAGAAAAACGACAATAAAATTTTGATTCTGGCATCGCCATCTTTGCATGGAGGATGAATAAAATATTTAAAATTAAACAAATATGTTCTCTTAGTAAAGAAAGTAATTTATTAATACAAAAGCATTTATATACGTAATAAGGCAAGAGTGATATATCAACCAATCACTCAATCAAGAAGAAGACCAATCAAAGAATCAGTAACTACAGGGTGTCCCACGAAACATGACAATAGCAAGACGACTTGGAAGTAGTCTTTGGTATTTGAATTTATTTGTGACATTTAGTCTTCTATCTACTTTAACATGTATGATTCTTGAAACAATTATCACATAATTCTCCTAGCCCTGGCATTTCCAAAAAGTGGTTTGCGTTTTTTGTGCTTTCAATATTACCGGAGATATAAAGAGTTTGGTTGAGATTTCAATTTTGTTAAATAAAAGCAAAATTGTCGAAATCTGAACGAAATTCTTCATATCTCGGGCAATATTGAAAGCACAAAAAAGGCAGACCACATTTTGGAAATGGCAGGACAAGGGAAATTTTGTGATTATTATCTCTAGAAATTTACTTTTAAAATTAGGTTGACAAATAAACGCAGCAAATTATATCAAAAATCAAGACGACATTCAAGTCGTCCTGCATACTGTCATGTTTCGTGGGACACCCTGTATGAGATTATTGTTTTCTATTCTACTACTCGAACCTATTATGATCTGATACAGTTTCTCTGCTCTACCCTGTCCTACATAATCCATGTGGGTTGGGATTCTCTTGATCATATCCATTCTGATTCTGCAATTTAACGTTATAAATTATATAAAAATATAAATGTATCAAATTTCGGGTAATCAAATTCTAAAATATAAATAATTATTAAATTTAATCAATCACAGGTTTAATCACAAGGAATTGTTAACTGAAATAAAATTTAACTACAGAGTATTTTCAACGATATCTCTGTTCACAAAAGGATCACCGGGGTTGAAATTGTTTAAATTACCTCTCAATATAAAGTGTACAAGTGTCATGATTTAATACTGCGTGTTTTGTATAATGTAGTTTCTCTTCAAACTATGGAAAGTTAAACTAAAAGCTGATCAAAATTTGTTTGAATAAAGGCACTATCATTTGGATTCTATGGTATACGTGACATAAGTTTGTTAGGAGAGGATCTCCTGAACTATTTTGACGACGGTTTCTGCAAGTTTATCGGCCTCCTCTTTAGTTTCAGCCTCAGCGTACACACGAACAACGTCCTCCGTTCCACTAGGACGCACAAATGACCGGCCTCTAAACCAAATTTAATTAGTATTTCTACCATGGGTATATACTTAAATGAAATATCAACCCCCTCGACAATCTTTTAAAAAAAAGATTTTTTTCCTTAGAGAGATGGGGAAAATACATGAATTTTGGGAGGAAAAGATAAAAATAGGGAAAATTCTAAATTGTTGAAAATTGATTATCACAGTTCTATTTTTACTCAAAAATTCTCCTGAAATTACTTATCTCATTGCCGGGGATATTGATTAAGTGTTCACACCTCTGTGAAATATATTTTACAAAAATTTTTATGTTACCTTTTAAACTTACTTTTAAACATATTTGTACATATTTTTATGCCTACACCATAAATAGATTTAATTTTTTAATGTATTTTTACTCTATAAAAGTTTGAAAGAAAAAAGTAAAAAAAAAAACCTTTTAAACTCCGCTACTGCCTTGTTCACCCGTTCTTGAAGTCCTGCTGGAGACAGAACCTGCCTCTCAGCATCCCCTGTTGTTATCAGGGTCCGGTCTTTTACACTGGCCTAAACATGCTTTGTAATTATTATACTTTAAAGGGACTGTAAGCGTAATTTGAAGAGGCCATCTAAGCAAAGACGGCAATGCCCGATTCACAATGGTACATTTGAAACATATATTTGTTCAATAATGTGGAAGATATTTTAGTTTTTTTTAACTTGAAGTGTTCATTTCTGATTATTTCTACATGTTTTATTTCAGTAGAAATGCGCAAGCCTCTTTTGTAGAGAACACGCATTTGAAAATTATAAGTTTTAAAAATTATAAACATTAACATCTAATTCATAATTGACCCGGGTTCTTAAAATAACAGCCCAGAGGGTTTTAATGGATTATATTGGGTTATATTGAGTTTTATTGAGTTTTATTGAGTTTTATTGGGTTTTATTGGGTTTTATTGGGTTTTATTGGGGTTTATTGGGTTTTATTGGGGTTTATTGGGTTTTATTGGGTTTTATTGGGTTTTATTGGGTTTTATTGGGTTTTATTGGGTTTTATTGGGTTTTATTGGGGGGGGGGGGTTTAAATGGGTTTTATTGGGTTTTATAGGACTTTTCAATTTGGATGTAGTTAAAACCTACTAAAATTCATAATAATTCATAATAATAAGACTATTTAAGCAATAGGTGAACTTTATAGTTATGAAAAATAATAATATTGTTGTGATGAGGGTTTGCATGATTTCCGTTTCTTTCTTCATATTTATTAAAACCCGAACCTTCATTAGTTTATTCGGAAGATCTGAGTACTGGTGAAACCAATCCTCCGCGCTCCAACCTCTGAAATGAACCAAATTTAAACAAAACAATAATTTGTTATATATATAAAATTTTGACCCAAGACCAACTTTTATGAATAACTAGAAGTAGTTTAACTATGTAGGCGTAGTTGAACCACTTCTCTTATGCGCCAGTTTAAGTTGAAGAGAAGAGTCTATGTAGTCGATGATGTTCAAACTACTTCTCTCTATTCATAAAGTTTCATCCCCGATGATTAATCCTTTTAAACCTGGCGGCTAGAACACACTCGACAAGAAGCAAATCGGAGATTGCGTCTCCAACAGTTTGGTTTATCACATTCATTAACATGGCTAAACTTTGAGCTGACGGCGTCTCCTAGAACATCAAATTTAAATTATTTCTTTTTACAAATATTAACCATCGGACTCAATTAATTAATTGCGATAAGTAGCTTAATTATGTTAGGCTAGATGAGCTCTGCCACTTTCTGTTGAATATTCTCATTTAATCTGACCTCTGGACTATGGTCAAACCGAATTTATTGTTACAAACAATGCTTAGGATCAGGGGCACGGACAAATTAGACCAAAATTAGGATAATTAATAGGAAACAATCTCAGGATTGGAATAAAGAAAAGTCCCCGATAGCATCTTCCCATACGTATTTGGGAGCCGGGGGGTGCCGGAGCTCTTGGGAGTTAGCTCCAATGGCGGTCTGGGCTCTCCAAGATGGGGGGGGGTTTCAGATCTAACACTTATCTTATCTTATATTGTGATGTTTAGTGTCAACACTGACCAAAATTGATATGGATTAGACCTAGCCCCAACAAAGTACCGCTTCTATGGGCGTTTTCTTTTACTTGTAATTCAAAAAAATTTATTTTATACCTTGATCAGTTTTTGTGCTCCTTGGCTGAATACAACGGTTCCATGTCCGTTGGCCTCGAAATATACTCCGATATCAAACTCCAGTGCTGCGTGATGAAGGAACTTGACTCCGGTAGGAACACAGGAGACAGGGACACCCAAGCTCTTGGTCATATAGTCTGTAGAGCTTCCGTTAGCGTAGGCAGTCTGTACACAACCAATTCTACAATTTGAGGATTTTTAACAATATTACAAATAATGAAATTTCTTTCGTAAAATTTGATCAAGATTAGTATTGCATAAAATTAGACATTAAGTAAAAAAGCAAATCTATTAATTTAAGTCTGAAAGCATATTTGAAGTGCAAGACAAGTTGAGTACATGGCTGTAACTGAGGCCCCCCTTTGTGATCAAAGGAATTGAGTCTTTGCCACAAACTCTGATTTTCTCTTCCTAAATCTTTCTAACTCAATGTCACAGACCTTAGATATTTCCAACTATGAATTCTGTTAGCTCAAATAAAATAAGTTTGAAATACTATAGGTTAGCACCATCAGGTTGTCAAACTATAAGAATTAGAAATTTTTAGCTTGTGGCAAAGACTCAATTCCTTTCAAGTGAAATAAGAGCTTTTTTGCTGTTTAAAAGGGCTTTGACCCTCCCCACTATTTTTCCCTATGTGCCCCGCTCTACAAAAATCCTCCAGTTCCTGGTCTTCATACGAAATTGAATTTCAGAATGTTGTTGTTCTTTACTCCTTGTACCTGATTTTATCCGAGAGTCCTGACTCCGCCAGCAGGTGTTTGAGATATCCAGCAACTAGGGTTGCAATCCTGTCTCCGTCCAGTAGATGGAATACGCCTGGATAAATAATGTATTTTTCTTCTTAAAGAAACTGTTACCGAAATAATGACCATAATCATTATAAGAAATTAACAACGGTATCCTTTTAACTCTTTTTCTAAAAAAAACTTTTACTTTAAGTAAAAGTATCCAGGATTCAATCCTGTAAAAAGGCCAGAGTTTGCACGAAAGATACATCCCGATCGTAAGTGCTATGGTCGGCACTTTCCTAAATTATCATCCTAGGTTTTACGTACTTCATATAGAATATACAATCTGAGAAAAACCAAAAATCCAAAATATAAAATATCAAAAAATCAAAAAAAAAAAAAAAAAAAAAAAAAAAAACAATTTTGTAAAAATTAAGATAAAAATGAGCTAGTGCTTTGCCATGAAACACCGGGAAACTCAATATTTATCAAATTTTCGATTGTTTACAGATGGGTAAAAAATACATCATGACTGGTTGAAACAGGTCCACTTATACAAATTTCATTAGTTTGTTTTTTTCCAAAAGCCCAAAAATGCACCGAAATAATGACCTATCATCTTAATAAGCAGACCTCAACGGTAGACATTTAACCTTAGTTTCTATGTGGTGTACAAATTCTGTCTACCTACATAAAGAAAAACAAAACGGTTTCTAGTAAAATTTGTCAAGGGTTTATCATTCACCTTGTTTTCTATAAAAATAGATAACCCTGTCTGCATCTCCATCCACTGACACACATCTAAATAATTTAAATCAAATTTTAAAGCTCTTAAGATTCTGCTATAACTGTAAATTATTCTTTTCTTTATAATCAAGATTTTTTTATGAAGAGTAATAAGCTTAAAATACTAAAGCTGAGGCTCTAAGGTAACTTTAAAATACGAGTTAGTCCTAAAAATAATAATAAACATAAAATGATCATTTAACTAATCATGAAATATTCATTGAACTGTGTATTTGTTCAATAAAAATATTAAAGACCAAAGGGGGAAAATTTTAAAGCTTAAATGATCTGAAGAGTCTTTATTGGATAATTCTTGGTAAAGAGTTAAATCCTGAAACTGAAAAGGTTAAACTATTCAATCTCTGAAGCAAAGCACTATCCCGACAAATATTTTCGCCTTCTGAATAAATGACAGATGACTTATCTGACCACAAGACAAATACATACAGAAATATCTAAGAATGAGTTTTCACCTAGTATTCTCAACTGCTTCCAATCCTGCTGGAGCTTCTTGATGAACCTTGACAAAGTCTGCTCCGCAACCTGAGTTCAGCTCCCCAGAACCTAAACATTATAACTAAACCATCCAATCCCAAAACCTTGACATTATCTGCTTTGCAACCTGAGTTTAGTTTCCCAGAACCTAAACCTTAAAAATATCCTTCCAATTTTAAACCTTGGCATAATCTGCTTCGCAACCCGAATTTAGTTCCCCAGAACCAAAACATTAACATCACATCCCCGAAACCTATACATTATCATTAAACATTCCAACTCTAAACCTTGACCTAATCTACTCCGCAACTCCCCGGAACCTAAAATTTATAATTAAACCTTCTAAGCCCAAACCTTTAAGTAATCTGCTCCGTAACCTGAGTTACCCTCCCCGGAACCTTAACATTATCATTGAACTTTCCAATCCTAAACCTTAGTAAAATCTGCTCCACAACCTGAGTTCAGCTCCCCAGAACCTAAACATTAACAATATCCTTCTAATCCTAAACCTTGACATAATCTGCTTCGCAACCTGAGTTCAGCTCCCGAGAACCTAAACCTTAACAATAAACCTTCCAATTCCAAACCTTGACCAAATCTGCTCCGACACATGAGTTCAGCTCTCCGGAACCTAAACATAAACATTAAACCTTCCAATCCTAAACATTGGTAAAATTTGCTTTGCAACCTAAGTTTAGCTCCACGAAACCTAAATGTTATCATTTAACCTTCCAATCCCAAACTTTGGTAAAATCTGCTCTCCCGCCTGAGTTTAGCTACCCGGAACCTTATGGGATCGAAACCTTCTACATTTTCAATAAAAGTAAATAACAGAACTATTATTGATGTTTTTATTACTATTTTTTAGGGTGAAAATATTCAAGATTTTGTTTTTATTTCAAGCCGTTGACTAACCTGTATTGAATGCAGTAACCTCTAATATTCCCTTTAGCCTTGTCATGAACTCCTGCATAGCGAGAGCTCCGACACCATTAGCTCCGTCAAACATAATCTTGGGAGAATAGTTCCCAAACTCTTTTATCCCTCCTAGGAAACTGGTAAAAGCTGAGGATAGTTTGGAGTAGTATCCATCCAGGGTTGGTTCTCCATATCCACCTCCAGTATTGGTGGCAACTACCATGTAGTGGAGCTGGGGCGTACTCACAACTCCGATATCGGTTGCCACGCCTCCTGCCGCTGCTATACCGGCTAAAACGGCGTTGGAGAGGGCGGGACTAGTCTTTCGTGTATCTCTTCCCACAAATACACGTCCTGCGCCTTCAGTAATACCACAACCACTAAAGATTTGTAAATATTATAAAAAAAATCTTTAACATGCAAAATATGTTTTTGTTTGTTTTTGAGGGCGGCGAAGGATATTAATAAAGAAGGGAAAAAACTGGTGAAGTCAAAAACCCTTATAAATATATTTGTAAAATCCCTAATGATGGAGTCTAGGACGTCAGGAATCTCCCGGTCGGTGGAGTTGGCGAGGTTGGTTGCCAAGGACTCCCAGGAGAACTCAAGCATCTCCCCCACAGGGTCAACCAACTTCACGCCGTTATCACATTCCGGGTTGTGAGAAGCGGTGATCATCACTCCTGAACATGAGATAGGTAAGACGTGTATATATTGAAGAAATACCGCCCTGAGGAGGAGGGGTGAAATATTTTCGGTGATTTGGGGGGAACATCAGCTTGCAAGTTTTTCTATCCTTTTGGTACTTTTTTACCAAAATTAATTTTATCTTTAAATAAAATGATTAGTTTTAAGAATATGTATGAGAACATATTTCTTCAATGTAATATGTATCAGGGTTTAACTCAATGCACTATCAGTAGAAACAAAAAGGATATATTAACTCGCTGAAATTGTCACAAGTGATCTCCCAGCGAAAAATATTCCAACAATCCAGTAATGCAGTAAATGAAAGGTGGAAAAGAATGAACCAAAATTAAATTATTAATTTATCACTTTTATTTATTTCCGATGATTTCTAATTGGTAAATAGCCCTGTATCAGACAGATCCACTGCGAGGTTATTGGAGAAAGGCGTCAAATTCTTTTTACAGAAACATCAGAAAGAAGATGTTGCTGTTACAGATGTATGATTAAATAATAGTGTGTCCTCTTTTTATGCTAATACTCCCTTCAAGATCCTTTATAACTTACCGATAACCTGTCCAGACTTAGCCCAGGACCTATTTCAACACACAGTTTATAGACTTGTTTTGAAACAAAGATGGAAATCATTCTTCGAGCCTATTCTAGTTTCAAATAGAGGATCTAAATCTATAAGCAACATGTCCCGGAATACATTTTTTCACACATGATTGATGAGCATGTGCATACACTATGCAAAAATTAATCTTGATTTAAACATAAACAACCTTATTCAAACAATTTAATTCTCTAAAGTTAATGGAAAAAATAGGAAACTCTAAACCAAATTACGAATTGATTCCAAGACTAGTTTGGATAGAAATGATAAACTGTGTATCCCTGAGGACTGCCATGGCACCCATCCTGTACATCACATGATCCAGAAGCTCCGCCTTAGTCCTGAACCCAGCTGTACCATAGCTAATCTTTGTATCAATAGTCCTAAATCAAAACTCTTTAGAGTGCCTTAGTTCTAAACCCAGCTGTACCATAGCTAATCTTTGTATCAATAATCCTAAAGTAAAACTCTTTAGTTGCTCCGCTTTAGTTCTAAACCCAGCTGTACCATAGCTAATCTTTGTATCAATAATCCTAAATTAAAACTCTTGAGTTGCTCTGCTTTAGTTCAAAACCCAGCCTTATCATAGCTAATTTTTGTATCAATAATCCTCAATTAAAATTCTATAGTTACTTCGCTTTAGTTCTAAACCAAGCTGTACCATAGCTAATCTTTGTATCAATAATCCTAAATTTAAACTCTTTAGTTGCTCTGCTTTAGTTCAAAACCCAGCCTTATCATAGCTAATCTTGGTATCAATAATCCTCAATTAAAACTCTTTAGTTGCTCCGCTTTAGTTCTAAACCCAGCCTTATCATAGCTAATCTTTGTATCAATAATCCTAAATTAAAACTCTTTAGTTGCTCCGCTTTAGTTCTAAACCCAGCTGTACCATAGCTAATCTTTGTATCAATAGTCCTAAATTAAAACTCTTTAGTTTCTCCGCTTTAGTTCTAAACCCAGCTCTGTACCATAGCTAATCTTTGTATCAATAGTCCTAAATTTAAACTCTTTAGTTGCTCCGCTTTAGCAAAACACAGCTGTATGATAGCTAATCTTTGTATCAATTGTCCTAAATTAAAACTCTTTAGTTGCTCCGCCTTAGTTCTTAATCCAGCTGTACCATAGCCAATCTTTTAATCATTAGTCTTAAATTAAACTCTTTAGTTTCTTCGCCTTAGTCCTGAACCCAGCTGTACCAAAGTATTAATAGTCATAAATAAAAAAGTCATTGACAAGAGCATCAAGATAGTACCCTAAATGAAACTGACCTAAGTGTTTTTTGACATAAGGTTTTTCTGGCATAAGGTTTTTTGACCTGAGGGTTTTCTCACCTCTCAAGGGTTTTCAAGCAAAAATTGTATTAGATCTTGAAATAGGCTAGGTTAGGTTAAACGTTGTAGGTATAGATGCATTGGAATAAGACTTATTTTAATGGGGAGTCGATTTTAATCCGTAAAAAACACGGTGGAAGTGAAAACTACTGTACTTTTTCTTTAAAACTTTTCGATAATTAGGTCGGGGTAAGTTACCATAGTATCGATAGGATTTATCTGACATTTGACAATATTTGAATTGTAGCTCTTTATCCCAATATTATTCTCGACAAACTTAACCTTGCAATTCATGTATATAAATATTTTACAGATATCTATGTATCACTTACTGTTGTACAAGTAAAAATATCTTCATCCTATAAACAAATATTAAGAAAATTGTGTTACCTAGGATGGGAGGCAAGTGCGACTTCAAGAACTTTGGCCCAGCGGGACATTTTCGAATCTAAAAAAATCATAATTTTTTCATCTTTTTTCTTCTAGGACTAGATGAAGGTTTCTTCTGCACCCTGTAGAACGCAGACAGGGTTCCAGGTTCTGTAAATTCTTCTTCTCCCGGCCAAACAACCTTTTCAGATTCAAAATCTGGAATCTCCTCATAGTCAGATTCATCCTGCTCCTGCTTGCTTGGCAACCATTCCGTTGACTCCGGTAGCCATAAAGAGTTCCAAGTTTGGTTACGAAATGTTTTCGTTAACTGATCTCCCCAACCATTCTCACGTTTCCAACCTTTATTTGCATTCTCTGTAGGAATTGATAAACCCAAATCTTCGATTGTGTAAACTTCTTTTGCATCTTTAGAGTTGGGAGATATATCTTCTCCTAATGCTGCTGAGAGTAGAAGATCAAGCTGTGCTTCCTTCTTCTTACTGACTCCGGCCAGGTTGCAGAAACATGGAAGCATCATCTGGACTAATCTGCTAGGTTCAGATATCCAGGATTCAAGATGTGAGATATCTGTTCCGTGAACTTTGTTTAATTTCAAGGTTTTAGAATGTCCAAGGAGTCCCTCGGATATCTCAACCACCCAGGCAGCAGCAAACTCCTTACTACTCTCCTCCACATCCTCACGTCCTATCCTCTCCACCAGGTTATCTATTAGAATTCTAGCTCCTCTCCGCTCATCTATCTTCTCTATAAACTCCTTCCAGACTAGAACTAGGTCTGGGGGGATCTCGACGTTGTCCTCCTCTTCCTCCCCCTGCAGGGTCTCCAGGAAGGATTGCTCAGGTACTAAAAGATCTTCGTTAACTAGAACCCGGGCCAGAACCTCGGTTTCTATGTCTAGGTTCAATATCTCTGCTCTCACTACACCTGAAATATAAACCGTTTACAAACCTTAAAGGGATTAAAAGCTTAATTTTAATTTTAATCTGATCAATAATTTGGAAGATATTGTCTATTTCCAGGCTGTAATTGCTTAATTTTGATAAATTCTTATAAACAATAAATGCGCGAGTGACTTTTGCAGAGAAACTGCAAATAAACATCACCATTTTAAAGAAACTAAAACATGGATATCTAATTCATACTTGATCAGACAAAGCTTTCAAGGGTACCGTTGAACCGAATACTGCCATCTTTACATCTTTACATGGAGGATAACTTGAAATTACGTTTAAAGCCGAATTTAAAGAATTTGAGCCGCGGCTCAAATATGGTTGGTTTCAATTAAAATTGTTTTCAATTTTTCAAGATTTAAGCCGGCGCTCGATTGAAACCTGTTTTGGGGTGATTTGAGACGAGGCTTAAATTCATTAAAGTCGGACTCTGTTCCTTTAACATTGAATGTTTTCAATGACAATTAATGAAAGCTATTAAATTGTAGAAAATGTACACCCATGTTTGAAAATCTCCGATTTTTTAAGGCTCAAATTATTCAATATTTAGGGCAGACTTAAATTTTAAATTTGACTGGAAAGATTTTCATGATATATGGTTTTAAAATCTAGGCTAGGTTTGTATTTGTGATAAAATCTTACGTTTTTAACAGTATCTACCTTGTGCTTGCTTGACGGTAATATTATTGAGGTTTCCTACGTTCTTGAGTTTATATCCGAGAATGTTTGACCAAAGGCTCAGTATATGGGAGTAAACGTCCTCGTGGGTCTCCTCTGCAATTTATGATACATCTTAGATATTTTTCAATTAAAACGCTTAAAATTTTGGTCCCCTTTGATATATAATTATACAAACACGCGAACAAAACTTTAATAAACATATCGAAAAGCAGAAAAAGAACAATGATTACAAATGTAACAAATACTAATTGCTTATTCTCACCTATATCCTTGACATGCACAGTTCCCCAGATATGATAAACCTTAAGATACATGAAGCACTCCAGCATCCCAGCTAGCTCGGCCTCGAGGCTTCTCCAGCCTCCAGGTCGAGGTTCAGTTACAGCCTTGAAGTCTCAAATATTAAAATTAGAAATAAAACTGGTTGCAATTTGACAACGGATATCTCATCTTTGTTTTTAAATAAAGGAAAGCTTAATCCAATACAACCGAAGTTCATGAATCTGAGAATCTTATGCGTGTATCTTATTTGTAACAAGAAGCAAATGATTATATTTGAATATGGAGATTTTTTCCCTTGTTTTGCCAGTAGTTTGTGCAGATCCAACTCCAACATACCTCAAATCCAGCTCTAAAAAATAATCATGAAAAAAAATGATATGGAATAAAAAAATAAGCAAAAATTTTAAAAAAAGTATTAACAAACAATATTTAAACTAACCGATACAAATCTGCCAAAAATATATACATAACAGAAAAAATATAATATTATAATTACGATTTCACTAAAATTGTCAAGCTCTATTTCAAAACATTTGTCAGTATTCTCTGTCGCAAAAGAGGACACGCTTGTACGGATAAAACAAGAATGAGTATGAAGAAATGATTAGAACCCATATTGAGAACGCACATTAAAGACGAACATTTAGAAATCAGATTGAGCACTTACATTAGGCGCACATTAAGAACACATTATGAAGGACGCACAAAAATAGGACAAAATACTTACATCGCAGCTGTATATAAATAGGACAAAATACTTACATCGCAGCTGTATATAAATGGGACAAAATACTTGCATCGCAGCTGTATATAAATAGGACAAAATACTTACATCGCAGCTGTATATGAATGAAAAAATGAAGCAATTAATGAAAGAAAAATGAAAACTATATTTATTTCACTACCTGAGTATTGTGTGACTAGGCATGTGTCCGTGTGTTGTTTCGTGTCTAAAAAATATATTTATAAGCCAACAGTAAACATTAACAACTACAAAAAGATCTAAAATATTTGTTGTTAAAAAAATATTCAAATTTATTGATTATTTGCTGAACAGTTCGATAATAAATACAAAATCCAGTTCTATGAAAGACGTTTTAACATAACAAACTTGATATTTACTATTGCAGGTTTAAATCCAAACTAATAAATTTAAATCCCTTAATTGGTTTATTTAAAACCAAAATTTCAAATTTGAATTTAGCAGGTCAGATACTCTGATTTAATTTGGTTCTGGTAAAAACCGTGTACTATTTCCTTGGCGATAATATATACATAAAGTTGTAATCTCCGTTTGTTAGTTTGTTTGAATGTCCGATCATAACTAATGAACCCCATGACCGATTTGCCTGAAATTTTTATTGGGGAATTCGGAAGAACCACGGGATATTTCTTGGCTTGGTTTTGAGATTATAAGTTAAGTGGATTGAGTTTTACAGGAAAAAAATAGCTAAAATTGTAATTTCAGACCAAGCACGGGTAAACGGCGTGAGGAACTATGAGTATTCTGGGCAACGCTGGGTTCCCAAGCTAGTATAGTAAACAAAACTGGACTAACCTGATATCAACAATCCAACCTGGAACCTTCAGCTTCTCCGCCGCCTCATGCAGCTTACTTACACCCCAGGTGTTCATTCCTGAACAATAGGTAGCAAAGTTAAATGTCTTCTTGATAATTCACCCCCCCCCCCAAAAAAAAAATTTAAACATATTATATTTTAAGGGGGTTCCTCGCTTGCGAAGAATTAATGAATGAGTTAACAATTTATCCTGTTAAACCTTACCCTAAATTCTTTTCTGAATATTCATGGTTCAGGGATATTAATTCTTCAATCTTACTAGATTCAGTTAACGTCAGGAATAAAATAGGATTTTTAAAATAAATGTTTTGTGAGCAGGGAAGCATTAAAATAACTACAACTCTAAAAGAGGAGAGGCCATCACTCTTTTCTACAAACATCGTCAGCAAAACTATTTTGAACTATTTGAGACAAAAGATTGGCTGTATAATTCAGTTCAGCTTTCTTTCAGTCTTGTTCACTTGAAATTTTCAGTATTACTGATCTTTGTCAAAGAAAAATTAAAACTTTGAAGTAAAAATGTTGGATATTCAGTTTTGAAACCCAGAGGTATAAATATCAAAACTGGCATTTTTTTTATCAACCAACATTTTCAGAGTTTTAAGGAAACAGTGTTTCTTTTATCTCAGTTAAGTAGTATACTAAAGAATTTATTGCTTGTATGATAAGAACCCTCCAGGGGTCAATAATAAATCTTAATTTTGTTTTATCAAGGTCAATATTACTCAAATGAGTTTTAAATCGAAAGTTTATTAAATTATTTTATTTCCCCTAAAATTACGAAATGGAGAAAACACAAATACATCTTTAGGGAAAAAATTCTTTCTTAAATTGTAAGATTTATCTAATTTTTCAATTATCGTTAAACATTATAAAGCCACAAATTTACTTTTTTAATATTTCAACAAGAACAACCTTATATAAAGAGAAAATAACATAACTAAGAGTGGATTGAAAGTACATATTTAAAGACAATTCCGTTAGTACTGGTAAAAAATAGACAGTATACACCCCTTGTTCAGATTAAATTGAATATTTACATATTTTAGGCCATGGTTTCTATATTTTTTTTAATAATTACCTATATGTGAGACGTGATTCAGAAATCTGTTAATCGACATAGACAAGCCCAGTTCATTGTTCATGTCTCTGCTCGCCTAGTAATTATATATGTTTAAAAAGTTAGGAATTAATTAAAAAAAATTAAATGTATTAGGACTGATACTGTGTTCAAATATTTTGAATTTAAAACGTCATTACAAGTGAACTTCTCACTAACACTTTGCATCCACGCATCACAACGGTACTCTTTACACCTAATCATTAATGAGGAAGATATTGACGTTTTTTTTCTTATAGCATGTTGAATTCTGTCTCGTTCCATATTTTTTTCTGCTAAGTATATCCGCAAGACACTTTGTTTAGCAACCAAAACTGATTACTATTAATTTTCACATGAAGAAGCAAGAATAATCTAAAGAATTTTTGATGATACGAAGGTTTCATAAGTACCAAAGTGAATCAGATTATTTTACCAGGGGAAAAGATTTTACTCGCTGAACCAGGAGAAGAAGAAAACGATTTTTTTAAGCAAATAAAGGCATTTTTATATAAAAAATATCGAAATTAATGAAAAATAATGATATCCAATATTTCATTTTCCCCAGGTATCAAAATTGAGTAAATCTAGAAAATATATACCAAAATTAATGAAATATAAAAAATATATACCAAAATTGAATAAATCTTGAAAATATATACCAAAATTGAATAAATCTTGAAACTATATACCAAAATTGAATAAATATTAAAAATATATACCAAAAATTGAATAAATCTAGAAAATATATACAAAAATTGAATAAATATTGAAAATATATACCAAAATTGAATAAATATTAAGTATATATACCAAAATTGAATAAATCTAGAAAATACATACCAAAATTAATTAAATCTAGAAAACATATACCAAAATTGAATAAATATTAAAAATATATACCAAAATTGAATAAATATTAAAAAATACATACCAAAATCTAAAAATCTAGAAAATATATACCAAAATTAATTAAATCTAAAAAATATATACCAAAATTGATTAAATCTAGAAAATATATACCAAAATTGATTAAATCTAGAAAATATATACCAAAATTGATAAATCTAGAAAATATATACTAAAATTGATTAAATCTAGAAAATATATACCCCTCTGGAAGCGTATCTGTACCTGAAGCAAAGATATCGTTGTCTCCACACCAGTTGGCATTCTCACACACCTACTACTCCAAACCTAGAAATTACAATATAATCTTAACTCTGATAAGGGACTGTAAATGTAATTTCAAGTGAAAGAATGTCACTATGGTACCTTTAAAAGCTTTGTTTGTTCAAGTATGAATTAAATATTTATGCTTTAGTTCATAAAAAGTTTATTTTTATTTGTTTTTTCTTCGTAAAAGTGGCTTGCGCATTTTTTGCTTGAGAAACATTAGAGATTAAACCACATTAAATCTACCACATTATTGACCAGATTAAGGTTTCATGGATACCGAGAAACCATATTTGAAAATAAAAATTCATTCTTGATCAGACAAACCTGTACCGTTGTGAATCGAGGATGCGCCTATTTCAATGGAGGGTCACTTAAAATTACGTCCACGACAGTCTCTTCAAATTTAACAAGTTTGCATTGCCTCTCCTACAGTTATAACCAGAAAGACCCGGAATCAATTTTAGAATCGTGTTTGATCTTTGAAATAGTTTACGACATTCATGCGTCAATCTTATTTTACAAATATACTAATTCTTTAGCTAAACTTGACTTCACAATCAATTCAGTGGAAACAGAAACAAACTGCATTATTGTCAGTGTCTAAAAAGCGTTTGCAAGTGGAGGGAGATGGTAGATCCGTGCTTCTCAAGCTGAGCCCATTCCGTTGCCAGTTGCAGTTCGTAGTCTGAATTCGTTTTATAAGCAATCTCTCTCCGTATTGGCAGTAAAGCAAAGTTGTTGATAGGTGATGAACCCTTGAGTTCAATGTTTATTTTTTCACTGATATGCTGAAGAAGGCATGTGAAGCAAAGAATTATTATTTTTCTCGAATAATCTCAAATTCTCAAAACGAAGAGAGAAATCTAATTTTACAAATATCCAATTATGATTGATGAAACAAATGTCACAAACTAGCTCTAGTCCTGCCATTTCCAAAATGTGGTCTGCCTTTTTTGTGCGTTCAAAATCACTAAAAACTAAAACTCTTTATATCTCGGGACAAAAATCGTTGGGAAATTACCCAAAGATCTAACACGACGGAAAAGTCGTCTGATTAATTGTCATTTGGATCCAGGTCATTCTGGCTATGACTGTGTGTAATCTACGTAAGACAGGTCCGTCCTGGAATACGATTTTTGGAAAGTGTAAATTTTAGAAGACAATATTTTTTACTCCTTATCGTTCATGATTGTTCACCGCAGTCTCTGGTTTGATATTTATAAGAATACACAATTACAACAAAAAATATAAGCTTAAAATTAGTACCTGAAAAAAGTCTAAAGCCTTAATATCCCTGGTCAGCACTAATCCTTTCACATAATCCCATTCTCCAGCTTCAAACCAGGGGTTTAATCTTTTACTCGTCATTATTCACTCACGCTTTATTCACATTCATAAACTTCTGTAACAAAACAAAAATAAATTTCACAACCTCGTTTTTTTATTATTATGATAAATTAAAATCGTCAATCGTCTTGTTGTGGCCGCCGACTATTTATAGATGTTTTCCTGATGATACGTGTTCATTTCATCATGCGCAAGTTTCTATTTATGCCCCGTTACGGTATCTACAGATTGAAAATATCGTCTTTACAATATTCACTCTATTCGCAAATAATGGAATTAGTAGTGATTTTCAAAACTACAGGGGAAATTAGTTTCAAACCTAACAATTGGCCCATTTATAACACTGAGCGCTAAAAATTGGCCAAATGTATGCATCTTTAAATCCAAGCCGAGTTAAACAAAACTAAACCATACATTTATAACAAATGGCTATAAAAAAAAAACTATTTATTGGAGCAAGAAATATACCAACAAACCAATAATAAGGTGTGATAATTAGTTTATGATGATTCATGTTTTCATTTTCAAAATTATCCCTATTTTGAAATAATTACCGCATTATTTTAAACATTTCCTGGTTTGAGACAATTACTCTAATTCATATAAAAGTCGATTTTCAAGTATTTACCCAATTACGTCAAAAAAAAAGATTTTTGATAAGGTAAAATGTAAACAAAATAGAAAATAAAAACATATGGTTTTTGTAAGGAATAAAACATTACGGCATTGAAAGATAAAAATATTTATTTTATTTTGTTCTTGCAATGTAGATTTAACAAATACGGGATTTTGATTGTTTAAAATGCAGGAAACTTAATCAACTTTATTCTCATATTTAACGAATAAAATGTGAAAACTTAGATTCTAAATATAAATGTTTTAAGCCGTTTCATTGCATAACTTTTTGATAATCGAAATCTAAATCTTAAAGAATAAATTTGATCAATATATAAAATTAATTACATATATAAAATATTGGGTGTGCTAGAAATTGAAATCGAATTTGCTACCGATGAAATTTTTCTGTGTTTACTAAAAATCTCTGCGTTCAGTTCAAGTTCAAGTGTGAATTAGATAAGAAGGTTAAATTGATAAAAAAATGTTATCTTTTTTAATTTTATGTTTTGTGAACACTAACTCATGTTGAATTTTGCATAAATGTAATTTAAAATACTGAAGAATCTTATACAGAGAATGTAAAAACAGACCGCAATTTTGTGGCAAATTAGCATATAGTGATCTTTATTTAGCAATTCAAATAACTCATAACCAAATTTTTTATATAGATATATTTTATGTAAGTTAATGTAAGTTAAAAAATGTTTTCATAAAATTCCATTCTAACCAATAATATAAACACTTCTATCAAAACATTTCAGAAATAAACAATGCAATATACTTTATCATTTTGAAGTAATCACACCAATAAATCCCTAAATATGCAAACAATGATAACCTATATAAAGCCAGTGGTAACAAGTCGTTTTTATCAAATGTTTTAAAAGAATTTACGTAAATATTTTGTTTTTTAAAATTATTCAAAATTTATCTAATAGTTCTAATAGTTAAAGATTTGCAAATACATGCATCGAGAAATTTCAAATTAAAAGATGATAGAAAGAAGATAGCCAATTCCACTCTTTTAACGGTTTTTACTGTACGTTTATTAACTATCAAATTTAAAGTTTTGAACCACAGGGTGTCCCAATAAAAATGGAAACTAAGAGACGACTTCAATATCTTCTTTGATTTCTAATAGTTGAGAAATGACATAAATTGCATTAAAAAAAGAAAAGAATGAAAGTCGAATGAGCTTTCCAAAATGTTGTCTACCTTTTATGTATCTTTAATAATTGACGGAGTTATTAAACATTTGAACCGTTTTATTGAATTTTAATAAATTGGAATCTAGACAAATTTCCTAATTTCTCCGTAAAGGGTTTTGAAGGTAAAAAAAATTGTAGACTATTAGTTTTCGGTGTTAAATGTTTAACTACAAAGTTATGTTTTCTAAATATTAAGCATGGAGCAAAGACTATAATTGAAGTCGTCATTTCATTCCCATGTTTATTTGGACACCCTGTATGTTATTCTGCTACTGATTTAAATAAAACTGTTTATGTTTCCTTATTTTTGATTTCAGGAATCCCACAGAGGACACAATTAATGATGGCTACAGATAAAAAACACGTTGTGATAATAGGTAAATTTAAAAACTCATAAACCACAGTGGACCCCATAAAATGTGGAATAGAAAGAAGACTGTTAGACTCAATTTATGATTTTAATTAGTCCAATCAGCGTGAAACACAGCATTTATCCAGTTCACAGTTAGACAGTTACTTAATAAGTTGATTTTTAAGCTTCTTGTGAAACTTTTTACTTTTGTAACCACATTATCCATATTATAACCACATTATAACCACATTATAACCACATTATAACCACATTATAACCACATTATAACCACATTATAACCACATTATAATCACAGTATAACCACATTATAACCCACATTATAACCACATTATAACCACATTATAACCCACATTATAACCCATATAACCCACATTATAACCCACATTATAACCACATTATAACCCACTTAAGATTGCTTAAATTGCAGTTTCACACTTTTATGGCTCTGACTACAATAAACAAGATTAAATTAAAAACACTTAAATGCTTAATTAGGTGGAGGTATTATTGGGCTCACCACCGCATATGAACTCAGTAAACATTTCAAGGTCACTTTAGTTGAAAAAGAAAAGGTATTTTATGAATTTTTATATTTGTATTTTTAATAAAATAGCATAACAATTATTATTATTTTAGTTTATTATTAATTTTAATTCTAGTTTGTTTGCAACAAAATAAAATCAAAATCAAGCGATATACTTACAATTGCTTAAGTATAAGTTTTAAAAAAGATTTATGAATGAGTATCTAATCTTAAAAAAGTGCTGGTAAGAGAAGAAGGAAAAACGTAAATACAGCGGAACCCCCGCAAGTGTGGGATAAGAATACGATTGCTATACTTAATTTTTTATTCTGAACAGTTTAATGGAAATTAACAGCTATTGTCCTGTTTAAACAGATCCATTAACAAGCTGATTTTTAATATACTGGATACTGGTAAAAACTATTTACATTTTAGGAAAATCAAATACACATCAGATTTTTTAATTGTCGTCTTCCAATTTCACAATTTTGTTGATACTATTGTACGTTTAGGAAGTTTGTCTTGGAGCTTCCTTCCAGAATGGTGGAGTTATTAATGTAGAGAGTATAACTCCGGTCAACTCATATCTTAGGTAAAACTAGACGTTTCTAGTTTCTAAAGTTTTTGATATCCTTGTTTTTCTAGTTTCTCTACTTTCTGTCATCCCTGTTTTCTAGTTTCTATAATTTTTGACATCCTTGTTTGAAGTTTCTCTGGTAATCTAGAACCCTTGTTTTAAAGTTTCTCTGGTTTTCTAAAATCCTCTAGTTTGATATAGTTTCTGATATTCTTGTTTTTTAGTTTCTAAAATTTCTTGTTTTCTACTTACTATAGTTTCTGATGTCCTTGTTTTCTGGTTTCTCTGGTGTTCAGAATCCTTGTTTTCTAGTTTCTCTTGTGATCTAGAATCCTTTTTTTTACATTTTCTCTGGTGTTCTAAAATCCTCTAGTTTTCTCAAGTTTCTGATATTCTTGTTTTGTAGCTTCTTTGCTGTTTTAAAATTCTCGTTTTTTAGTTGTCTGGTTTTCTAAAATGCTTTTTTTATATTTTCTCCTGGTGTTATAAAAGCCTTTTTTTAGTTTCTCTGGTGTTCTAAAATCCATTTTTTCTAGTTTCTCATGGTGTTTTAAAATCTTTGTTTTCTAGTTTCTCTGGTGTTCTGAAATCCTCTTTGATATCCTTGGTCTCGAGTACTCCTAGCAACACCTTTCTCCGTCCCTCAGCTCTTCTTCAACCCAACTTCTTTCTCTGGGTAAAGCACTTCTTCCTGAACACCTCCCAGGAGAGAATACTGTACCACTCCAAGGGAATGATGGAGATGGGTGAGTTTGCTGCAGTTTTTAGTTTAAAATAAGAAAAATAAAACATATAAAAACTAGTCAGGTTGAAAAAGAAGAATTATATTATGTTAAAAGATTTATTCAAACACAAAGATATTCATAAATATACTAATGGTGTGTTAATTTTTTTATGTTAACTGATTGACTGAATAGAAAAATGTATACTTGATCATAATCTTGATTATACTCCATTCAGTTCTTCTATTTAAGTATTAGCAATACAGCCACTAGTTCAGGATTTGTTTTAAGATCTAGGACTCGACTGAAGAGAACATATATTCTCCATGCAGTTCTTCTATTTAAGATTCAGTAATACAGCCACTAGTTGAAGAGTTGTTTTAAGATCTAGGATTGAAGAGAACATATATTCTCTATTCAGTTCTTCTATTAAAGGTTCAGCAATACAGCCACTAGTTCAGGAGTTGTTTTAAGATCTAGGATTGAAGAGAACATATATTCTCTATTCAGTTCTTCTATTGAAGGTTCGGCAATAAAGCCACTAGTTGAGGAGTTGTTTCAAGATCTTAGATTGAAGAGAGCAGAACATAATCTTCATTATACTCCAGGTCTACTTCTCAGGTCAACATTTTTTGAATCAATCACATTCACGAGGTACACGGTTGCCCGCAAAGGATGAGACTGTAAAAACGACCTGAAACTTTTTAATATGATGATTCCAAGAATGACTTAAGTTTTATTACTTTAATATAGTCTTTTAATGGCGTATTTATTAATTTAGCAAAGAACGAAAGTTTACAGGTCCAGTGGCCAAATTTAAAGAATTTGAGCGGCGGTTTAAATTTAAGCCGCGGTTTAAATATGGTTGGTTCCACTTAAAATTGTATCAAATGTTTCAAGATTTAAGCCAACGCTTAATTTAAACCGGGTTTTGGTGGATTTAAACCGCGGCTCAAATTCTTTAAATTCCATCTCAGGGAATTTAAATATTTGTTCCACAAGTTACCTCAATTATGTTTTAATTTTTACAGAACCAACTGAAATTCATAGACTTGAAGCATTTTTTATAACTCATTTTACTATGGTTACCGACAAAGGATGAACTTCAATAACGACTGTACAGATTTTCATGTTTATCTTCTCTTAGATTCATGATTCAATAATTATTGTCTAGATATTGTGATTTATATTATAAGAAGAGAATCAAAGGAATTGAGTCTTTACTACACACTCTGATTTTCTAATCCCTATATCTTTGCAACCCAATCTTGTAAACCTTAGATGTTTCAAACTATAAATTCTGTTAGATCAAATAATCTAAGTTTTAAATATTAAAGGTTTACACCGTCAGGTTGAAAAAATATCGGAGTTGGAAAATTTGATTTTCTGCAAAGATTCCTTTTACCTTTATAGATCGTTTCGGGTTTCGATAACATTCTCAATCTTTGCTTACAATCTTTTTAGAATTTTTTAATAAAAGATGGAATCCTTGACAAAAAATATTTAACTTCAGTTTTGAAGTCATAAATTCTGATAAGGTGATATTTAGTAAGGTTTCTGACCCTTCCTTGACCGTCTCCAACAAGAAGAAGATGTTTGATGAAATATTCCCTAAGAACTACAGTATCGGAGCAGACCTTGAACAGATCAAATCTAGCTCCGGTATCCACGGAGTAGAGGAATACAACTACGGTTGTATTGAATTAAATAATATAACAGTAAACACAAGGAGTCTAGGTTAGGCTTTGGAAAACAATTATTTTCATTTTTTTTGCTAAACTTTTTTTTTTTTTTGGCTGAAGGTTATAGGTCCGGGGACCCTTTAAATTGGTGTATAGGAGTGGACGATATTTATGTAATCTTATTCTAAAAATTGGTCTTTGTACACTACACTCATATTGTTGGACTATTTTTAATCATAACTTAAGTCTAACAGTCGTCTTTTTCTTTCACAGTTTTGCGTGAACCTGTTAGACTTAGTGTCATATAGTCTAAAATCTTTCAGGGTTAAGCTTGAAAAGAAAACTATTGGAGAGAAAGGTTGAATTTATTGAGGGTGAAGTAAGCCAGGTTATAACTAATGAAGATGAAGTGCAAGGATTAAAACTTAAAGATGGCGGACTAGTGGCTGGAGATCTCTACGTGGTTTCAGCAGGTTAAAAACCATTCTCTAAACATAATCTGACTTTTCCATATCATAGATAAGACATTTCATATATAGGACATTTCATGGAAATACATTTTATAGAAAGAGATTATTTTTCATAGATAAATTAATTTTTTCTTCCAAGAAATCTTATCTAATAAATTTTACTCTATTCTTTCTACGATCTCGCTAATTTTTACTTCACTTTTTATTAATATTTCTGTTTTAAACTGATAAAATATTATACTGTTGATATCTTGTCAAACTTATCACATTTTCTAAAATTGTAATGCGCCGTCTACATAGCCAAAACCTTAAATATTGTCTCTGAAAAAAATGCATTTAAAATTGCCTATCTATGAACATTTTTCTCTGTCTATGAAATTGCCTGTCAACGGAAAAATGTCCTATTTATGAAATCTCCCATCTATGAAATGTCCTGTCTATGAAATGTCCTATCTATGATTTTGTTATCTATAAACATTCCTATTCATGATTTTGTTATCTATGAAATGTCTTTCTATGATATGACCCAACACCATAATTTCAAGTAATCCTCCATTTCTAAGTGGCATGTTGGATTCTCAACAGTAACCTTTCTCTGACCAGTAAAGAAAGAAACATATGTTCAGAAAAAAATCTATTATTTTCTATTGTTGTTTCTCCATTAAAGTTACCTTGGGATTTATGGTGCAGAGACAATGGAGGAACTTGTCAAAATAGAAAAACAGCGATATCCTTCTTAAACTGTATTACATAAACAGTCCCTTTAATAAAAAAAATTTAGTGTCATTGAAAACATGAAAATTTCTATAATATTTCAGGATATCAGTCGTCAAGAATTCTAAAGAATATCGAGATAAGTATTCCTCTGATGCCGATAAAGGAAATTAAACCTAATACTAAATTCAGCAACTATTAAAACTTGTCAAATATTTGTGCAATATATTTGCATGGAAAAAGGTTTAGAATTGAATTTATGAAGCGTTTGAGTGCAAAATATTTCCTGAAATATGTTGTTTCATAATTTTGTTCTTTGCAGAACTAGTTTTTATACCACAATGAGAACCAGCAAACAATAGAATAGAAAGATATTATTAAAGCAATAAAAGTGTTTTTGATGTGTTTACAACACGTCTAATATGTAACCGAATAAATTTGCTTTCTCATAATTGTGCCTTAAATCTGATCTAGAGGAGCAACGAGGTCACAAAGTCGTCCCAGCACTCTCAATTGAATTTGACTTTTTCCTCCTGGCTGGTTTGCAGTGACAAAGCAAAATTTTTATCTTGTAACTTATTAAATCACTTATTAAGTGAACTGGGTCTGTGTACACTGCACAATTGCTGTGTTTGTGTTCATTGAACTATTGAAAGTCATAACTTAAGTTTTATAAAGGTCTTCCAGAGTTCTCTGGTTCTCACTGTATAGGGTGTGTAAATTTTTAGGTATAGTGCATTACATTTTAATTTATATGAAATTTTGTGAAATCTTTTTTGCCCCACAGAGAATCTAATAATACGAAAAAATATTAAGTCTGATACTGATCAGTATATTTAGATGATCCATATTCTATGTAATAAAGCTCTTCGCTCATATATATATAGCTGGCCAAACAGGCCTAACTAACTTAGCTGAACATTTTATTGGGAACTCATTGGTACCCCGGGGGTGACATAGGCTAAAAAACTTGGAAATTAATTCTTTTATAAAATTTAAAAAAAAAATTCCAACGTGTTTTCAAAATTCAACGGGCAACGCCGGGCACTTCAGCTAGTTCACTCTGAAATAAGAGATGGTTACGTTAGGATTTAATCTCAAATGTCAAACACTGGTTTCATAAACTTCTGAATTTTTTGTTTAATTTATAAATGCCTAAAGATATCTATATTGAAAAGAAACAAAAATCTAATTTATTTATCGAATGGCTTGAACTATTCACTTCAACTCATCAAGGATGATGCAGATATTCTTTTTTTTCTAAAAATTGATGTCTTCGGGAACCGTAGTGTTTAGAGAACATTGTACGCTCGGATATCCCTAAATTTTGGGCTAGAAAGATAAGGTTATCTACGTCGTTGATACTCTGACTCGATAAGTGGATTGTCATTGAAAATTAAGTATTTAGTGCCGTTAAGTTGATCTTTAGCCTTGTTTATTATTAATATTTAATATTAGGTTTTCTATTCTCCGTTTAGGCTTACAGCCTGCATCTACCAAGTAGCAGAGCAGCAAAGGTTGTTTTCTCCAAAATATTCATGAATTTTGATATTTTCTTTTAAAATGAAAATTTCAATTTTTTCTTCAAATGTCTTCAGAACTGGAAATATGCGGTTCATATTGACAGCAGCGTGGCAGGACTCTTTACTCCGTACAGAGAAGGAGTAGATAAACATGAGCTCAGGGTTACAGGTACAGTACAGAGAAGGAGTAGATAAACATGAGATTAAGGTTTACAGGTACAGTACAGAGAAGGAGTAGATAAACATGAGCTCAGGGTTACAGGTACAGTACAGAGAGAGATACTCTGGGTATAGAAGCAGACCGAAGGGTTCAATGTTCAGGTATCCGGGATATGGATGGAGATGATCCAACCCTAAGGTTGGAAAGGGTTAAACATCTAACCGAGGTTGCGGAGAGGTTTACTGGAGATAACTGGAGGCAGGAGGAGGTTAGTTCTTTTCTTACGTAAAGGGACTGTTAGCGTAATTTCAAGTGACCCTCAATTCAAAGATGGCAATGTCCTATTTACAACAGTTCCCTTGAAAGCCTTATCTGGTCAATAGTGGTTAAAGATATTGATTGCTATCTAATTAACATATATCTATCATAAAGCACTTTTAAGGGAACCGTTGTCAATTGGGCATTGCATCTTTGCATTGAAGGTCATTTGAAATGAGGCTTTATTCCCTTTAAGGTCATTTATTCATCAATGATCTCACTTTGATTTTACTATCCCAGGTTAGGGTTTGGTGTGGTATAATGCCTGTTTCTCCGGATGATTTCCCTGTGATTGGAGGCACTAGGAGATATTCAAATCTATTCCTCAACGTTGGACACGGGTTCAGAGGTGGGTTAAGTGGATTGTTGTTCCAAATTCACGACGGAGCCCTTTAACACTTTTCTCTGGTCAGTAAAGTGGACGATATTGTCGTTTTTTCAGCTTCAAAAGTGGTTAATTCGGAAAATTTAAAAAAAAACAATAATATCTCATTTATTAAGATTATACAAAGCATTTCTGGGTTCCTTTAATAATCAGACATGTCTCTCTAAAACTGCAGAGTCCCTGGAAATTAAGTCTGCTGTCCCTTAAGCATTATCCTTTATTTTCTCTAATTTAACACATGTTTAGGAACCGCATATAGTCTTCCGTCCGCCAGGTTGCTCTCTCAGCTCCTTCTCTCCAGGTTGGATATAGAACAGGAGAGAACCAGGTTCTGCTTTAATCCTAAGTTTGCAGATCCGTCCAGGTTCGGAATATAGCTCAATTCCCGGGAAAACAGATCCTAGACAGGAAAGGAAAATGTCTCCTCCTACTGAATCTTGGAAAAGTGGACATGGATCGATAGATATTATTTGATGAAATATGAAATTAAAATAATAATATAAAGTGAGCTATTTGCAATATTATCTGAATTGACCATACACGTACACAGCTTGATAGCCTGTGCTGACAGATTTTGTATTTTTGTTTCGCATTTTTTGCACTCCTGAGGATTCCAATATCTTAAATTCATCGTACACATATAAGGCAGAACTTTAATTTAATTAGTTCTTAAAATTAAAAAATAACGAAACTTGGATTATTAAAAAGTATGTGATAAATAGATAAATAAACAAGACAAAATACAGAGATCACAAGAATTAAATAGTTAGATTGGCATTCATGACAATTTAATTGAAATTAAAAGATTTCAAAGAATTCAAACGTGGCCATAAACCATACATTATTCCATACAAATATTGGATTTAGACATTACAATTTTGCTGTTTTTCATCGCATAATCAAATCATCAATGTTTCTGGCATCTGCAGAAATGTGAACTGATACATAATGAAATAAAGCCATATTTTTCATCTTCTTAGTTTTAATATATATATATATTTTTTATCTAATATTTTACTACATTATGCTGCTATATATCCTTCTCGGGGGTTTGGTATAATTTCTCCATAATTCAGAAACTAAACCGAGCTCCTTATCTTAGTTTTCTATTTAGTTTATTTCTCTTTTTTTGTTTTTACGTGAAAACATTTTCAATTTAAAACTTTTGCATAAAATACAATAAAATAGTTTTTATATTTTTGGATCTATAAATACAGTATACACATATATAAATAGTTTTGTAATGTTAGAATATAAAATATAAAATTTCACTTTTATAGTTGGATTTCATTACATTACTATATGGATTTCTTGGTTTTTTTAAATAAAAAAACCTGTTATAATTTTTATTTTGTCGTTTTTAATGATAATTTGATAATTCTTTGATATTTCTTTGATAATTCTTTAGTAAAGATGATTTCCTGGTTTTCTATGATATTTCTACATTGAAGATGATTTCCTGATTTTCTATGATAATTCTCCATTACAGATGATTTCCTGGTTTTCTATGATAATTCTCTATTAAAGATGATTTCCTGGTTTTTTATGATATTTCTCCGTTAAAGATGATTTCCTGCAGTTTTTTATGATAATTCTCTATTTAAGATGATTTCCTGGTTTTCTATGATAATTCTCCATTACAGATGATTTCCTGGTTTTCTATGATATTTCTCCGTTAAAGATGATTTCCTGGTTTTCTATGATATTTCTCCCTTACAGATGATTTCCTGGTTTTCTATGATATTTCTCCATTACAGATGATTTACTGGTTTTCTATGATATGTCTCCATTACAGATGATTTCCTGGTTGCCTGTGATATTTTCCTATTAAATATGGTTTTCTGTGATAATCTAACCTTTCTCCCGATAATTAAGATGATTTCCTGGTTTCTATGACATTTTTACATTAAAGATGATTTCCTGGTTTTCTATGATATTTCTCCATTAAAGATGATTTCGTGGTTTTCTATGATATTTCTCCATTATAGATGATTTCTCGGTTTTCTATGATATTTCTCCATTAAAGATGATTTCCTGCAGTTTTTTGTGATATTTCTCCACTAAAGATGATTTCTTGGTTTTCTATGATATTTCTCCATTAAAGAGGATTTCCTGCAGTTTTTTGTGATATTTCTCCATTAATGATGGTTTTCTGTGATAATTTTCCAAAAAAGGTTGTTTTCTGCTTATTTTTTCATTAAAAAATATGATTTCCATGTTTTCTGGAATTTTTCCTAGGGTTTTTGCTTTGTCTTTAAAAAAAAAGTCTTGGTTTTCCCGGGGGTTTTAAGATTTTTTATGTTATGTCGAGGATTTACTTCTGGAAAGGGATTTTCTTGGTTTGTGTGATTTGTCTGTGGACTGGAGGAAAGTATCTACAATAGGGTTGGCTTCTTAGTTGTTGTGTGTGAGTAAGAAAGAAGATTTATGTACTCTTCTTCTCCTAAGAAATTGGACAATAAAGAGTAATTTTTGCCTGGAGAAACTTCTTCAACTTTAGATTAAACTTTTCATCAACTATTTATTTTAACAGAAGTTTTACAACCCTGTCATTCATTCTCCGTCCGCATACTACACTTGATGATGCCTAAATTCATCAACGATCACAGCCAATTAGTACTTTTAAACTATTAGAATAACATCCAAAATTCACCATGATAATTTTTCTGTTTAAAATTGGTAAAACCCTAATTAAAAACCGCGTCCGATCCTTTTAGTTAAATTGGAAATTTTCGGGAGAAAATCAAAAATCTTTTGAATACAGGGTGTCCCAATAAACATGGGTATTCANCCCCCTCCCATTTATTATGATATAATGATGTAATGAGTTGAGGTGGTTTGAATAAGCATTCAAAACCATGTATTTGAACATTTAACCAACTAAATTAAAGACAGAAAATCAAAATAAAAAATGTCGTCATCAAACCCTTATCCTTTATTAAATCCCTGCAACTTAATTAAATATATTAAATAAAAGAAAATATTCCCTTTAAAGAAAGAGACCAAAGAAATAGTAAACACAAGAAAATGGTTTAATGAAGGAAAAGTCCTTGCAAGAAACTGTAAAAAGAAAGGAACTCGGAAGAAAGAAAGAAAACTAATTTAATTTAATTGATCTTATATATGTGAAAGAATTGGATTTCGGAGCAACATATATTTATATATGTTAAAGATATACCAATGGAAGGAAATAGAAAATATAAAAAATGTAAATTATATGCAAGGTATGCAGAAAGAAAGAAAACGATGGAGGCTTGAATAATTTGATAAAACTGAAGAAATTCCGAGTTCTTCTACCCTGACCTTTACACGTCAATCATCTCTCTTACACAATATTCATGCCACCTTTTATAGACATCCATACATGGATACATTCTGTAGATTGATGAATGGATAGTGGATACATCCATACATGGATACATGGATACATATCTATGCATTGATACACTAGAGATTTGATGTAAATCAGCTTTAAACGCATCTTATAGACAAGAAACATAAGACTGAAAACAAGACAGATGGAAAGGGTAACATGTTTGCGACATGACGGGTACGACTTTGAGACCTCGTAGCTCCTCTAGATTTGATTTTGATTTAAGTATGAGAAAATCAAATTTATTCGGGTAAATACATAAAACTTTTGTTCTTCTTTATAGCTATCTAACTATCTACATATACTTTGCTTTTCTTTCTGTTTATTTGTCTGCAGTCTGTCCGTTTGTGAACTTCATAACCGCTAAACCAATCGGGCCCAAATTTTGTGTGGGACCCCGCATAACCCCAGCGAAGGTTAATGAATGATCGAATTTTCAAAAATTGACTTCCATCAAAATTCTATTTTTGAAAATCTGAAAATCCACGAAATCTTTTATATAAACTCCGCGAAAGGAATTGAATCTTTACCACACACTCGGATTTTCCCATCTCTATATCTTTTTAATCTGATGGCAAAAACCTTTGATATTTCAAACTTAGGTTTTTTGATCTAGAATAATTCATAGTTTGAAATATCTGAGGTCTACGACATTGGGTTGAAAAGATATAGGGATTAGAAAATCAGAGTTTGTGGCAAAGACTCATTTTCTTTGTTGTTGTTTTTGTTTTACAATGTACACAAAGAGAACATGTTAACAATTGAAATGGAAGAGGGGCGCTAAGCTCCCTAAAAGTATACTATTTAAAAAGTTAAGTTATGATTAAAAACATATAAGATTTCAATCATACGTAAAGCTTAATTTAGTTTGACGTGATGAAGGATTTGCATACCACCGTAATTTAACAAAATAGTTTTCAATTATATCTTCCTTTATTGAAGAGCTATTTAGAAGAACAAAATATTTAGAATTTCTAATGTTCTAATTTCTAAATTGCTTTTTCTACTATTGCGCAATTTCGAGGTAATAAGGTCGTACGAGTAATGCAACATAAATTGACGTTCTTCTGCTTAATCTTGAATATACATGTATACAGGATGAATGTATATATTCTATTATCCTATAAAATGTATCTTGATCTTGAATATACATGTATACAGGATGAATGTATATATTCTATTATCCTATAATATTGTTTAAGGATATATTCTGAATTGGTTTCTCTCCAACTCTATATTTATGTGATCCCTAACACTACTAAAGTTAGGCTTACCTCGAAACTTTAAATTCATTTTATTCCTCTTCGATATTCCTTAGTGGTCATACCCTGCAGGCACCGTCAACTTCGGTTTATTTCAAGTAGATTTACCGGGCCAACTTTTAAGCAGCTATAGAGCAAGCTGTACAGTGCACATACAGACAAACGGGACAGTTCACCAAATTAACGTGGATGGATAAGTTTAATTGAGGGATCAAGTGTTCCGGATTAACGATATTACACACACAAGTTCCCTGCTTTGGTAAATGCATTTCTAGGATCGAGAGGAAAAAGGTAGACCAAATCTTAAAAAAAAATTATGGACCCCAACCCCCCTACTCCTCCTTTCAGTATAAATTCCGATAGTTACATTTATTTTAACATTGTTTAACCAAGGTTTAAATGATGGTCGCAAATAACTTCAATGCTAGGTAGCTCTGAGATGACCCCAGTCGAAGTATTAAAATATCAAAAATTTGACCTCAGGGGGACTCTGGGACAGTTTTCGCTCCGATTTAATTTCGGGTAGAGCCTAGGAGAGAATTCAATATGTTCTCCCTAGAGTTATCCGTCCCAGGGGCAATATACGGATAGATAGATAGATACACAGAATATTGGAGAACAGGACAGCCCCCCCCCCCTCGATCTATGGAGGGGGAAACTGCCCGAGAGGGATATTGAAAGAAATATATGTTGTCAAATACGAGATTAAATTAATAAAAAAATAAAAAATAAAACTTATTAGAATTGATTCCAGAATTCACCCTTGGATAAAGGCGGAGGACCTAAAAGACAATTTCTGGGCCAAGCGCTGCAGAATATAGAATATTCAGGAACTGAGTCTCTGCCACAAAATCAAATGTTCTAATGTCCAAATCTTTGCAACCTG